AGAACTGCTCGGCAGTTGGTCATTGTTGGAGTTAGGAAGCACTATCTGACAGTCACGGGTAACAAACTCGACGGAAGAATATCTTCCTAGGAAGAGCACGCATCCATACACTTACCGAACAAGCTTTCTCGTGCAGTAGCTAAATAGGGCATGATAATAATGAAGAGCGAAGACAAAAAAAAATACGATCGATAGTCAGGTTTGTCTCCGAACGAAGATTTCTGAGGGTGAATGCGTATCAGCCCCCAGAAGTGTCTATGGCTTGAACGGATAGTTCAGATACCTCATCCAACCATTTTAATTGCCACTTACAAATAGATCGTCTCATCTGTCGTTTGTTGGGTCCCAATCTCACTACTCACTTAATGATTTGACTTGGAGAAGAGCTCTGGCTGGTTGCTGGCCTTTGGCAACATACTGAACCTCTGCTCAGTCTATGGCAGAAACATACCCTATATAGGTCCGAGAGAATCACATTTCATTTTCGATCACTTGGAACGAACTTTATTCTCTTCCTGACCCTAAACTCAATTGCGTCACGTTCAAGAGCTGATTTGTTTACACAGGGTAGCATCACCAGAATTATCACGCGACCTGAAATTTATGATCAACGTCAAAACTCATGCTATCCCTATTGTTCATAACGACATCATGACTAGCTTTTCTTTCTCATGCACATTGAACATACAAAAAAATTGTTTCCGATTTCAGGCCATTTGTTTAAAAAACCCCTTAACACTCCCATAAACACCCATTTCAAGTAACCCCAATTTCAGAGGGAGGAGAGGAGGTATTTGCCTACACCTCTCTCTCCTGGATGGTATAAGTTTTACAGTAAAATTATTAAAAAAAAAGATGATTTCAAAAGCCGTCCGTATCATGTCCGCCTTTTCTAGTACTCGGTCTCATTAAAGCATTTTCATTACTTATTTAATCCTTCTGGGCCATCAGGTCTCGCTCAGAGATGAAGAACTTTGGCTTCTCGTCCATGAACTGTTTGTGGAACATCTCTAGCAGCGCACCGGGGACCTGCTGGCCGATGACCACCTTGATGTGGTCCTTCTTGCCGGTCCAGAGATGCTTGATGAACTTTCCGTCGCAGCCAGATCGGCTCTCGGGGAAACCGTTGGCCTCAGTGCAGGGGAGATCCTTGATGTCCTTGGGGTAGTCGTAGCGGATGTAGGTACCGAAGCCACCCTGGTCGGTGGGCTTTCCGGGGCGGTTCTTTCGGAACTCGACACAGTCGGGGTGCTTGCCACCCTCGTTGGGGCAGTCCTCCCACTCCTTGAGGATCTCAAAGGTCTTCTCGTTGTTCTGGAGAACGATGAAGCCGGTGTTGAGGTAGACCTTGTCGAACTTGTCCATGTTGTTCTTGTGGTGAGGGTCGTAGGCAAGGGCGAGAGAGTTGGTATCGGGGTGGAGCTGCCAGTAGTTCATGAGCCACTCAAAGGGCAGGTCGAGGTGGTGGAAGACGGCATCGGAGTCAAGGAAGATGCAGGCCTTGTGCTTCTTGAGGATCTTGGACAGAATCGGGGGCTTCTTCCACGAGTTGCGGCGATCCTCAAAGGGATCGGTGATGTCAACGTAGTAGTACTTGTAACCGTGGTTCTTGGCTATTGAGGGGTTAGTGACACAGAAAGGTGACTCGGGTAGGATTTGTACGCACCATAGAGCCAGTGGTTCAGGACACCGAGGGACAGACCGTGGGTCTCGTCAGCGCGGTCCCAGCTCATCAGACCGGGGGAGAAGATCTGACCGGGCTCGTCAAAAGGTCGGTTGTCAAGATCGATAATGCAGAGATCCTCGCCAATCATCTCAGTCCACTTGGGCTCGGCGGGGAGCTCCATGGGGAAAGCGCCATAAGGAGCGTACTTCTTGTCGGCAGGGCTGATGCGGGCCTTCATAATGTAGTTGAAGTAGTAGTCGCCGAGCTCGGTGGAGGCGTTGGAAGGGTGGTCGGGTTTCGACATGGCGCCGTGCTGCTCGGGTTGCTCGGGCTCAGTCTTCTTGGGCTCGTCGTGGTGAGGCTCATCGTGGGTATCACCAATGATGGATGTCTCGGTGTCGGTAGCGCTATAGCGAATTCGTCAGTTTTTCGGTCTTCGCGGAGATTAGATTACGCAAGTCAACTTACACGTCAGCGGGAGGCTCCCACTTGTCGAGATGGTTATAGGCCAGGCTAACAAAAGCGACCAGGAAAATAACGGTGCCGGCCATAAGGACCGTCGACCGGTTTGTGCGCACTTGTCCAAACATTGTGGGCAAGCTTCAACGCTCTCGACGCGTTTATCTCAACGGGTGCCGAAATATAAAAGTCCAAAGGACGTTTAGGTTCAGGGAGAATTGAGTTGAGTGAGTGAAAGGTGCCGACAAGGACACAAGAAAGCAGAAACCCAGAACCAGAATCTCGAACCTCTCAGCGCACGCGACGTAAAATAAAAGAATTACGGGAGGTTGAAGAAGAAAGAAAGACGAACGTTGAAGAAGGAAGAAAGGCGAGGAGAGGAAGGGGAAGAGAAAGAGAGAAGCTGAGTAAAAAAGAGGAACCTGGTTTCTGATAAGGCCAGAAAATGAGCAGGGGGGAAACAGTGAGAGAGAGAATGGCCTTTAGGTGGGATTAAATTAAATAAAAAGCGGACAGGGGTGGATTGGGGGGATGGACGAGAAGGAGGAGGAGCTGGAGGTGAGGGAAGCGAGTTATGGAGGCGGGAAGATGAAGGCCCGGGCGTAGGTAGGTTGCAGGTTACAGGGGGTGACAATTAGCGTGTGTTTGCGCTAATGGATGGATCATGGCGGCTTTAAACGTGTTTTCGGGGAGGGGCTGAGTCCAAGTGGCGGGACACCCTCAAAAGGATCAACTCACTTTTTGCGGGAGCCAATCCAATGCCAAGTGAATCAGGGGGGCTTGGGACTCGAAAATTGTCTCCTTTTTTTCTTTCTTGTCTGTTACTGTCAAGGTTGGAGAAGTCATCTTGGTCAATTCATGCCAGCCCCTTTAAACAGTACCTTATAGTCAGCCACTAGGCTCTGTTCCTATGGCTGTTAGTGAGGTAAGCTTAGATCTGGTTCACTGCACAGAGTCCCCCTTTATTCTCTGCTAGAGTGCGTCATTACGTTGTCCAATCCAATGTAACAAGCCAGTTGGTTAACCTCCTAAGGTTGGAGAATTGAGTTTATAAGGCTTGCATCTCGCTGCTAAGGGATCAGCACTATCAAAACTGCCAACCACTGTTAACAAAAGTGCAACACAGCAAAATAACCAACAATAATCGACAACTCCCATATTCTTTGCCCCCCTGCAGAATACATCTCGATCAACTCATTGAATGGCATTCCCCCGTCGAGGAGCCGCTTGCATGGTCATCCATGTCGTGATCTAACCAATCAAACAATAGCTTACCTGCAACGTCTCGCTAGGCGGAAATTTGGCTTGGCTTGTAATTTTGAATAGAGGCCATAAAAAATCGCCCCTCGCATTGAATTCCTCCAAGGACAATGCCCGAGGTCATGGTTTGTTCAGCGGAGAACCCTTACCGTTAGAGAGGAATGAGGTTATACCCCCTTGCAAAGATTATCGATGTTTGGCGGCGCTGGGAGGTATTTAGGCTTGTTCTCCCTGCTGAAGGGCTGAGACAGAGGATTTACATGAGAGACAAGTCACAAGACAGTCCCTTGAATATGCATGTCTTGGAGGATCGTGGGTACTTTCTACGACTGTTGAGTTTTGTAGATAAACGAGGTATGTATTGTATATCGACTTGGGTTCATACAAACAAACGAACAAACGGATGCACGGCTGGCAGAATGAACCTGAACCTGAACCTGGACAAACGACCTGTCACTGATAACATTCATGGATTTTACTTTTATCTCCAGACTCCACCGACTCGGCCCTCCTCCGCCGCAATCCTCCTCAGCCCCAACCTGGAACGATTCCCGACGGGAATTAACAGCATTTGAACGGCCATGTTTGGTCTCATCCTCCCTCATGGATCTATCTGTCTTTGAGTCAGTGAACCCTTCAGCCATCAACTATCTACCACGTAGCATGTACTGCACTGCACAGCATTATTTTGATCAACGCCCTCATAAGGATGAAACTTGCCAAGCCGGTCAGCACTAGGCCGTTATCCGTTGATGTGCTTATCCTTCTCTTGGCGAGGTCGTATCTCTGCACCTCAACTTCGTATAAAGGAGCAGCGAGCAACGTAGCAGACATCGCGTGATATTTCTTGACCTGAGCAAGATAATGCCCTATTCTCCGGTGACACTCAAGTCTCGCGCCGGTCTTCCCGTCAGCCCATCTGCCGGGCCACGATCTAAACATGGAAACTCTTAGCCCGCCCGATGCATTAATTCCAATCAGATCTAATGTAACTCATGCAGACGCCTATCATTGGTGAATTATATAACCTTTTTACGAAACGTAACTTTTTCTTATTTTAAATATTAACCTTCTTCAAAAAGTCTATCTCTGAACTGCGCCGTGACCGCTAGACAGAGAAAATGCCCCGCCCCGTCGTGACAAAAGATCCAGATTTTTAATTTGCCCATCTTTCGCAATTTAACGTCGCCTTGCAAGGGACGCCCCGGGACTGTTTCCGATTTATTGGTCATGGCTCCCTGTATCTTGCCCACTTTCTGTTGTAGGATGTCGCTGCTGTAAGCTGACAGTGACAGTATTACTGGGGGAGCTCTTTTAGTATAAAAACTTATCTTGAAGCCCCTGAATCGTTCGAGAACAGAGTCTGTTGAGAACTCTGTCTCCTCGCACGGGGTCAAGTGGGATATCGCTTATCGGCAGTGACCATGACATGGATGGAGAAAAATGTATTCGCTTATTACGCATGTTTCTCCAGGTTACGCGTCGAGCTCACGTCAACGAGGCGATGAACGTCGCGAGACACGTAATGAATGTAACAGAATTTCTATACCAAATGCCGACCGATATCTACAAACTCGCTCTACCCAACGCTCAATACGCCTGACGAACCCAACAATCAATGACCCTGTGCAGAAATACGACGGCACCAATCCCTTCCGTGCGCCACTTGATAATTACAAAGCTTCGTCTCCATCACGATACTAATAAGTCCGGCGATAGAGATTCCACCACTGTCGCTGACAGTCGTTGCCCCAAGACTAAATTCTCTATCCTCAGGTGGCACGTTCTCCATGATCTCGGCGAAGCAGTTGACGTAGACACCTCCCCCTAGCAAGCCTTCCCAGAATATTATGATAAAGACGATGTAGACTGATGGGAGGAAGAAGTATACGGCGTGGAATGTGAGAAGAACAAGGTTTGCGACTTGCAGCATCGAGGGGAGGTATAAATGGTGGATACGTATAAATGGCGTAGATGATCGGGAGATAAAGACGCCGAGTTGATAGAGGAACCCGTACATGGGGTAGAAATCCCGAAAGTCGTCGAATGGCGATTCGTCCAGGGGGAACAGCAATGTTGGAGCAACGCCTTGGTTGATTGTGTACTCAGCCACGTACACCAGTAGCAGCGGGAGCATGTATGGGACAAACAACACCTTCACTTTCTTCAACCTGTCTCGCATCGTGAGTGTGTCTTGCGTGTTATGTGCAGAGTATGCAGTCGATGCGACTCCAGGCCCAGGAGCCAAGAGCGCCGACGAAGCAGTGCCTTGATCCATGTGGTTCACGTCCTCATCCTCGAGATCCGGGATCGCATCGTAGTCTTTCCGAATCGTGCCGTCCCTCAGAGGTCCAAGCGGCAAGATCACAAAGAAGCTGATGAACATAATCGCAGGGAAACACGCCGAGATTAGCAAACTGCTACGCACGCTCAATCCCCACCAATCCGTAAACATCACGTAGAGACCTGCACCGACCAAACCCGCAGCACCAGTCCCAGATCCCCAGCCCGCGAGACTCATCGGGCCGTAGAAGTGCGTCAAGCCAAGGAAGCTCAACTCACCGCCGCCAGCGCTTATACTGGCGAGGACTACACCGACGAGCTTGATGGCGACGGACTGCGTGCGTGGTGTTAGGGCTACCATGAGCATGCCAACCACGGACAGCACTATAAAGATGAGGACTCGCATGCGATACGGTATTCGGTGGATGAAGTACGGTGCGATCAACTTGGTGAGGAACGAGGGAACGACATCGGCGAGGAGGACGACGCCTTTGGGGATGGAACCGACGAGGTCTTGGGCAGCGGAGAGGATGATCACGTAGAGGACATTATTGATGAGGCCTGAAGCAATTGTTAGCTACAAGCCGAGGAGATTTGGGAGAAAGATTGTACCAAAAAGCCAAAAGGCTACAATCACCTTCGTGTCATGATGGCCCATGATAGCTGCAGCTCTCGCTTTGTACGCAGCCCAAGATGACGAAGGCGCGCCTGGCATAGGGAGTAATCCAGAGGCAGACGGTGAGATACCGGACATGGCGGCGACAATCAGCACTCTTGTATCAGCCTTGAGAGCACACACGACATCACGTTTTGCGAGGAAAGGTTGAGGTTGTAATTGCAATGTTGCTGATAGGAAGTCGTAAAAGTTTCACATTTAGCGGCGGTCACGAGATAAGGCCAAGGCCTCATGACGTTGATCATGCTTTAAATGATAGCGGCTCTAGCGGGAACCACAGTGGGGGCTATTTTATTCACCGAAGCTTCACCTCAACTTATAAAAACATCACGATGCGACAGCAGCACAAATATTAAGGTCGTAAATCATGGCGGTTCATATTATGAACATATCATATCGTACAAGCGCCCGCTATCAACCCATCCGTACCATTCATTCCATTTCCATTCCATTTTTTAAGTGTCGCTCAAGGTCGCTCGGCTTCTCGGCTAGACTCAATCACACTGTCGGGAGCAATGTTACCCTCAGCAGAGATGCTGTCAGGAACACTCTCAGGCTGGTAGTAGTCCTCGCCCTTGAATTGAGAGCCACCTGGGCCGGGAGGGTTGCGACCTACGTTTGCGCGCTGAGCTTCCTGGCCCTTGGAGGCGAGATCGTCAGCGGCTCCGAGGCCGGAAGTCTTCGTGACGTTGGCGCCGACAACATCGTTGTCGTTGTGGCCGCCGCGCTCGTCGTTGGCCTTGGCGAGCTTGTCGAGAGGACCGCCCTCACCCTCGTAGTGCTGACCACGGGCTTGTCTGGAAAAGTTAGAAATTGAAAGTGATCGTTTGGGTGGATGATGCTTACCGGCCCTTGTCGTCGACGATGCCACCCTCGCTGGGGGGAATGCGCTTGTTGTAGCCAGCGTTTGTGCTCAGCTCATCGCCAAACTCAACCTGAGCGCTCTCAAACTTGTTCTCAGCGTGGGGGTTAACACCAGCGCCCTCAACGTCCTGAGGACGAGCGTTGCCGGTCTTGGCCTGGTAGGTGTTAAGGTCCATCTCGGCCTCCTTGGCGATCTGCTCGTAGTTGGTCATTTTGAGGTGTGAATTTGTTTGTGACGAAGTAGAAGAAGAGTTTGTGTAGTTTGTTATGATGAGGTCGTAGTCAAGATTGCAATGCAGACAAATATTTGTTCCTAGAAGGTCCCTTATTTGTAGTGGTGAAGAGGTAACTGTGATGTCATTCATATGAAATCATATCCTTCACTCGATGATTTCATCGCGACGATTGAATTGTGGGAACTGAGCGAGCACAAGCCGCCTCTGACCCATTTCGATGGAGACGAAGGAATCTTTTGCCTTGAAAAGAGTGAGTTTTGCCTATAAATCGAGATCTATCGTGAAGGGGCCTCACACCACATCGCCTCGGCGGACAGTGCTTATCCAGGTGCTTCCCAGGAACCCGAGCGATCTCCGGAGAAGAAATGTAACTTGACTTATTAATCTCGAGCAGTAGATTTGTTCAATACCACACTATCATGTTCCTAAAAACTTTGTCGTATAACAAATGAAGCTTGTTATAAATCCATATATAAAGTTGTAAGAGAGATCGGCTGATAGTTCCTTCGCAGAGAAAGTGGACACCACCTCTGAAGCACATGAGGATATTAAGATACATGCTCGTACATATTCATAGTTTTAGTATTCTTTACATGCTGCCCGTGCTAACTAGACACTCGTGAACATCTCCCGCGTAATGCCATTGCTATCACACATAGCCCTGAAAATGCCCCCTTGCTCCCATAACTCCAACGGCGGCCCCAGCTCAACAATCCTACCCTTATCCATAACACACACTCGGTCGTACTGAATCACAGTACGAAGGCGATGCGCAATGGCAATCAGCGTCTTCCCTTCTAGACCAGTCGCCAGTGTCTCTTGCACGAGTGCATCAGTCTCAGGATCAACACTGCTCGTCCCTTCGTCCACCAGCACGATACGCGTGTTACGAAGGAGTGCTCGAGCAAGCGCAATCAGTTGCCGCTGTCCAAGAGAGAAGTTGAGGCCTTCGGTTTCGACGGCCGTGTCAAGTGTCACGCGCGTCTCTCGAGGTTTTCCAGAGTCTGGATCCTCCCTCTCCAAGACACTGCTTGTCAGGGCTTCTCCCTCGGGCGTGGCGAATGTCTTTTCGCTGTCTGGGAGGAGATGCGCCTTGCGGAGAGCATGCCATAGCTCAGTATCTGTGTGTTTGTTGAAAGGGTCTAGATTCGAGCGGATAGTGCCCTGGAAGAGAGTAGGATCTTGTGGAATGATCGCCAAAGCGCTTCGGAGCCGGTGAAGACCAATCTGGCCTATATCGATACCATCGATGGTAATACGCCCGCCAGAAATCTCTGTCAGCCTGAAGAGAGTTGATAAAATGGTGCTTTTACCAGCACCGGTGCGGCCAACGATCCCGAGTCTCTCGCCCCCAGCAATCCTCAGGCAAAAGTTGTCGACCACCAGTGGAAGACCAGGACGGTAGCGCATCTGCACAGCCTCGTACTCTATGGCTCCGTGCTCCGGCCAAGAAGGACGCACGCTGGCGCCGTCGAGGGGAGCTTCCTGGTGCAGAGAGTTTGTGTACTGGAATAAGCGTTCTGTATTCGACATGGAATTATTGACCTCGATCAGATACTTCACCACGACCTGCATCATGCCAACCATGGACATGCTGTAAGTCAGCAACAAACCCGAGATGCTGAGAGCAACAGGTAGTGCGTTGGTGACCACGAGAACGCCAGTGACCAAGTTCAGCAAGATGCCAATGTTGTCAAGCCGAACAGACAGCCAATTGTGGCTGGCGAACGTCAGAAAGTTGGCACTGTCCATGTCATCGATGGCTTCATGGACCAATTTGACGAACTGAAGCTCCCGATCATAGGCGCGAATACAAGCAGCCCCAATAAGAGCTTCATTAAGACGAGCAAAGACCACGCCGTCGAGTATCAGTTGGTGTCGCCTCAGCTCTCGCGCACTGCTCCTGTAGTAGGAGATACACCACCAGAGTGCTGTCGCGCCAAACACCAGGGCGATGGCAAACTAATATTTTTCAGTATGATGGTATTACAAGGGAGTAGTGAATGGTAACTTACGTAGTAGAAGTAGGCAACTATAAGAACATAGGAGCCTAAAAGCGCTGCTACGTTGATTAGCAGTTGCTGAACAGCTACGACTAGGTTGTTATCCAGAGCATCAATGTCTCTTGTGAAGCGATATATGATACGACCAAGAGGGGTCGTGTCGAAGAAAGACATGGGGGCCCTAAGAGTCTGCCAGAGCGCATTGTTCGACATTACCTGGCTCGATTTGATACATACCAAGCAGGTGATGAGAGAAGACGAGAACACTAGTACGCATTGAGCGAGACTCAGGCCAGCGTATATACCGATCTGTTCCGTAATCGTTAGTGAACCGACTCAAGCTTGTAGCAAAGGAAGAACTCCTACATTCTGACCGCGGGTAAGGCCGTACTTGTTGTCCACCCACCACGAAAGCCACAAGCCTCCCAAAATGCTTGAGGCTCGGAAAAGGAGCTGTCCAACCACCATTGCAAGGCCATTCCACAGCGATCCAGAAGCCCGCAACCACGAAACATATACAGAGAAGGGAACGCTATCAACAATCTTGGCCTCTTCCTGCATCAAAACTTCGGCTTTCGTCGTTGTGTTGTTGGGGCCCACGGAATCACCCTTCTTGTCTTCAGTGCTATCGGCCTCCTTTTGCTGATGTCCTCCAACGGCGACCAGGCTGGCGAAGGCAGGGTGAGATTTCATCAATTCCTCATAGGTGCCTATAGCCTCGATATGTCCGTCGACCATCCAGATGATCCTGTCAAGCCGGGATAGTAGATGCAAGTGGTGTGTTGCTAGGAAGCAGCATTTATCCTTGAGCAAACCGCAGATGGCCTCGTTAAATATATGTGTACCTACATGCGCATCAACAGCTGAAAGCGGATCGTCGAGTATTACGATTCCAGCGTCAGAGTATATCGCGCGGGCGATGTTGATGCGTTGCTTTTGACCCCCTGACAGGGTTACTCCTCTCTCACCAATTTCTGTCATATCACCATGTGGAAGGAGTTCAAAATCTGGTAATAAAGCACAGGCTTGTACCACATCAGAGTAAAGCTTCTGATCGAAAGGCTTCCCAAAGGTGATGTTGTCTCGCACGCTAGCGTTTTGGATCCAAGCATACTGTGGGCAGTACGCCCTGTCAGCGGCAAACTGCAAAATGCCACCCGTCTGCCTCATATCTCCCGCGAGAGCGCTAAGAAGGGACGTCTTGCCGGATCCAACGCTTCCGATGATGCCGATGAGCTCGCCTCTCTCACATTCTAAGGAAATATCGTTCAGCGAGAACGGCACGTCGCTATCCCGGACTGGGCGGACTTCTGTATCTGAAGTTTCGACTCCCTTCTTTTCATGCCCTGCTCGATGCCTTCTTATAGCTCTCGACAGCCGGTTTTTGTTCTCTTTAGCCTCACCCTCCTCGTTTGCTGGTGGGCTCTCCCACGTGAAAGATGCATTGCTGAGTTTGACAGCTGGAGCAAGGCTGGCGTCTGGAACGGTATGCGCTTGTACTTCTTCAGCAAGTAAGAAGTCCTCGATCCTCTTGATCGATTGGACTGCATCAGCAGCAAGGCTCAAGGATACGGGCAGCCAGTTGGTCGGAACACGCAGTAGGTACAGCATCGCCAAGGATGAGAAGACAACCGCTGGATCAAGGCTGCCATTCACCACCGCGTACACAATGAACGTGATCATGATGGCGAGTACAGGCAAAAACTGAGCGAGGGTTCCTACAGCGCACCTGATCAGGTGCATGATGCGCAAGGCTCGGGTTTCAGACGCTCTGATGTTTCCCAATCGGCTTTGAAAGAATCCCTCCCAGCCAAAGTACTTTACGAAACGAATACTCTGGAGGATCTCTTGCGTAAGTGTGACTCTCTGGTCAGTGACTATGTTGATGCGGTTCCGGCTTGCCACCAGCGGTCTCGTCGCGTATGTCACTGCGGCGAGACCAAAGATGAGAGTGGCTGCTCCTGGAAGAGCTGTCCAGCCCAGGTTGTAAACCAAGAGTGCGACTGTTAATATGAGCTGATAGAGGGAAAGCCATGAAAGGTGGAAAGCTGCCAACGCCTGCTCAATGCGAGCGGTGTCGTTGGAGACCAGGCTCATCACACGTCCGTTAGACCAGCCTTTCTCATCTACCCGACAGGGAATGTCATCGTATGGACTCGCGCCCTCACTCCCTGTTTGACCTCCAGCCTTGGCTCTATTGGACAGTTTCAGTGACTTATTAAACGCCATGGCTATCAAAGCACTGCGTGTCTGTCCACCGAGTAACATGCCCCGATAGTAAAACTGACTCGAGGCGAAAGTCTGAAGCATTTGCAAGATTACGATACCGATAACATATCCTATGCCAACTGCTACCGGCTTAGAGCCGCGTGTGTCGTGTCCGTCGGGGTAGGCATGCTGAACCCACTCAATAAGGAATCGCAGCGTGAAAGGAGTCATCACTTGTAGAGTCGACACGACGAATTGGCTGATAGCGCCGAGCCAAAAGTCAAACTTGAAGACGTCGTAGAGCGCCCATAGGAGAGGAAGGCGATTGCGAGCCAATACTCGTTTTCGAAAAGCGGTGTCAAGACTGGGCTGGAGCGTATCCATCAGCCTTGCGTCTGACACTGTCCAGATATCATTGCGTTCCAGGTGACGCCGGTATCCGATCTACAACACAAGTTCTAACTGTCAGCACGTAGAAACATTACAAGAGCAACATAGATAGACAGGTGGGTATAGCCTCACGGTCATGAGCGGACTGAGCCAAGCAAACCAAAGTTTGCTCAAGAAACCTGCATCTTGTTCCGCAGTCACCTTCCTCTTCTCAGGAATGTCAGGGACATGGTGTTGGCCGAATGGCCTCGGCCACTGAGAGCGCATCTGCCAGACTGATGCTGATGCCCCCAACGCCTATAGATATCACGTCCACAGGGAACGGTCGCAATGGATGGGAGAATAGGTGGCAGTGACAATACCCGCAAGACCTCAGATTGAGACCGACTTTGGCGCTTTACCTATATGGCACGGCACAATGCCATCATCACGTCACATATGTTTGCGACCACGTATTTCACGTGCCCGTCTCCCCAACAAGACATCGCTCATAAGTTCCATTGTTGGTTGTACGCTCGCACCGAATCGGAGGTCATGCTCCGGAAAAGTTGTTGGTTGTTGACAAGCACCTCTTCTGTTCCCTCATGAGAGGTCGTAGCTTGGAGCCCCCCCCCCCCTGCAAGGTCAACATCCCAGTCAATGCAAGGTCATCGTGCTAATGCACAGTCACTGATAACGGACCGAGCCGTCTTGGCCTTACAACCTACCCTGAACCTTTGTCAATATGCACGTCTATAATGCGTTTGAACCAAAATGATCTGTTAGTAGAGTTTGAATCCCGTGTCAGTAAGTACTTTAGGCATGTGCTTCAAAGGTCTTTGTAGTTGAGCTCCATTCATGTGATGAAGCTGGTGGATCAAAGCAGCTGCATTACCCATAATATCTGGATCAATTGTTTACCACTGGTGCAATGACAGTAGACGAACCGTTTCCATCACCTATCACGTCAAGCAGTACGTCAAGCAGCCCTCTAATTACATGCAATCACTGATTCGATGGCAAGGCGGTCAACATGCAATGCAGGACCAGCTGCCAACGCAGCTATACACGACGATTGACAGGTTCACGCTTGAGTCAGGAGAAGTCCTGACCAACGCGACGGTGGCCTTCACTGTAAAGGGTCGACTTAACACTCAGAAAACCAATGCCGTCGTCATCTGCCACGCACTTTCCGGCAGTGCTGATGCTGCGGACTGGTGGTCACCGTTTCTATCATGTCCTGAGAACCCAGTCCTTGATCCCAACAGGTTCTGCACCATTTGCTGCAATTCCTTAGGAAGTCCCTATGGCTCATCGAGCCCGCTATCTGTAAGACCAGACAGTGCATCTTATTATGGACACACGTTCCCGAAAACAACTATTCGTGACGATGTACGGTGAGTATACGCTCGAGTCTAGGCGTAGCTAAAGGCTGACTCGCTTTCCCGAATAGAATCCAAAAGATAGCCGTTGAATTGCTCGGGGTGCGATCGATATATTGCGTTATAGGAGGCAGCATGGGCGGCATGATGGCGCTGGAGTGGGCATTGCTTGGCCAGCATTTCGTACGATCTATGGTTCTCATTGCGACCGCGGCCAGGCAAAGCCCTTGGGCCATAGCGTGGAGCGAGAACCAGCGGGCAACCATAAAGTCTGACCCCAAGTTCCGCAGTGGGCGCTATGGTGACAATCCTCCTCGAGATGGCCTCGCGGCTGCCCGCATGGCAGCCATGATATCGTACCGAACGCACTCATCTTTCGAAAAGCGATTTGGCAGACGCAGGTTGGAGACTTACGCGGCGCCCAACAAGATGCTCTCGAAAGTCGACGGCAACCGGGTGCCATTCGCAGTCGATGTGCAGTGCGCGGCGCGAGATGATGGGCATTATGACAAGTCGGGCATATTCTTGGCGCAAAGCTATCTGCGTTACCAGGGAGAAAAGTTCAATGCTCGCTTCGATGCCAACTGCTATCTGCATATCTTGGACAAGATTGACTCCCATGACATCGCCCGTGGCCGGTACCCTGGTCTTTCAGACGAGGAGGCTATGATCAAAGTCCTCGGTCAGATTCGACAGCACACATTGGTTGTCGGTGTCCCTACAGATGGCCTCTACCCACTCTCTGAGCAAATGTTTCTGTCCCAGGGCTTGAAGAATGCAACCTTTGCAACGCTTGAGAGTGATGATGGGCATGATGCGTTTCTCATCGAAGGCGAACAGCTCAATGGATTGTTGCGATCATTCTTCGGTTCGGATCCTGACCTATAAGCATCCATAAAATAGATATTCCGCTTGTAATAATAGATCAGACTTCGTACCGCAGTCCTCTCGATTACCAGACACTGCGTTGGCATTGGCGATGGTGCATATTGTGACCGTGGTGATAAAAGCAATCCTCTCTATAGGTAATTTCCAAGTTTAAATCCGAAAGGTGCCATAAATCTATTCGAATAAAGTCGTCCCAAGATCCCGTTATCTAAATCTTGACGCTGAATACAATTGTCGAGACCAAAGCGAAGAGAAAAGCAGCAAACCCAAAGGGCAGTCCGAGCCAGACTTGGCCCCAACTCATGCCCACGCGGAAAGCCAAAGCCATCCCGGGACCTGCCACCAAGCTTCCTATTCCTTCTGCGACCGAGATGAGCGCATATAGCCGCCCAATGTCGCTTGTCGCGTTGGGGTGCCGAGACTCTACAAGGCTGGTTGCTAGACTGCGCATGGTTGGCGCAAAGCCTGAGCCCAAGGTAGATATGACGAGTCCTAAAAGGATGCTTAGCTTTCTAAACATGGCATGCTTCTGCAATTTTTGGCTTACCGATTATCATGCCCACTGAGGTCTCTGAGAAGAATATGATCAAACTGCCTAGAACCAAGAGGATGATGCTTGTCTTGCCGATCCAAAGGTCTCGAGAGGTTGCGCTCCAGCTTACGAGTGCGTATGTAGCAATGAGAGGCAGTATGACTGTGAACAGCGCAATGTTTACGCCTGCCCGTAGTGATATGAGAAATCCTGCCTAGATGTCGAAATGTGTTAAAAGGTCATTCGCGCCAATGGGTCTAGAGAGTATGAACTCACCTGCGCTAAAGTCCATCCATATCGCTTCGACACATATTGGAAGAGTATATTAGTAGCTTGGCGCCCGACCTTGGAGATGAGGAAAGTAAAGACAAGGGCGAACAGGACTCTGTCCTTTAGGACGAAGTCGAACGAGTCTTTGTTCTGAGTAAGCCAGCTTCCCAATCTGCCGTCACTCTTGGATGGTATCTCTGCTTGTTCATTGATTGTGTAATCCGAAGAGATGCCATTGGAGTCCTCACGAGATCTTTTAGATTCAACCACTGGCAGTGTTTCCGGTAAGCCAAGTGCCAAAATGACACTAAGTCCTTGGAAGGCCACTGCCAGCAGGAGAGGGATCCATGTGTTCTTGTGCATCAAGATCGAGGTGATTGGGGGGACAATCAGATCTGCGACAAGGTCAGTGCAGAAGCGATAAAAGAACACGGTACTCCTGACCTCTGCCGGCACAACATCAGCAACCACTGTAGTGAGTAAGGTTGTGCCCGTTGTTGGGCCACCTCCAATGATGAAGAAGAGTGATGATAGCCAGACTGCGTTCAAAGGTAAATGCAGGACCCCGACCTTTGAATTATGGTCAATACTATTAGAATGTGGATATAAGCTTGGCGGTACTCACAAAGAACAGCGTCGACGCCCAGGACAAGGTATACCCAGTCAAGGCTAATACCAGGATCCATTTACGTCCACGCAAGTCTGCTACATAACCATAAGGTATTGGAAGCAGGATTGCGGGAATGGCATCGAAAAAGTACTGCCAGCCCACCACCGAAGCAACCTTGTCCTGCACTGGGTCGATCTTGCAGAGACGCTCAGGGACGGACCCGTCACGGTCCACTAACGATGGATCGTGCCGCAGATAGTGGCGGGTACAGGCAACGGACTCAAAGAGCCTCACTCTTGGCGCAGCGTAGAGAGATTCGCCAACGTCTGAAATGACTGCGAGGACGATGCAGAGGAGGACGACATAGATCCACGGCCATGAGCAGCGAGTGCGGTGCGTATTCAAGCTCTCAATTGGCCTGGGCTCGCTGTCGGGTGTTTCGGACTGTGGTGAGAGGAGGGCTGTCCTTTCATTGACCTGGGTTTCGTGCCCATTTTCGCGATGGTGATCCATGTTTTACTTGATGAAAGTCATGAGGATGTAGGAAAAGAGAGGAGAAAAAGAAAGACGTGCTGTTGAATGAGAGCGCATGGCGACTAATGCCTTGACTAGGGCGGTGACTGAGACGGGAGATAAGACAAGCATGGGTGCAATTGAAGTGACATCACAGCCAACAGCGAGAACTTTTGTGGGTGTGTCAAGGGTGAAGTTGATTACAGCCCGGATACGTATCATCAACCCGCGGTCTTATGAGAAGTGTCACAGAGGTCACGTGCTGTCTTGCATACTCAACAGTTTCCCTTATTTGGATAACGCAATTGATACTTCTTCAACTACCTGGTACCTATTGTACTTATATCCTATCATTCCCTGTTTGCCACTATTGAGTAGATTTGGCGATACACCGACCAACGCTGGTATTGGCTGATGCTCCCCTTCCGCAATTGACGGGCTAGTACGGGGACCGACATGACTGAGTACACCAAGGCAGTCATCCATTCAGACCCCCAAAGGAAATTCCTACACACATGATACCCCAAATGGATAGCCTTCAAGAGAAATCCATACTAAACTACCCTAGAAATGATAAAACTCGCATTCGCGTTCTTCCCAGGCTCACCATTCAGCTGGCATGTGAGAACTGGTCGCAATCTCTTCACAAGACGCTGAGTCTGGATCTTGGCTGGCTGTATCAATGGTTAGCCACTGCTCGCTTAGTTCAACTTGTGTAACCCAACTTACAGGATATGCCATGGTCTTGATAGAATGGGTGCTTCGGGTCAGCACAAATGCCCCCGACCGCATGCGAGACACCACGCTCAGGAGAATATTCTCCTTCTCCAGCGTCGTCGATCCAACTGCCGCGTTGAAGTAAACAACATCATGCTCGCGGAGGTCCTGAGGAGCGTCTTTGATATCGCCCGCCTCGAATGTGCAGTGCTGCGTGTCCTCGCAAAGTCTGTCCAGGACCTTGATGCTCTTCTCTAGACGATCGGGGAGAAGCTCCAGACTGTGGATTCGTACAGTTTTGGCTTGTTTCTTGGCCCATTTAGTCACCCAGACAGCTGTCTCTGGCATTGCACCAGATCCCAGAATGGCTATGGACTCGGGAGCCTTGTCCATGACGGATAGGAGGCCAGACCACTCGGCTTTGAGCACATATTCATAGAATTCATGGATTGGGGTGGAGTTGAAGATCTGCCAGGCTAGGTGTCGCACGCAAGTCAGCGAGTGATGAATAGTCAAGTACTCAGATTCATACCATCAGTCGCGTTATGAGCAGCTGCAACCCTATCCGCCCACGTCACTTCCAAGGCGCCCTCGCACCCTCCCATGACATATCTAATATCTGGCATGAGGCCCAAGATGTCTGGATGAGCGAGAACCGCTGTCTCCAGCTCAAGATCGAGGGTCGTGAAGCCTATGACTTTGTAAAACCGTTCCCAGAATGGGACGACCTGGTCGGTCTTTTCGGGCGTGTCCAAGGGGCATAAGGCTTTTGCAGCCTTGATGTTTTCTACCATGGTCTTTACATAGACTTGAGCTTCGGCTTCCAGGTCTCGGCCCGGGCTTATTGAGTCAGTGGTCATCGTTGAGGAGGGTAAGAATTAGACAAGGTAAAACGATAGCTTGAGTGTGATGAAAGTTTACAGTTAATCGTTTGTAGACAGTCTGTAGATTGCGAAAAATGGTCGTTCTGTCTTCTTCTGCTTGTGTCTTCAACATCACAATTCCAGAGAGCTGATTTTTAGTCATAAGATATTCGTCTAGTCAGAGACTCAGTCTGCCTGCGATTGGCAGAGCTGCACAGTCATATACTCTCGGGGATCCTGCAGGGTCTTTGACCAGCAGTAGATCGCGGTCAGGAAGCTTACCATCATACCATATACAGACACGAATCTGCAGGGTCATTCGCCACATCAACGCCTCATCCTGCATAGAACCTTTGAACAGGCCGGTCGATTTATGGCTCTGATACTGCTCAAGTCGTCTGTCTAGGTGACTGCGTATTCTGGCCAAGTCTATATCGGTAAATCCATCAACATGAGTCCCTCGAGTACCTTAGACGAGGCCGCAAGAGCACACACAGGCAGTCACAGCACTAAGAATGGCAAGCACAACTCCAACGGGTCATCTACGCCAAAAGTAGTGTCAAAGGCTACACGCAAGTGGCATTTTGATACTCTTCAGGTCCATTCTGGTCTCGAGAATGAAACAGCCCATGGGCAATGCTCCCTGCCAATCTACAACTCAGCATCATTCCGCTTCAAGTCATCCAAGAGCATCGAGGATGCCTACAGCTTTTCAGATGGCCCGAGGAGCCAGTTTTACATGTACAGCCGACTTTCCAATGTGAGTACTCTCATCCCAACCCCGGTAAGATGGTGGCTGATGAATGTGAAGCCAAGTAATGTCGGCTTCGAAAAGCGCATGGCAGCTCTGGAGCTCGGGCAAGACGCTCTTAGCTTCGCAAGCGGCGCTGCTGCAATTCTGACAGTCGCGCAATCCTTGGTGACTGTTGGTGATAATGCTGTTGTGAGCGGTTCTGTTCATGGTGGAACATATCATCAATTCGAAGTCATCCTCCCTGCCATGGGTCTAGAGTGTCGCATCATGGACACAAATGACCTAGAAAAGGTTGAAGCGGCGATTGATGAGAGGACAAAGTTCGTCTTCACTGAGACCATCAGCAACCCCAAGTTCGCAGTAGCAGACTTGGAGGGTCTTTCAGCCATTACACGACGTGCAAAGATTCCTCTAATCGTCGATGCCACCTTTTCAGCTGCTGGCTTCTTCTGCCAGCCAGCCAGATTCGGTGTCGACATTATCATCCACTCAGCTACCAAATGGATCGGTGGTCATGGAACCACGTTGGGCGGAGTTGTCATAGAGACTGGTGTTTCTGACTGGCAGTCCAATGCAGCTCGCTATCCTCATCTTCACGCAAAGAGAGGCCGCGAAGGCACCGACACCAGCCTCTACGACCAGTTTGGTAATGAAGCATACATGAGCTTCCTGCGATGGGAGTTCATGCGCGATACAGGAGCTTGTCTCGGTGCGCAGGCCGCTCAGCAGCTCTTCATCGGCGTCGAGACCCTTTCGCTTCGCTGTGAGCGCCAGCACCGGAATGCTCTGTTCATATCGTCTTGGCTGCGCAACCACCCGCGCATCGCTTGGGTCAAGTACTTGGGCTTTGAAGACCACCCGTATCACCAGCTCGCCTTAAAGTACCTCAAGGGATTTGGAACTGTCATGACCTTTGGTTTCAAAGGGACAGTGGACATGGCATTTGATGTTGTTGATTCGTTTGAGATTATCTCGAATACGCCCAATGTTGGAGATGCAAAGACTACTGTAGGGCATCATTGGTCGACGACGCATAAGGGGTGTTCTGTTGAGCAGAACGAGGCAATGGGTGTGCATGAGGACCTATTCCGGTTGTCACTTGGTATTGAAAAGGTGGACGATCTCATTGCTGATTTCCAGCAAGCCTTTGACGCAGTGCCACTCAGAACCTAACTGATTCATTTTGTATTCATCATTCAATTCAATTGTTGTCATGAACTTGGGAAGCACAAAGGCAGAAGAGATATAAGATAGCCGTGTTCCTTTGAATAACAAGGTAGTAGAGAATCAAGAGTATCACACGTGGATGGAAAAACTACAAGTCCTGAAAGCTACTGCAGCGTACTGTACCGGGGAGAGCACGACTGTTGATTTCTGTAGAAAATGTGCCTTAGGTGACGAATTCAGGCATGTGTCATTAGAATGCTCACGGAATGGTATTTCGTAGGTGAATAGTCATAAACGCAACGACGGGCTAGTCAGAGGCTGACTGCCCCCGGAAGTCCTCTGGACGAATGCTGTTGGTGCTGCTGTTGGTTGTGAACAAGTCAACGTGTAGCATGACCATGCAGTGTCAGAATGCCCCGCATGGACAGAGCCCCCTTGGCCATTAACCAGCATCTTCGCTGCAGTGCAACATGATACGTACTTGCGGTGCAGGGATGGACATCAAACATAAGGTCTCCGGGAACAACTATCTGAATATCGATATGCAGACACACGTTTCTCACTTACCTACGACTTTTAGCAATGGCCGAACAAACACGACTCCACATCTGGCTGAACCTGCCAGACAATCAAGGTCAGTTTATCGGATCAGAGCACAGATACCCTTGCTAACAGGTTTGGTTTCTGTCAGTCTCACTTGAGTGTGAGTGGCGATATGTACAACAAAACGGGAACGAGGCTCAGCAATTCCATAATTTGTACCTTGCGCCCAAAGTTCGCAACTCAGAACCACTGGAGACCTCCCTTGGTCCCGGAGTGTGGATCTCGAACAATGATACTCAGTCGAATGCTTCTCAGCTTAGAAAGAGTCAAGATTCAGCCATAGCCGCGCTTCTCCAGGAATGCATCGCGCAAGAAGAAGGCATGTGTGTCTTCCAGGTTCCTAGAGTGAGCGGCTTTACAGGGCATGCCGACCCTTGGGCCTTTCGTGTGGCAGACTGTGCCCTTGTTTCCTCGACCAAGTCATTTCTCTCACCACTTCAGGAGATAATAGCTCCTTCCGACGCCACCACCAACAACATTGTTGGCGTATTCAAGGCCTTGGAAGCATCGATAGGGGCTATTATATCCCCTCTGGAACTGTGCAATGAGACTATCGACAAACTTGAGTTTGAAGTCACACGAAGGCTTTCCTTTCCTTTTATCTCGCCAGAGCCTATCCGCAAACGGCGCATATGCTTCCTGATATGGAGTCGCATAGCGGCCAAGAGAGCGGCATGGGCTAATGCGAAGGCGCTGGGTATCGAAGTCGTAGTCATGAGTTCTGGCCCGTGGTCCAAGGATGATAAGCCACCACAGGAGTATCTGATGGATGGCTATATCAATATGGACATGACGACCGACGATGGCTTCTGGAAAAGAATCGTCGATGCGGTCAAGGCATACCCAGATCCAATAGATGGTCTCATAGGGCCGTGGGATATGTTCATGGTGCCGACGGCCAAAGCAGCGAGAGAGCTCGGACTCTATACACCAGGACCAGAGGCTTACTCGATTTCAACAAACAAGTATCGCACGCGCCAGATGCTCGATCCCGAAGAGAAAGACTTTTTCACGGTGCAGAATCTCAAAGAGCTGGATTCGAGACTGCAGTCTCCTAAATCCGTCAACTTCCCGGTTGTATGCAAACCAGTCGCCGGACTGAGCAGCTGGGGAGTCTACCGCGCAAACAACGCCCCACAACTGCGTGAAGCCGTCGAGAAATCCCTCATCGTCAGCCAAGAGCTTCCCGATCTGAGGGTTGTGGTCGAACCATACATCGATGGGCCTGAAGTGGACTGCAACATCGTCCTCTTCAAGGGCCGGGTTCTGTATACTGAGATTGTAGACGACTTTCCTTGCTCCGCAGACCTCGCGGAGGATCCGACAGGAAAGCTCTTCACAGAGTCACAAGCGGCTGTGCCATCGAGGCTCCCTGAGAATGAACAGCGGGCCATCACAGACGAGGTTGTCTCGGCAGTTCGTAAAATGGGCTTCGACACTGGCGTGTTTCACTGTGAGGCGAGAATTTGCAACTCGTCCATGAAATACACTTTCACCAAAGGTGCAACGATTCCAGACCTTGAGCCTATAGCAGAGCCCAGAAGTTCCGAGGACACTCCAGTATATCTCCACGAGGTTAATGCCAGGATGCCAGGACCAATGAGTTCAGCCTCCAGCGTCATTTCACGCGGAATCGACTTTTGGATGCTGGGCGTTCTCTGCGCCGTTGGTGAATGGTCTCGATACGAAGCGTTTTCAGTTCCATTTCTGAATCCAGAGGTCACCGACCACACATGGCTCATCAACTGCATCGTGCCCGTCAGCCTGGAGCGCATCAAACCCCTGTTCCCCGATCATCCGGCAGATCAGCTTGGACATCAGGCGGTGGACAGCAGTCACAGCCCTATATTGGAACTGGCCAAGACCCACCCCCATTTGACGAAGCATGTGGCACGGCACCATGTGTATATAGAGCCTGCGACGAGATTGGGAGGCAAGGAGGGTGATTGGTTGTGGACTATGTGTATGGTGTTTCACACTCCGCATAGTCGGGAGCACGCATTCCAACTAGCTCAGGAATTCCCAGAGGTTTACGAGGCTTTTGTAAGGGACAGGTATGGCCATGGCTAGAATGATACAGCTGCACTGAGAAGTCAAGTTCCATGAGAGGTGGGTGGTGGGAGAAGCCGGCCTAGTAGGCATCTGAGATACATGGGGTTGGTGATGTGAGTAACGGTGTCCGTGAAGGATAGGGCTAGGAGGTTCAGCATTCGCTTAAAAGGTGTACATGAGTAGACTTTTAAAGCTCTTTGTAGGTGCCTGTATCTACACTGTCCCGACTGTATAGATTACTGGGCATCCCTACATCGACGTCATTTGATCAAGCTGATTCATCCGCCTCACTCTGGCTGCCTTGACGGTATCGGACTAACCGTTTCGCCGAAGCCGAGCCTCTCCCTCCAGCCTCCTGTTCGCAGTCCAACATTCACGCTCACCACCATCATTCAATCTCTCTCAACCTCCGCCATAATTATCGCCGCACCCGAATCCTTCGCTTTCTTTCCACTTTAATCCTCACGCACTTCACCCATCAGCATTTCACCCATTTTTCTTCCCGCCTCGCCTCGACCCGATCGAACCCTTTCTCAACAATGCTCACCGAGAGAAGCCCGTGAATCGCGCTACAGCCGTTGTAAAATTCCGGATTATACCCACCCAGCAAGCGCGTTCTGCCTCGCTTCGTGGAATAACCGGGGCTCGTAGAAGGGACCTGCTCAAATCTCGCAGTTCATCTGGAGTTTGGGGCGACCTAGCAGTTTCATCTGGAGGTCACAGGTAGCCTGGCAGCGAAGCCGGCTTCTCTTTGGTGTGCGTTGTCGAGTTTGGGGGCTGCAGGTAAGTTCCCGACATTTTTTGTACTGACCATTTAGTATCCTGGCAGTCAGCGGTATGTGATTCACTGCACGAACTATGGCGACTCCATCATGCGTCGATATTGAACAGACACCCGCCGTCGTTGAGTGGGAATGGGAGGGCGCGACGCGTTCCTTGGCCACTCCAGATCCAGACAATGTCCCGATACGATTCACAATACACATCGATTCGACCCACGACAAGTATCGCGCTCATTTCGAGATAGTTGTTCCTGTCAAATTTAAAGACAAGCCGAGTAGTGCGGCAGTTTTCTTACGAATTAGTCCTTTATTCATCACTTGTTTCCGCTTCTCTACAAATATTGCCGCTTTGGACTCTTTGAAAAAGCAACGGTTTAGCTCCGCCGCATGTCTGGAGTTTGAACTGAGCAACTTTATCGCCGTACTTGTCCCCAGCTACGTCAAAGAACCAGTATCAGCCTCCCGGCCACGCTCTGGCAAAGTTCTCGACTCTCTCTACGAGCTATCCCATGTCACTTCTCTCCGAATATATATCAAAGATGCTCTATTATCCCTCGACCAACTCAATTCCATCAGCGACGCAGTAACGAAAGCCCAGCTCGAGCCCTTTTCTGGCCCCGAATATGATATCTCTCGCATGTTCAGTGGCAGCGGCGCAAAGGCTACAAAACTCTCACCACCCAAACCTCCATCATATGAGAAGGCAACGAGCTCACAACCGCCGAGCGCTCCCTCATATCAACGTAAACGACCTCGACAGGACAGTCCCCAGCGGCCCGATAGCATCAGCCAAGTATGGGACAAGCTACAGAAGCTAGAGTCCTTATTTCACAGCAAGGTTGAAGAGCCAACAGCTGAGAATGCTAAGCTCCGGGACCAAAAGCCAAAACCTGACGAGACGCAAACTGAGACCACCCAGCCTACAGACCAGTCACAGGTGGTTGTAGAGCTGAGAGCTGAGAACGCTCAGCTTCGTGAAGAGGTCGAGCGTTTGAAGAAGAGGCAGGAGGGTCTTGAGGCAGAGGTCGCATCACTACAAAACGCGCAAAGAAGCGAGAAGGATACAGATGAGGTTGCAATAATAGAGATTCGAGACGACATAGAGTCACTGGAGCGTAGACTGTCTTGGGTTGAGAATGGAAAAGATGAATACTTGATGAAGCAAATAAAGCAAGAAATCTTTGACGAGTTAGCAACGCGTGTCTCGGGCGGCTAGGGCTTGCACCGAGGTACAAAATCAATCCAAAAGATCAAGACACTTTACTGATACTCATCAGAAGTGAACAATTAGCGGGATGCCAGGGTGATGTTACGATCACTGGTTTTTCAAAATCACATAAATGACAGGACGAACAACCTGCGAACATTTGTGTATGACATACGGCGTGACCAATCGTGCTCCATCGCAAGCGTAAACGACACGACCCAAAGGCAACAGCGAAGGGAAACCAGACGTTCAGGAGTACGAGCCATATACCATCAGGTTCAAAAGATTCATTGCTCGTTTATTGCCATGTCCTCCTCTAGTTAGGTTGCCAACCCGGATACTAAAAAAATTATCTATCTCAAAAAGTGACTGTTTTAGTTGCTCGATTAATGAAGCTCAGCTCCACCAGAGAGGAGAACATTGACGAGCTCTTCGTCCTGAGCCCTGACTGCTACTTCGAGGGCCGTCATGTTGGCCGAGTCGCGGGCATTGATATTTGCTCCGTGATTGACCAGCAGCTCAAGAGCACTCGCACGTCGGAAGCGTACAGCGATATGGAGGGGAGTTGTGCCGGAGCAGTCGCGCGAGTTCACGTCTGCGCCAGCCTTGATTAGCGAGAGGAGAATCCCCGTCGTTCCATTGCGGGCAGCGATGTGGAGTAGCCTAGATGGTCTACTGTTGAGATCGCTGGAGTTGGAGTCGGAGGTGAGTGAACTTGACGACGCAGGCGGTGCTCGCGGCTCTGGGTTAGATATCCCTGGGACTGGGACTGAGACTGAGAGCTGACGGGGGCTAAGCGTGTCCACTAGTGAACCACTAAAACCAGGCCAGTCCTCATCGAGAGAAGAGGGCCAGGGCAGGGCTGTAGGGTCATCCAGGGGGCCGTCTAGTGCCCAGACGCCAAGGTCTTCCGACGCTTCGGCCCGTAGACAGGCGGAGTCAGAACCAGAACCAGGACCAGAGCCAGAGCCCGAACCCGAACCTAGACCAGGACCAGGGTGTTGTGGCGGGTGCAATTGCGACGCCAAGTCCTGCGAAGTTGCTCCTGCAGTTGGCGTTGGCTGTACTGCGACGTCCGCAGTAGTGTCGCTATGCTGCTCACGTTGCCGTTGGCGTGCTCCTAAGGCTTGTGAGCACAAGGTAGTTGCAATAAGGTCGCAGTAACATACTCGATGCCCTCTTGGCGATTCTGTTGCGTTCGCGGAGACGCTGCGTTTCCTGCTGCTTGGGCGATGGGAAGAGGACGCAGGCTTCAAGCTCTTCCATTTCAATTGAGAGCCAAGAGATGGATGTTCACCCTGCTAGCGGCATAGAGCTTGGCTTTGGTGCACGCACGCACAGGACAGTAGAAATTCAGCTTCCAAGACCGCCAGACTAAAGTTAGAAACCAACCGCCGAGCCTCAAGAGTGGCGGTCCATACTAATAAACGACGGTGATGGCGTATAATACGGCTTCACGGCACAATCCTTGGCGCTCAGGAACGGGCAAAACACGACTCTGAACGTGCCGACGGAGGAGGTTTGCGCATTTTGGACCCCAAACACTCCAGGCGACAACATAAGAGAGCAAGGTTCTTGGCGGAAGTTGGCTACGGGTATGTTTGTTGCAGGCGTATAATATACCGAATGAGGCAACTGGAGTGGCTCATTAGATCATAGAGGTATCATAATCGCGTTTGTCTGCCGTGCCGTAGACATATACAGACTAGACGGATTCCTTCTATATCCCAAAACAACAAGAGGCCGAGACGCCTTATATCAGAAGCTCCACTGATAAGAGATGAGGCATGGGAATTAACAGGGCATAACTTGACATCTGCGATCCTACGCTAAACTACATCGAATCTAGCTGGTCGATCTTATGGAGTTCTCAGCGAATATATTCTCCGTAGCACGACAGGTCCCGACTTGGCTTCACAGTACCCCAAGGTGAAGTAGTGTGAGATCGAGAACCTGGCCTGATTGCCAAGAGAGCAAGCTTAAACAATAACTATATGTAAGCTTATGTTCAGTTGTATCAGTGAACGATATTGCTGGATACAGGTCCAGGTCGAGTCACAGACACACTTTTGTCCTGGAAATGAAGCACGTTGATGACCAATGGGATGACTGCCTGTGTCAGGACCTTTTGTTTACGCCGTTGCAGTTGGTGATGCAAGGTCAGAACAGCGGGCGCAACAGCGTATTATGACTGCGCGCCTCGCCTGTAGTAGGCATGCACTGTTTGCTTATGCAACCGAGATCAGCTTGTCATTTTTCTTTTTTGCCACAGGTACCTGAAGATTTTGATCCTGCTTACTGAACCGAGAAGTGATGACCATCAAGAGCACACTGAATTGAGCCAACGGTTCTGAAATTAGTCTTCGTTAGCACTATGGCGTGATTGATGATCCTTGGAGGCTCGTATGTAGCTCGAGGGATTGACACAGGCGGCAAATCACTACATTTCTGACACGGCTGCAGGGTGAGAGGATGGCAATAACTTGAGACTTCGACGTGGTGTGACCAAGGCACTACACGAGGCACCTGGATGATAGATGCCGCTTGAGACAGAGTATCAGGTCTCTTTACACCTTGAGGCATGGTCAATGTGGCATGAAGGTTACCAGAATGGCTCTGACCTGGTGTGTATATCATGAGCTAGTGTCATGAGTGTAGATGCCTCCCCATCATCGAGCTGTTGAATATCACCATTAGTCACTTCAGGCGACCACTCTCATATCCATCATCATGTCTCATTATGCATCCGAGGTCAAAGAAACCTCCCCAACAGATCAGCCGCAAATAATAGCCACTATCAAGTATCAGATCGATGATGGCGTGCGACATACCTCAGAACAAGCTTGGAACAGGGGCTACACCAACAACCCCAATGTAAAGCAGATTCCTGTACCATATCCTCTCCATGATCTACGCGCAGTAGCTTTCACCAACGGTGCAGACTGGTCTTGGTCGCATTCTGCAGAAATCCTGAAGGACTTTGGCTTCACCGCTATCAAGTTTGACCCAAAATGGGCCAAAGTCGACGACGAGGTGCAGGCTGGAGACTACGATGATTTGCAGACTTTAGAGGAGACCTACTTCCCTGAAGTCAAAGAATCGGTGCTCAAATTGACAGGGGCGAAGCATGTCTTCATCACAAACAGTATCGTTCGAAGAGGTGATGCGCCGGTTAAGAAACCTGCGAATGGAACCGGTAGCTCAGCGGTCGTCAATGGCAAAGACCAGAAGAGTGTACCTGATAATTACAAGGCATCAGATGAGACTCGACCAACACATCTTGCATCCTCTGACAACTCGAGGCCTGCGAGAGGAGCACATGTAGACTATACGCCAGTTGGTGCTCGGCGCTCTATCCGTCGCTGGCGGCCAGACATTTACAAAGCCGCGCTTGAAGCTGGGATCATTGATACCGAGGACAAGATCTGTGCATCAGCGAAACTTGACGCCCAAGACAAGGCGAGCAACGATATCATCGAGGCCAAATACAACGCGGACGGCAAGCTGGGACCGCGATACGCAGCCTACAGCGTCTGGCGGCCCATGCGTACAGTAACGCGGGATCCGTTAGCAATGGCTCCTCGATGGTCTTTTCCCCAGGACGGAGCATTAGGATTTCTGGGGTACGAGTCTAGAATGTTAGCTGCGCCTTCTATGGGTGGTGACTTTCTACGAGAGCTGGAGTCTGTGGTTATCAGCGAAGCAGATGCGAGAGCATACGAGGACTCGGGGGTGGTTGCGCGTGGAATGGAGAGTCCGAAGTGGTACTATCTCCCAGAGCAGAAGCCAGACGAGGTCATTGTGCTCAAGTTCTTTGATAGTGCTGCTCTTGGGGGAGGTTTGGTGTCTGGCGATGTTGGGGGTGCGCCTCATGCGAGTCCTGATCTTGGCGATGCTGCTTATGGGCCAGCTCGTTGGAGTATTGAAGTTAGATGTATCGCAATATGGTGAGGGTTTGTAGCCCGGCGGTATCTTAAGGGGTTCATGTAGTTCAGAGGTCACAATTGTTTTGTATCCCTATTAGGAGATGTTCAATTGACCTGGGTGTATTCAAAAAGACGCCTTGAAAACACATGTATCGTGCAAAGTTCAGGCTATGTGCGGTTATTAGGCCATAGATGTCAAAGTGATATCAGAATCATATCACTATCCAGTATCCAATGCTCACCCTCATACTCTCATGCTGCAGTATGGCGAAATAACACCAAGTCAACTCCGACCAATCCAAGTAAAACGTAGCCTGTATCCTGTTTACCTTACCCTTGGAGATTAGCTTATGCATGTAATACTTACCTAAGGAAAGGCTTGAAAGGGCAAAGACCTGCGTATGACCCTGCAGAGTCAGAGGCAACGGTACCAAAGTGGACGTGCTCCCTCGTATCTAGCCATACTCCCAGCAGACTTCTCTTTCCTATGCAGTCCATCTATCTTGCTATTCTTCATTTCTAAGACCACACTCGCCAGCTCTATCTCTCCACAGCCCAGCATGAAAGAGCATAACACAAATGGACACACCAACGGGACCTCAGAGAAGAAGCCATCACGGCCCTCAACTAATGGAATTGTCAAGAACAGGCCAAAATGGAGATTCGACACCATACAGATTCATGCAGGGCTGGAAGAAGACCCGAAGTATGGTCACTGCACCCTACCCATCTATAACACCGCCTCGTTCAAATTCGGCTCTTCAGCTGCTCTGAACGTAGCATTGAGTGACATATCAAGCTCTCAAAACCATTTGTATACCCGTGTATCTAACGTGAGTCTTTCTGCCAATGGGAATTCAACACTGTGTCTAATGCGGATATGTAGCCAACTCACGATGGACTTGAGAAACGCATCGCAGCCCTCGAGGACGGTAGAGATGCCTTAACTTTCTCATCGGGCAGTGCGGCTGTTTTGGGCGTCATCGCGTCGCTAGCAGGAATGGGCGATAATGTCATCGTATCTACGAGCATTCATAGTGGAACGTACCGCCAGTTCCGCAAGGCTCAGGCCCAGCTGTAAGTCTTTTGCTTGTTAGCATTAGGGGAAACCTGTAGGCTAAATCGAGCTCACAGCGGTATCGAATCACGGTTGTGTGATGTAAACGATCTTGAGCACGTCAAATCTCTTCTTGACGGCAAGACCAAATTCATCTTCACCGAGTCTCTCGGTAACCCCATGTTCTCCGTCCCGGACTTTGAAGCTCTCGCCGCAATCGCGCATTCAGAACATGTCAAGATCCCCCTCGTGGTTGATGCAACACTCACCGCAGCTGGTTACTTCTGTCAGCCTGCTAAATGGGGCGCCGATATCCTCATCCACTCCGCGACCAAGTGGATAGGAGGCCATGGCACTACACTCGGCGGTCTTGTTATTGAGACTGGGCGTTCAGACTGGCAGACTAATAAGATTCGCTTCCCAGGTCTCTATGGAGAGCTTCCGGGACTGAAGGGTGAGCAGGATGATTGGTATGCGGCTGCTGGTGATAGGGCATATATGCAGTATCTCAAGACTGAGTATATGCGTGATACTGGGCCATGTCTCGGTCCCTTTGCAGCACAGCAGCTATTCATTGGTAAGAATCAAACCTACATCTTCACATGAAGATGGTCTTACTCACTGTGACCAGGGGTAGAAACACTTTCAGTCCGCTGCGAGCGTCAGTCCAAGAACGCAGAGACCTTGGCCCTCTGGCTCCAGGACCATCCCCGAGTTGCCTGGGTGCGCTATCTAGGCTTCCAAAATCACCCTCATCACCAACTTGCCCTCAAGTATTTCCAGCGGGGCTTCGGCACGGTCATCACGTTCGGGCTCAAAGGCGGCGCGGCGGAGGCTATCTCCTTGATCGACTCCTTTGAGATGATCATCAACACAACGAATGTGGGCGACTCCAAGACGCTGGTTGGGCACCACTGGTCAACTACGCATAAGCACTTCACCGAGGAGGAGAATCTGTCTATGGGAGTGGATGAGGACCTTGTGAGGTTGTCACTTGGGATAGAGGATGCGAGGGATATCATAGCGGACTTTGAGCAGGCTTTTGAAAGAACTAGAGGTAAAGTTTAGATAGAACTGAAGCTTTAGTACTTGGTAGGGGATCAAAGGTAGCAGGAATATCTGTATTTGCTGGAGTGCCGTTCATGTGTACAAAGGTTTTATAGTGTCCTTATATACAATCATACATCAGCCAATATCTACTCCTTTGTCAACCGGATCCCCCTTCCAGCCAAGATGTCATTTCTCTCTGACTTCAGCCTATCCTCAGATGTCTTGAACAAAGACGGCATCCCAGTCTTCTCGTACACCAGCCCCTGAGTCATGGCTGCAATACCCTCCGCGGCCAAGAAGATAACAGGCATACCATGCCCGTGGAACCCAGCAATCACGAATACACCATCTCTACCAGGAACCTCTCCTACATGAGGAAGAGAATCAGTACTATACCCCATAATCCCCGTCCAGACACGATCGACACGCGCGCACGACTCCTCCCACCCGAGAAACGTCCGCTGCATGTAGTCCTCTTCAAAGTATCGCTGCACGGGCTCAATGGGCTGCATGTCATCAACGTTGTTGTACCAGCTCCCTGGGTCATTCTCATCGTACTTGTGGTGAGCGCCACCAACCACTATGCTATTGTCATCTAGCTGTACCATATAGCTGTACCCGGTCTTGTTGGAGATGGGGTCCTGTTCCATTATAGCGTAACTTGCGGCGCGGAGTTTCGGTAGTGGCTTGCCCTGGGGGCCTGTGATGTGGCATGCAAGTCCCTTGCAGGGCACGATAGAACTCGCGTATTCGGGGAGAAGTGCTGGGGTATAGGCGTTGGTCGCGATGACGACCTTTTGAGCTGTCATAGTTTCTCCCGAGCTCATTCTGAGGATATGGCCGTTTGATCCAGAGTGCTCAACTGACACAACCGTAGTCTGGGTCCTGAGTGAGAGCCCCATGGCGACACAGCGCTCTAAAAGGGCTGTGAGAAGCTTGTAGGGTGATACCCTAGCTGCAGGCGTGGAGAAATAGCCCTTTGCATCTCGGAATCCTGTGCGGTGAGGCGCATCGTCACCCTCGTAGAACTCCACCACATCCAGCAGGGTATCACTGAAAGGCGATACTTGCGTCAAGCCCTCATATGCCTCACGAACCATGGAGACTTGCCCGGGGGTTGTGAGAACAGCGAGACTCTCCGTCTCCGCAAAGTCGCAGTCTATAGCTTCCGACTTGATAAGGGCCCTTATCACATCGAGATGACGGGCTTCAAATTGCACAATCTCAGCCGCTGCAGAGGCGCTGTACCTCTTGGAGTTGCTCGCAGCTCCCATTAAATAGTCAGGGCGCAGGTGCCCTCCATTCCGTCCTGTAGCTCCAGAACACGGATCCTTTGCCTCGAGGAGGAGCACACTGGGTGGTGCAGAGGTCGTCTTCAGTATGTGATATGCCGTAGCGATGCCTGCATAACCACCGCCCACAATAGCCACATCACATGAGCTTGGGAGAGGTTCGCTTGGTGCAGGTACTTGATGCTTCTGGGCTTCATGCTGCCAGTAAGATGGCGGTGATCCCTCCACGGGGAGGCCTGGGATACTCATTGTGATGTGTGCCGCAATACCATAGACTAAGGATTAGAGCTGGGTACGAACATGAGAAGGCCAGGGTCAGTAGGCGATTACCTATACCGATGTCAGCTTATGACAGAATGGTGTAATGTAGTGTCAGAACCGATCTTTGACAGGAGTGACTTGCATAAAATGGCCAAGAGACAGGGCCAATGACCCTGCAGGATGTCGACTTATACCGACTTACACCAATAATGGTGCTGATTGGCGAACCCTGCATGAATGACACTGCATGCATATTCAAAGCGCAACCTATGTCCAAGGCGATGTATTCTTCGCTTACAGGGCATAGACTAATTCGGGGGACTTTAACGACATTCCAGCCCAACCGTTGGATAGGTAGCATGTTATATCAGAGGCTCAGAGGCACTAAAGTTCTATTCAAACCCTTGCCTCAGGAACTACTCGCCTATCTAAGTCGCCCAAAATGTCAACCACAGCCACAATCACCAAAACAACTAGAGTCCTCTCACCCGAGTCCGCTGACTTTACAACCATCTCGTATACAAGGATCAAACAAGGAAACGCCAATGAGTTGGCTGCTCTCCTAAGAGCATGTGAAAAGGACGGATTCTTGTACCTGGATCTCCGGAATACTGACGCGGAGGCTATACCAGTCATCAAAGAGGTACCATTGTTATATAAGGGCGTAAATAATTTCTTCCAGCTGGATGAGGATGAGAAGATGAAGTATGATGTCGACACAATCGGCCCCTGGAAGCTCAATGGGTTCATTCATCCTCGACTCTGCGGCATTCGTGCATTCGCTGACTTGTTGAGTGTAGTTACACCCCTTTCGGGAGGAACGCCGGCCTGGCTGGAGATGGGAAGAAGCATGGCGTTGAGGGATACACAGTAGGTTCTCTAACAAATTCGTTCATCTGTAAACAGTGGGTAGCCTAACACTATCAGTTTCCCCGAGATGGCATATGCAACCCCGTCGTAGACGATCATCCTCTTTCCCTACCACAGATACTGCAAGATGAAGCCCCCCTTTTGGCCAGCGTCATGGATAAGCTCCATGAGATTGGTCTAGGACTGCTAGATGCCCTAGACCAGATCAGTCACGAAGCAGGCACACCACTTGCACCCAAACACCTCCCCACAGACCCTTCAACCTCATGCATGACAGTCCAGCGATACCCCTCCCTCTCAATCGAAGGTCCCAACGCAGGCCTCAGCGCCCACACCGACGTCGGCAGCCTCACCATCCTTTTCTGCGGCGATCGCGGCCTGCAGACATTCAACCAGGACACGCAGGAGTGGCATTCCGTGGAGCCCCGCGACGGCTGCGCGGTCGTCAACGTAGGAGACTCGCTTCGCTTCCTCTCGGGGAGGAAGTTCCGGTCTGTGGTGCACCGCGTGGCTCCGTACCCGGGGGAGACGATCGAGAATAGGTTCTCGTGCGCGTACTTTATGAGGCCGAGAATGGATGTTGAGTTTGAGGATGAGAAGGGTGAGCGGTGGAAGAGCATTGATTGGCATATGAGGAAGTATAAGAGTTACCGCGAGGCGGGCAAAACGGCTTGAACTCGAGATATGCCATGTAGGATGGCTGATTTGCATATTTGCCCCTATCTATCACTAGTCTTTTCCAGCTAGAATACAGCTATTCATGATATCCGGCGATAGCACATTGGATGCTTTGTAGTTTCCCCAACAGTCTGCTGACGGTCATGAGGCTAAACAAGTGCTGGCAATGCTGAGTGGTTAACTGCTACGTATATATTATAACTCAAAGTCTTATGCCAGGTTCAAAGAAGTAAAGTCTTGACTTTATAATACTTGTAAACGTCTCAAGAATCTTCTGCCAAGCTTTGACTCTTCTTGTAAACATATCCATCCAGTCTGTAGGTAATTTACAGTGCCCAAGGTACCTGCTAAGGGAGGAGAGAACTCAGGGCGTGAATCTTACCTAGATGATAAACAGATTTAGTCAACTTAGACCCAGCTAGGTAAGGAGACTCTTTGCTACCTGTAGTACCTAAGCCTCTGGGAGCAAGAAAACACGAGACCCAAGTTTAGGGTGATAAAATAAACTCTATAAAAGGTATCCTAAACTTATCCTAAATTTATACTAAGTTACCTAAGTCTTTTTATCAGTTAGGTTCAAGGTCCCGAGTTTTATTTCCTCCCCTAGCTAAGGTACCTAGGTAAGTTTGGGATGTCTTCTCTTCCATGTCTTGATCCCTGGGGCTTCAATAGTAACAGTAAGGCACGTAGCACTTGCCGGTGACGTCCACTTTCCCATCAACATTTTAATTGCCACTGCCTTCATCTCAACTATGTACACAACAACATCACCATCATCATCATCATCATCATCACCACAATCGTTATATGAAGGATCTGCCAACTCATCATGTCTTTCACGAAGTTCCCCGACCTTCCTCCTGAACTTCGGGACGAGATTTAGGACATCGCCGCGCGTAGTCACTTGGACGAGCCAACCGCCCACTTCGCTGACTTCTTGAACGGATTCCTCCCAGTTCGGCAACTGCAGCTTAAAGCCACTTCGAACAAAGGCCTTTGGGGGCCTCTGAACCCGCCTGGAATACTTACAGCATTGATGAGCACCTGTAAGGCCTCAAAAGACAGAACGGAGAAAATTGTAAAGAGGTGGTGGCCCCAAAGATCCCTGTGGCTTCCTTATATGCAGATCTATACGAACCGCAGCTATACTGGTTTGCACTTCACTATTCCACCCAATGCATGGGCAGGACCAGGGGGCGAGTTAGTTGATGTCTCCAATGACCTTATCATTGTCCACCGACTTCCCGCCCCCGCGACTCTGAATACATTCCCCACAGTCGAGTCTATCGGCGGTCTTTACGAACATGATCCTTCCAGCAACCTTTATCCCTGGTCTTCAGCAGGCATCAACGCCTTCGACGCTAGATTTCCTCTTGGGTATCAGGCGGAATTCCTACAACCATTCCCCCGACTTCGAGTTCTGTACATCATCGTCAAGCCCGAGGATATCATTGAGCAGGCTGTCAACCGACAACAGTCCACCATGACGAACTATCATCGGGATTACACACAAACTGTACATCAGTTCCCTCCCAAGACATTCAACGCCCGTCGGAGAATTTACTATGAGATGCCAGAAATGACGTGTAATGGCTTGCAATGGCTCTACCAGACGATAAAGGATACTTCTGCTGAGGCGCGCCCAGAATTGCCCCCGCTTGTCATCCGGGTCATGACGTGGAGACATGCTCCAGGAGTCCGAGGGCGCTTCGATCCCAATTAATAGCAATTCATAATAAGCGTCTTCAAGGCAAGAAAATAGCGAGATAATAGAATATTCATGCTCCAAGATTGCAAAAGTTTAGAAAAGTTTTATAAGAGTAATCATAAATCCTAAGGCTATTCTAAGAGATTTAATAAGTAAGGTCTAAACTTTACAAACTTATGATTAATTCAAGAAACCTCTTCTAAAATTGGATAATTTGATACAAACGTTAATGCAGTGAAGTCGGCGATGTAGGTTAATAAACCTCCGGCCCGTGCGGGAAAAACGCGGACCTGACCCGACCCATAATATTTTTCTTCGCAAACCTCCACTCCAAACCAATCCGTTCCGGCGCATTTACGATCCGATTACCCATGATCAATTACGCCATTTTCTGAATCCTTGCCATTGAATCTCTCGAACCGTCACCCAACTCCTCCCGGCGATACCACCGCACATCATCTTCGTCATGGCAGACAAAGACGCTTGTCCCGTCGATCACAAATCCCGCGAAGCATGGCTCGCCCAAGCCCGTGAAGCCGAAGCCGCAAAAGCAAAAGCAGCTGGATGTCCAGTCGACCACACAGCGCAAGCACAGTCCAAGTCATGGTCTCAAACATTCTCGTCATATCTCCCTTGGTCCTCGAGCACACCTGTACCGCCGCCTACGCAAACTCCTCCGAACAATGGTCTTGATACTGATCGCGTTGTATCCACGATTCCACGAACCTCTGGCGGACCTGCGGCGTGTCCGGTAGATCATGGGAAAGAACCTGCAAAGCCTGCGAACCACGAAATGGAGACGGGTGTAGATCCCTCTGGAAACTGGGTGTATCCGTCGGAGAAGATGTTTTTCGATGCGATGAAGCGAAAGGGTTATGATGCGAGGGTAGCAGACATGAAGACCGTTGTGCCAATCCACAATGCTGTTAATGAAAGAGCTTGGAAGGAGATCAAGGAGTGGGAAGCGCCGTATCTCAAGGGCACAAAGTAAGGCTACAGCATCTATATTGGTGGGAAGGGAACTAATCGTGTTAGGTGTGATGGCCCCAAGCTCGAATCTTTTGCCAACAAGATGGATCGCATGACTCCCACCGCTCGCTTTAATACTATACTCGGCTACACGGCGCCGTTCGACCGACACGATTGGGTTATCGATCGATGCGGTACGAGGGTTGACTACGTTATTGACTTTTACGCTGGACGACCAGATGGAAAGGGCGGGCCTAGCTTCTATCTCGATGTGCGGCCGAAGCTGAATACATGGGAGGGTGTTAAGATGCGAGCCAAGAGATGGGCATTCCTTGCATAACGACGAACTGCTGTATAAAACTGTATGACGATGTATGAGTGATTCATTGGAGGCGTTTTGGAAAATGTACAATATGGGCAAAAAGCATAGACTTGGATGACTAGCATAAATCTCCATCGACTCAATTTTCATGTTCTAGGGTATTATTCCCTTTCGCCTTACGCCAATGACTTCCGATCTCACAACCTTACTGATCCTTCTTCCCCTCCAGCTGAGCAAGCAGACGAACAGGCGCACCTGTCTCAAAGGACTGCGCCTCGATGTTCCACCCCTTGGCAAGCATCTCATCCCAGAGCTCGCGCTTGTCGTACTTCTGTTCGTAGCCATCAACGGTTTCCTTTACGCGGAAGATCTTATCCAGCTTGTCGGTGTAGCCCTGGCTCTTCTCCAGAAGCCAGGCCATCTCCATGGCCATGAACCAAGCACTAATGGCGTGGACGGCACTGGCGTCCTGCCAGAGCATGATCTTGATGGGTGTGTAGCTGCGCTTCGAGTGATACCAGACAAAGAGTGAGTTGCGGGCCCCGTCGATGATGACGATGTTGCTGTTGGGGGCTTTGGCGCCCATGGCGTCCCAGTAGCTTTTGGCCATTTCGATACGTGCGATTTTCTGTCCATGCTGGTTTCGGACGGCGGGTCGCCAAAGAAGAATGTTCTCACGGCGGGCGACTTGTTCGGGAGAAAGTACAATTCCGGTCTTGAGATACTCTTCAAACAGGATGGTTGCGCGCTGCTGGTTCAGGTTGTCCATGCATACAGCCCGAACTCCAAGGTAATTCATCCAGAGATGAGCCAAGACGAGAACAGTCATCAAGAACAGAACGCTATGATGGTCCTCGACATACTTGACCACAATAGTTCCAAAAAGAAGGCCGATAAGACCTACGGCGGTCTCTTGGCTGGCCTCTTTGGCATTGAGTTCAGAGAGGTTGTCATGCTTTGCAAAGTGTACACTAAGAGCAGCTTTGCTCGCACCAGCAGCCACGCCACACAACGCCCGCAACGTCTCTCCAGAAGTCAAAGCAAGAATCTTTCCATAGGGCCCAAAGTACGGGCTGTACAGCTCCAGAAAGAAGGCAGTGTCGTTGAACAGATCAGCCAGGAAGCGGAAGCGCTTGGCGTCGGGCTCAATACGAAGACCGAATTGCTGGGCAAAAACGATAGTGGCGATGCGAGACATGGCGTCCTTGAGGACTGTGAGCAGCATGGCGAAGGTGGCGGATGAGTTGGCATCTCCGACGCCGAGACCTTGGAGGAGAGCTCGGTTTGCGAGGAGGGAAGTGATGGTTGAGAAGAAAGCTTGGAGGGAGTCGAAGAATTGGTAGTTCAGGTAGTCGGATGATACAGAGTGAGGATATCCGACTGGCATGAAGGCCTCGCGAAGAGAGGGAATGAGTGGGATACTAGGCTTCGACTTGGCAACGACCTGAAGCTAAGTTAGCCATGATACTCATATTCTCAAAGCGAAGGTAAAACGTACACGGTTGTCGACAGTGTGATTCCAGGTTCGGGAGACATTTCCTGATTTATCCAGCTCCACGATCTCAACGGGTTCGCCGCGACCCAGGAGGCTCGTTAGACCATCCATCGTGATGGTGTTGATGAGGTTGTAAGGATGAGAGAGAGTTGGAGGACGGTGAGCTATAGGCAGCTCACAGTGGTGTTACGGCACATGTTGCAGTGACACAAGCAGTGCCCCGCAGGGCGAAGACGTGTCAGTGCGACCGGCAGGTACAATGCGCGCTTAGAACTGCGGCGAGACTAGGATATATAAAACTCAAAGATGTCTCTTTGTAGGTCAGGTAAGCATTGATCCTACGGTGGAGACATATGTAGTCCCCGGAGCCGATTGAAGGCGTGGAGGTGAGTTTGGACGGCCCCACACGACGATGTGGAGGATCAACAACGGTTCAACTCATGATCATGATCGGCAGTGTTGGAATAATGATGAACAAGATCACTTTCAGAACGTAACAAGTAACAATGTTTCTTGTTTCGGCTTCAAACCTCTCTGTATATCATTCCAACATGCTATTTACTTCACTAGATCTTTTATATTCCCATCTATCGTCGAACAGCCTGGCCATCCTCTCCAACAAGAAACTCATCAGTCTTGATAGGTCCCTCACCAACACCAGTGGAAATAACTCTGCTCACGCCCTCCTTCAAAGTAGAAGCAAGACCACTCTCAAGCTCGACGCTAGACTTGGCGCTAGCAGCACCCTCCTTGAAACCGCCAACACCCTGGAGCGCTTGGTAGAAAGTACCAACCACGGTATCAGTGTCCTTCTCCTCGTAGTAGACAACACAGTTGGGACCAGCGTCAAAGGTGTAAGCGGCAATAGTCCTGCCAGCCTTCTCGTTGATGTACTCAACAGCACGAATGGCAGCGCGGGAGACGTCGTTCATGTAGAAGATGGGAGGGTATGTGTCGGCGCAAGTAGCGTGGAAAGAGTTGGAGTCGCGCATGGTGACCTCGGCGAACTTGGGAAAGTCCTTGTTCTTGATGGCCTCCTCCATGGCGGCCATGTTGGCGGGAACAACGTTTGCTATTCTCTCCTTGAAGAGGCCGGATGTAGCGACGGTCTGTTGCATGCCAGAGGTGGAAGAGACACCCTTCTTGGCGGCGCTGACAACGAGGATCAGAGCGCGCATGTCAGGCCAGTGTGAAGCGGGAGCGACAAGGTCGGCCTTGGAGTCGCTACCATCCTCCTTCTCGCCCATTCTCCACGCAACATATCCACCGAAGAGACTGCGGCAGGCAGATCCAGAGCCTTGTCTAGCGACGAGCGAAAGATCAGAAGGGGAGTCGGGAAGTTCGTACAGAAGAGCGATAGCTTGAACAAGCGCGGCGAAACCAGCAGCTGAAGAAGCAAGGCCAGCAGCAGTGGGGAAGTTGTTCTCGGACACGAGCTTCAGGGGGTATGTGGACAGCTTGGGGAGCGAAGAGTCGGCGGCCTCCAGAGCGGCGCGGCGGGATCGAAGCTCACGGAAGCAAGCTTGGGTTCGGGCGCCAGAGATGTCAGAGGACTCCCCGTTGAGAGTGAGGCTGTCGCCATCGGTGAAGGTGCTCGAGCACGAGGCTGTTGTGAGGGTTCGGAGATCGGCTTGCGAGAGGGTTACGGAGAGGGAGCTGTTGGTAGGGAGGTTGAGCTTAGCATCGCGCTTTCCCCAGTATCTGTACCATGTTAGTGACTGTCTTCAAGATGCGATGAGGGTGTAGTGTTTACTTGACAACGGCGATGTTGACGGGCGCAGTGGTGCTGGCGCGGTAGACCTTGGTATCGGACATTATGAAGCGGGGTATAAGGTAGACGGAGGAAGGTTTTGGAGAAAGTTTGAAACAAAGATTGGAGTGAAACAAAGCAGACGCTCAATTGATACGAGAGACGCAGGATTCAGGACTTGACGAAGAAGGAAAATTGACTTCACCGACTTGTTGTACCTATGGGGAAATGAGCCGTGGGACGGGTTGCTCAGAGAATTGGTCGGATTGTAACCTCATGGAGTCTAGTGCGGGGTCCAAACCCCTCTGGACCCCTGAAGCCCCTCAACACCAAGGGGAGCTCTTGGGGATCAGCCAATCCACTTTGAGCTTCCATTGGGTTTGGGAACTCAGCAGGATTCGATTTGAACTGGAGGATATCTATTAAGAATAGACTTTAGAACAGTTATTATAGGAACATTGAGCTAAGATACCAATTGACTTTGTTATGTTGTCTGATGCAATATCCGTAGAGAAAGGTAATTTGTTAGGCGAGATTGCAGATGATAGCGGCTTAACGTAAGGATAAGAGCCTTGGCAATGTATGTGAACTTGATCATGAGTGAAGACACAATAGTTGGATAGATGTATAAAAGAAAGCATTATGAAGATTCGTCACGTACCCGCGACAGAACTGTGATAGCATGGCTGCTTAGGACTGGATGAAAGAGTCGAGTCTCTGATGTTCAACTCGACTTAGAACTGGAGCAGGCTCGAGGCTCCAGGGTAGGCGACTCCATTTCACAACTCACAGAGTTAACATGATGCAATAATTATATATCAGGTCACATACCACAAGAAATGAAGTTCGAGTGTGCGAAAACAGGTTCCCTTCGTTTTATCTTTTGTTCGTTTAAAACGCTATTCGGCGTAGCTCTCAGTGTTAGAAGTGTAACTCTACACGGTAAATGCTTCAAGAACTATAACCAGCTTTTGAAGTCATGATCCACTCATTCCAGTTCATAAAGGTCAATTCGATTACTATGAAGTATTGAAACTTGTTATAATAAGCTTACCAAGTGGCTCGACTTTCCAACGTATTTCTTGTTTTCACCTCTTCAACATTGCATTGCCTGTAACGTTCTCGACAAGAAGCTCTGTGTAACTTGGAGGCGCACGTGGCAATGCATAAGAGGCTTGAAACCAGGAAGTTAACCTCCGGAACGAATCATAGTATGCCTCATAGAGCGCCATGTCTCTGATATCTGTGTTCTTGGCTGAGCTGAGAATTGTGGCAGTGATACTGCGTCAACGGTGAGCAGTGGGTTCTCAACCAATCAGAAACCGAGTGGATGAAGCTTCCAGGGACAGATTAAGCTTGGCTGGGGTCCTGACGTCACAAGCCGCAGCTGATCGATTGATCGATGAGATAGTGGTGACCGCACCGGGCAATGAATTCCAAAACAAGCAAGGCAAATCTTGGCTGTAAATGAATGACACGACCTTATTTCCACGTCTCATCCTCTGTGTCCCCCCTGTGCATGTGCCTCCCGCCTTGGCTAGAAAGCTTACTTGGACCTTCAACTGCTGCTCCCTCGACATACGATCTCTACCTTAACACTCTAAAGGTGCAGTCATGAATCACGCTTTGAGGCGCGCTGCGCTTGGAGTTTCTCCTGCTTTACGAGCAACACAATCACATATACAATTTGCTTCTCATCAATTACCAGCGTTGTACAGATGCGAGACGAAACAAACAGCTTTTAGACGCGCCTTCACAACGACGAGATGTTTCAGCCAAGAAGCTGCTGCTGCTGAGTCGCAGGAGGAGACAGCGCGAAAAGAAGAGCTGAGTGAGCAGGCGCGCAAGAGAGATATGAAAAAGGTGACATCTGGTGCCAGCGCTCAGACCTTGGAGAATGACCGACCATGGCATAGAGTGGACTCGGAAGCTGAGAAAGATTCCGATATACCTGACAAGACGGAAATGAAAAAGGGTAAGCTTGCTACAATCAATCCACAAGATGTATACTGACCCGCACAGGACGTCTATTGACTACCCCAACGCGTCTATTGAAGCTCATTCTGCCAATGCCCTTTCATCCTGAACAAGAACACGTCAACAGACCAGTACAGCAAGACGTCGAAGACAAGGGCGAAACAGTTGAGCCATTGGCTCTTCTCGTGCACCCGCACCAACCTCTTTCTTACCTCGAGCGATTGATACAAGCCGAAATCCCTCCGGTCCAGTACAAGGGCCGTGAGAAGCTACCCGACATCGTCTTCCGAGCCGAAGCAGACCAAGAAGAACAGCATGGAAAGAAGAATGACAAAAAGAACGGCAGCGGTAATGTTGCATCATATTCTGGTCTTGGCCATGAAGGTCCTTCCCGCAAAGAGGCGAACTGGGTGCGCTGGAGTGGCAGCACCGAGATCGGAGACTTTATTCGAGACGCTGCTCGCGGTCGTGAGTTTGCGATTGACGTTGAGGGCTTTGACAAGGAACTTCGAGTTGCGGTACCCAGCTTCAGAGACCGAACCTACTACATGCGCATGAACCTGAGACGCATGTCACGCGACATTGAAGAAATGTCAAAGGTCAAGAACGAATGCGACGCACTCGCGCACAAGGGAGCGCATCGATTGGCACAAGGTGGCTTTGCTGCTCTGGCTGGATGGTGGGGAGTTGTCTACTATGTCACTTTCCACACACAATGGGGCTGGGATCTTGTCGAGCCCGTCACGTATCTCGCTGGCCTGACAACTGTCATGGGCGCCTACCTCTGGTTCCTCTACATCAGCCGTGACCTAAGCTACAAGGCGGCCATGAAGGTGACAGTGTCAAAGCGACAAGCTGCACTTTACCAAGAGCGAGGATTTGATCAGAACCGATGGGAGCAACTGGTTCACGAGGCTAACCAACTTCGAAAAGAGATCAAGATCGTGGCTAGTGAGTACGATGTTGATTGGGATGAGAAGAAGGACTTGGGAGGCGAGCAAGTACGAAAGGTTCTCGAGGAGGAGAAGAAGGGCCGAGACGGTACCAAGATGACTGAGGGCAAAGACGATGACGAGGGACCCGGATCTGCCGAAGAGGTCAAGAAGAAGAAGCAGTAAACGATGAGATCTAGAAGTGAGTAGATGCGAAGTTTGTACACTAAACATCAGATCATGGCGAATGGCTTAGCATTGGGGGCTTAGAAACACGCGACAATTATTGATGGTGGGTGTGGTGACACCTTCAGAGGGAGACTGCTGTAAATTGAACTGGCTGCGATTTCGGATGGATTATGGAGTATGCATAGCGATAGGCAACAAACAATTGATTTAATGTTAGATTTATGACTTGCATAAATGATCTGTAACATGGAGATTCTGATAAACGAAAACCTCGAGATAACAATTTCGTATTGGGATTAAAGCCGCCGAGATAGAGTCAAGCATTCCAGTTCATGGCGGGGTATGATATGATGGATGGACTTATCATGACGTACAAGACTGAGTGTATGTCCATATTAATACTGTGTCAGACATAGCACTTAGGTACCTAGGCGCCAGGGGGCAAGAAAACACCGAACCTTGATGCAGAGTGTCAAAATAAATTCAGCAAAAAGCCCACTAAATTTAGACTGGATTTACCTAAGCATTTTTATCACTTGGGCCTAAGGTCCTGAGTTTTCTTTCCTCCCCTAGCTAGGGTACAGTGCCCATATTTACTGTCCCTCACCTCCAACCACGCCTATATAACATCTCTCCACCACCTCCATCAGAGCATCCAACCATCGCCTCGGCGTTTGTCACGATCGCCTCTTCAAAGGTCAGCATGTGACCCGAAAGAGGCAGTCTTCTGGAACTCTTCTCCAGGAGCTTTAGCACCGACCTAAAACCAATTCAAACATAAGTCAACTTTTCCCCTCCCGTCTCCAGCCGATCCCCCGCAAGCGCAAACACTACAGCGCCCACCATCCACCCCCCGATTAGTCTGCGGATAAGCCCCCGAAAAAGGAAGAAGCGCGCGATTATGGCTCCCCAGGTCATTCGCCTGCCAGACGGGCAGACCTTTACCGTCACACCTGTCTTTGCAGGTCTCGGCTTCAAGAGCCATGAGTTGAATACGCATCATAATGCGTTTCCTGTGGGGTGGACTGTTGTGCTGAACACGGAGAGCGATGATGGGTCTGATGATGATATAGAGAAGCAGGATGGCGAGAATAGAGAGAATGGTGTTGCGCTGGATGGAAAGGCGAAGAGGCAGATTCACTCTTTCGCTCAACCGACGCTGCAGGGCGATAACCTCTTCATCTCGTCCATCGCGAACCCTTCGAGCTCCGAGTTCAAACCCGCTGCGAGTCCCACACGACAGATTGCCATGATGCTGTGGATTACACTATACTGGTACTTTCACCAGCCCGAGCCTGCGCCGCAAGTTCCTGCTCAGGCGGCGGAGAAGACGCCTCAAGCTGCGAAACCTCGTGGTGAATGGCGGATCAATATTAAACGCGATGGAGTGCTCCGAGGTCGGAACTTGATCCCCAAGCTTGAGCGCATGGGACTTATAACGTCGGGGAGCAGTGCTGTTGGAACGAGTTTGGATGATAATGGGGAGGATTGGTCTGATATGTTTGTGTCGAGACGCATGTTTTGGCAACTTCCCGGGCGGCTTTTTCTCTTTTCTTTACAGCCTAACAGAGCTGGTGCGAATTACGATTCTGTCCCTGGATCACCCATTGGGAGTCGCCCGAATTCACCTTTACCTATGGAGCCGCCTTCGCCGTTCCACAAGACTTTCCAGCGCCATTCACCGCATTCATCTATGAATAGAATAGATCATGATCTTCCTGGTGGACCAACTCCAACATCGATGGCGAACCCGCCGAGTTTCCCTATTGGACCTTTCTTTTCGAGCTCTCATCTCCCGACTTACTACCCGCCGGCCCCCCTTCAATATATCTTTACGAATAATATCCGTCATCCGATGAGACCAAAGCCACCTAGGATGGGCGAAGTCTTTTACACGAGATTTGTCCCGAGCGTTAACCAGTACCTTTCATTCCGAGTTGCTTCCAGTTCACCAAATCCTGTCCCTTACCTTGGGCCCGTTGGGCCAAAACCGCCCGAGCAGTCTCATCTTTCTACTATGAATGATGCAGCTCTATTGGAGATGTGGATGAAGAAGCCTCGAGTGAGCGCCTTCTGGGGCGAGTATGATGAACAGTTTCTTACCAAGTCACTGAACCAACCTAACTCGTTCCCTGTGATTGGACAATGGGATGGCGTACCATTTGGATACTTTGAGATCTACTGGGTCAAAGAAGACATTCTCGGCCAGCATCTCGGTAGCGATGCGGCGGATTGGGACAGAGGTCTTCACGTGTTCATCGGAGAAGAGTGGGCAAGAGGACGAGTTCCAATCTGGCTGACGGGATTGGTGCATTGGTGCTTAACATCGGATTACCGAACAATGAGTATATGCCTTGAGCCAAGAGTGGACAATGCGAGGTGAGTTTGTTCCTTGAAGCATGGATGTTCGGCGCTGACAATGAGTAGGTTTCTGCAGGGTCTAGAGTTTACTGGGTTTTCGCGTGAGAAGCAGATTTCGTTCCCACACAAACAGTCTTGGCTTGTTAGACTGCGTCGTGAGCAGTGGGAGGGACCTGCGCTTTGAACATATGGATGTGGTGATGAGAATACGAGAGACGATTCATGATGGGGATATTGGGTACTAGGATGAATACATGAGACAACTTTGGGAATTGAACACGATTGTTATGACCGATGGCTGAACATTTTCTCTATTGGTGAACGTAAGATTTCTGTGGTCTGTCCTTGTTAGCTTGCTTGTCGGTACGGAACGCAAGTGCTTTGTGTTGAGGGAACATAGTACGCTTGAGGAACAAAGCATGTCGCGTCCCCATTGAACAGAACCTTGGTTCACTTACACACTCAAGAACAGCCAGGCTGAAGACCAACACCATATTTTCTATAAGATAAACTGGCTCTTCATGTGAAAGATCTCGACGTCTGGCGGCAGTTTCAACATCAACGCTTTCAACACAACCGCTTCAAGAAACTCACCACTGATCAAGTCAAAATGTCTCAACAAGGTAACACTCCCCAATCGCCCGTCACAATGACTGATGAGAACGCATCATTTATCCGCCAATCCTTCCTCCGCGGCGATCTAGCACCAGCCTTCAACCCTCCAATCCGCAGCTGTCCCCGTTGCCACGCATCATTCACCGGCTCCAAGACAATGTGTCTCCGGTGCCTCAAAGACATATACATAGAACAAGCCGCCTGCAAGAGCGAGATCGAAAGAGATACGTTTCTCTCCCGTTGCGGCAACGCAAAATGCAATGAGACTACTCATCACCTCGGCCCGGGGTGGTGTGTTCCCTGTAATGCAGAGGGGAAGAACGTGTATCAGGTTATTTGTCTGGAGTGTGAGCTTGTGATGGATGTGCCGTATGTCGTTAGGGATGATCAGGGGGGATTTGTGGATATGCTCAAGGTGAGGAGTTTGTGGTGTGTTAAGTGTAGCGGTTTGGCGGATTCGTGGGTTAGGATGGATGATTAGTTGTGCTGGCGCGACTCGAACCTGGCATGGAGGAATGAATATGTGAGTAATTAGCGCTTGGGATAATACCGCTGATGTGATATCGAGATATTATACGGCTTAGAAGACGGGTATCTCGGAAGTGAGCATGTCAGATATCTATGGAAAGGTAAGCACTAGATCCATCAACTTGGCGGACAGGCTATAAGAACGGATCTGCGTCCGATAAATAACAACAAATAATAATCCATCTTACTATCTTTAATTGTATTCGTGAATATGTCTACTGAAATCAAGAGTCTTGAGTCGCTTCAATGCGAATATCTGGTCCCCGACAATGATACATCACAACTCCCTCGTTGGTCCGACACACACATTAACCGTCCAGCTCTTATAGTCACCCCGAAGACTGAGCAAGATGTAAAAGATGCCATTCGTGTCGCGAAAGAGAACAAGCTTACAATCGTTGCTGCTGGTGGAGGCCATGGAACGTTTGTCAGCGTGGACTCAGCATCGTTGTACCTCGACATGAAGCTCTTCAAGAAGATTGAACTGAACAAGGATGAAGGAACAGTGAAAGTTGGCGGTGGAGTCCTCGTTGGAGAGGTGCTGAAGACTTTGGCAGACGCGGGTTACTACACTCCCATTCCCAATTCTGATGCCGTTGGCTTCGTGGGAAGTATGCTTGGAGGTGGGAACAGTGCTCAGATTGGCCGTCATGGATGGATGGCCGATAACATGGTTTCGTTCCGACTTGTTACTGCTTCAGGCGATGTTGTCGAACTAGATTCTTCGTCAAAAGACAAGGAACAAGCTCTCTTCAACGTTCTTTGCGGCGCGGGTCATGGACTCGGTGTCGCCACGGAGCTGACAGTCTCTGCGTTTCCACTTTCAAGTCTCAACATGAAGGAGAACAAGATCTGGACGCGGTCACTCATATTTACTGCTCCAGCACTAGACGTTGCTATCAAGACTTTTCTGGATTTGAGTCAACCCCCAGCAGAAGGATACATGAGCTTGGCCTTTGCACGAAGTCCTCCTGGTACTCCAGCAGCTGGATCTCCAATCATCTTTCTTGGGTATCAGTATTTTGGTCCCGCTGCGCAGGCCGACAAAGCAACAGCGTTACTCTTCGATGAGAATATTGTCAGCAAGGCCGTCGTGGCAAACACAGAGCTATTACCGTTCGAGAACGTCAATGCCAAAATGAACATCTACAACTCTCACCACGGCCACAAAACCATAGCTTCCTGCCGTCTTCACAAGACCACCGCCGAAGCTATTAAAGCAGGCTTCGAGAAATGGCGCATCGCAACAGAGGACTACCCAGATGCTCAACAATCAGGGCTTATAGTCTCAGCATACAACATTGACAAAACTTCAGCGATAAAGAATGAGAAGTTTGTGGAGGGCAGGGATAGAAACATCAATGCGTTTATGGTGATGGTGGCCAAGGAGGACAAGACACGAGAGGCATTTGGGCCAATTCTTGATGATGTGGTTGCGGGATTCAGGAAGAGTGACGTGGGGATGGTGCCGAGAAGTTTTCCGAATAATCTGAGGCCTGGGAAGGACTTGAATGATATGTTTGATATAGAGAGGTTGGAGGTTTTGAGGGATGTGAAGAGGACTTGGGATGGTGATGGCGTGTTTTGGTCGCCTTACTTCAAGACTGTTTAATTAGCATGACCCAATCTATGCCTTGGGAATTTATGGTTACCGTAATTAGAAGCATGTAACTAATTAGAAGCTATTCATGCTAGAAATGCTGAAGCCTGATGAAGGAGTTCTTGGTGCTGCCCTGGGATGATGGTGACTTCTGATTGGCCTCGTATTCCGTATTCTCGTATCGCGTATCCCGCGTGTAAGCCTTGATCCACTATATAACATGAACCTGAGATCTCATAACCACAAGACTTCTCTACTTACTCTCTCATTATTCCATTAATTGAATGCTCAAAATGTCAGTCCAGGCGGTTCGAAACCGTTCAACATCCTCAACACAACGCTTACTCTCTACATCCTCACGAACCCACCAAACCTTTCGCCTCTCAGATGGTCGAACACTAGGTTTTGCAGAATTCGGAAAACAAGATGGAAAACCTGTGTTTTACTTCCATGGATATCCATCCTGCAGACTTGAAGCTAAGCCCATTCACGAGATTGCTCAAAAATGTGGTGTTCGTCTCATAGCTCTCGATAGACCTGGGTTTGGACTATCGACGTTTAAAACTGGGTATCAGATCTTGGATTGGCCAACTGATGTGATGGAATTTGCCCAAGCACATGAAATCCCCCAGTTTTCTGTTTTCGGTCTCTCCGGTGGCGGTCCTTTTGCTCTAGCTTGTGCTTACGCGTTGCCGAAGCGTACGGTGACCAGCGTGGGACTCTTTGCAACTGCACCGCATTGGGCGGCTGGTACGAAACACGTTGAATATTACCGCCGAGTCTTCAAAGTCTGGGCGGAATATTCTCCATCAACTCTTCGGGGAGCATTATACATGCTATACCTATCTATCAGATGGGTTGTCCAATCCGGTCCTGTGTCCAGAAGACTCAACAAATGGCTCGAAGCTGAACACAAGAAAGAAGAAGCTGAGAGCGAGGAGTCAAAATCAAAATCCATGAGCTTAGAAGAGTTGGTAGACATGGTTCTCGACGAGCCATTTCGCCAGGGGGCTGATGCTGCAGTACACGAGATGAATCTTCTCACGTCGAAGGACTGGGGGTTTGAGCTTGAGAAGGTTCAGTATGATGGTATCCAGATGTGGCATGGGAAGAAGGATAGCAATGCGCCTATACAGATGATTCGGTATATGGCGGAGCGGATACGGGGGAGTGAACTGCATGAGTTTGAACATGAGACGCATTATACTATGTATAAGCACTTTGAGACGGCGTTGCGGAAATTGGTAGAATAAGGATCTGCTCAAAGACCTAGAGTGTTGGCCGAGAAGGAGATGAGACTGAGTTGGGATTGAGGTGATAGAGTGGAATAACTAGATTTTGTACAATAGAATGGATGAAGATTTCATCTCAGATGGCTTCCATACCTCTCTCATACATCACTATTAGAGTCCCCGTTCCAAGATGTTTGATAGTGTTCTTTCAAAGATTTATGAACCTGCGAAATATCAAACACTCTAACCCTCTGGTTCTTGTCCATCTTCTGCCCACAAGTCTGGCACATCAATTTTACGCCTGGCCGACCAATATCATTAATAACCGTTCTTCTCGCAGACTCTTGTGGGCTCTTTAATATGAATACTTCATCGGCTCCAAGCATTCGCTCTTCAATCATGTTTGTTGTGTTGGTTGTCTTTGCGATAGCCTCGCCGGCCATGATCGCTAGAACTGGTAGGCTTCTCATAAGAGGTGGCAGACCGCCTTGAATATTGGATAACCTGGCTAGTTTGGAAACTTCTGTTCGAAGAGCTTGTGATGATTTATTTGAAGACATTTTAGGAGTGTGAGGAGACGTTATGAAAGAGATGGATTCAGCTCGGCTTTGGGTAAAGAGGAACAAAAAGTGACAGTGGAAGGCGTATAGGTGCCTGGAAATAAATTCAAGAGAATATTCTCGACCGACAACCTGATTATGGGGGTCTAGCTACACCCTTTTGATGCTTGGGAGCCAAATCCATGTCCTGCCGTGGAGTAGTCTAGTCTTATACGGAATACGCAACCAATAGCAGAGTCAGCATTACGCCGGGTTTCAGAAGAAAGCAGCGACAGTCTTGGCTGTAGATAATAATAATGGAACTCGTTTCTTGTGTTTTGGTCTACCTCTGAAATATGCTTATTGGCTCGTCTTCAAATCAACCACCAGCTTCCCTCCACTAATCTCCCCCTTCCTCATCCTATCCAGCCCCCTGTTCACGTTATGCAGACCATCCTCGACATCGATAATTCTGGGCGGCACAAGCGCACGACTTGACAATAATCTCTCCAGCCAACTTGATAGCACCTCCCCGACTTCTGGTACTTCGTGGTAAAGCTTGAAAGGGATAGTATGGAAGATAACACCCGCTGACTGGCCTGTTTTCGGGAGGCCACTCATACCGACGAGATGAGCGGGGACTATAGGCTCAGCGGGCGGAGTGCTAGGCGGTGAAGTGACATTAGCTGCGCTTCGATGGAGCTCTTCAGGTCCAAGAGCGCGGAGCAAAACTTCAGCTGTATCTTTGCCTCTTGTGTCGATACCGAAACGGAGTTTGCCTCTAGTGTTGGCGCGAAGAACAGCAACAGCTCGCTCGGGATCATGGCTATCAACTAGTAGATCCGGTCGAAGAACAGGATTCTCGGAAATTCGAACTCCATGCTTTGCGTTATCAACGACCAAAGCGACCTTCAGTCCAACAAGACGAGCTAGTTGAACAGCGAGAACGGCCGAGGTTGAAGATCCGCCCCAGATAGCGATCCAATCCCCAGCCTTAGCACCCTCATTCGGCAAGATACTATTCAAGCACTCTCCCCTGATATCTTCCGGGAGTGCTTCTTCTGGTACCTCTCTCACGAGGCTAAGAATGTTAGGACCATCCTGAACCGATGTGAAATCAACACCAAGACAAATTCCTAGCGACAGAGCTGCCGCTACGTATGCGACTCCAAGTGTAGCGCCTTGCTTGATTGTGATCTCCTTTGGAATTCTGACAACGTTGAAGTCTGAGGCGACCACGTATTGTTGATATGTTGCTTTGCGGAGATCGCGGTAGTCTGTTGATATGACGATTACTTTGTCGCCTGATTTGATTCTTGAGGGGGTTTGGGGGGCGAGGACGACGGTGCCTGATGCTTCGCGGCCGGAGATGTATGGTAACTCTGGGATGGCAAAACCGTAGTCACTGAAACTTGTAAGTAGGCTATATTTATATCATAAACCCGGATTGGACTTACGGCGACTTCCAGTCAATAGGATTCAACCCGATTGTATCAGTTCGAACTAGAAGCTCGTGATCATGCTTCGTACTGGGGACGGGGTGTCCGTCGGTGATCTGATATGGTTGCCGTAATCCATGTAATAACAAAACTGTCTGAGAAGATGGTATAGGGTGTTGAATCTCAGAGTCGCTTGCTTGGTTTTGTGTCGTCAAATCGGTAGGTGGTGTATATCGAGGCTGAGAGTCTGATGTTGCCTGAGACACGGGATGTTCTTGCGACGAATCCGTAACGAATGAGAGTGGTATCCGCGCTCCGAAAGCCGGTTCGGCCGAAAGGGAGAGATATGCGCTCATGATGCTGATATCTATCCGTATGTATACACGCAATATCCGACTGATTAGGCGGCGCAAATCAACAAACACAACACGCCCTTATTCAAATAACAGCACTTCTTTCAACAAAGAAAATTTTAAATCCAAACCTTACGAGGGGTAACGAGCCTTTTCAATAATCTACCGTCCATTCGACAAAACAGGCAATCCGATCCTTTTCAACGGATGCAAGTAACCTAACAGACTCCCGAAGAGCATAGCGCATGGCGTCATGTAGGGTCCGTCGAATCACGCTTGGATATGTTATCCCATGCCCGCAATTCTTCCAATGACGTGACGAGCTTTTTACTCAAAGGGACGTCGTGGGAGAGACCGGTGTCGGGGTGAGATCCCCACACGGGGCGATGGTGTTATTTGGACTATCAATCACTCAACTCCAGGGATGTAACGTGCGGAATTAACGCGACAGTGAGTGATGGGAGAGAATTTATAATTAGAGATTATGATTGGAGGTATTGAAGGATTATTGATTGGTTTATTCTGTGCTTGATCGGGTGTATCCCGGTTCACTGTATGGCAGACGGGAGACAATGCAAGATGGCCAAGCATCAGACAGATTCAACGGAAACTTCTAATATTGATCATCCATTTCAAACAATCACATTGAAGAGGTCCGAACTCTCAAAGTGGTAGCCATTTGCTCCCTTTCCCATATTATTCGGCACTGTCTCTTAGTGATCACCAAACCACGCACTCACAAGTGAAACTCAACATTGCCGAGATACCGGCAAGAATCCGTGTTTAGCACTCAAAGTCTGCGGGGGATATCCATACAGATCGCCTCGTGGGTTATGCTCGGTTATAAAAAGGTTCCAGGTAACCGGCTTGTCGATGGTGCAACCCCTATCAGAATCACGCAATCCCAAGATTCGCCTATCTCGCAACTTTTGTTTTGGATACCCCGCGATGGCAGTAGATAACAAAAATGACTTTTAACTTAATAGTATCAATAAATCTGAGTTTTGAATGATTCTTTGGCTATGTTACTCGCTGCCATTGGATTTCGACTTTGGAGAGGCTGAGAATGGTGTGGTGATAGATCACGATTGGGACGGCTGAAGCTTCATCTGGATAGAAAAAAATCTATAATTAATTGAAAACTACCGAAATACATATAGGATATATTAGAGAATAACGCCAGGCGGCAATCTCTACAAGAGGGAACTCAAAGATAGTCCAAAATATCTACATAGCAAGAATTCTGACCAGAAGGATGACCAGAGTTGATACGAACTTCATCTGACCAAGTTGATATAAAGATCAGAGAATACTATATAAAGATGAGATCACTTCTGAAAGAATAAGCTGGGTTTCACGAGAATTGAAACTCTTGACTATGCGTATGTCTACCAGCATAATCTAAAAAAACGATAACACTCACTCTTAACTCTCACTTAGCAGAAGATACTATCGCGTTGCTAGAGGACTGAGCTGGAAACAACTCAATTATTAAAAAAAAAAATAACGGTTGTCAATCTAAAAATCCAGTATTCGCTACTAGGTTCTCTCTGCCTGAATAAGCTCACAGCCACAAGTCTCAACTGCAAATAACACTTCTTAGTATTCATTACACTCCAGGAGCGGCTATTATTTAAGAACGCTACCTGCTAGAATACTCTCCGTACTCACATAGTGATATGGTCTTCAGTTACTAAAGACAACCGGGGATGATTGCCTGTAAAACTTAATCTAAGATGTTGTTGAAGCTTATGTGCTGAATATTCAATAGCCATTGGAACTCGACGTATATCTATTAGCGCATCTAACTGAGGACACGAATATTTCTAAGAACAGATTCATAACTCATATCTAGCTAGATTACATATCGGACTCGCAAGTTTCAATCTGATAATGTGAGAGACAGGGTTTCACATTCGATCAAGAAAACGAATATTATATGGTTGTTATTGTGACTATCGATAAGTATTTCATATATCTCTACTGAACAAAAGGCTTCACAAGTTCCTTGACCTGCTCATCGGTAACACCCTTGACACCAAGCAGCTCATTATCAAGCTTGGGGAACTTGGGAACACTAGTGGGGTCCAAGATAGCCCTGTACAGATAAGCAGCAAGAGTGGGCCAGTCAAAGATACCCTTTGCGACATTGGCATCAGAAGCAGCAGTAGCATCGTCGATCTTGGCCTCCTTGACAGTCCACTGCTTGCTGGGGTTGAGCTCTTTGGCAATGTCGAGGAGCTTCTTCAGAGAGACGACGGTGTCCTGGATATAAACAACGCGATCCTTGGTCTCGGCAGGGTGTGTCAGAACACCAACGACAGCTTGGCCAACACTAGCGAGAGTGGTTGCGCTGAACTCAGTGTTACCGCCATCCCAGAGAGTAGCCTCTGCCTTGTTGAAATCAAGGAACAAGCCATGGCTCAAGCCCCAGTCAAGGAAAACAGAGTTATAAACAAAAGTATAGCTAATCTTGCCCTCAGCCGCAAGAGCAGTAAGCTTATCCTCGATATCAACCTTTGTCTTGAAGACAGGAAGCTTGCGAACGCTGGGGATGGCAAGGTTGGAGCCAAACTCAGAAGGGAGGAAGCGCTTGACGCCAGCGGCTACTGCGGCGTCGATGAGGAGTGTTTGGCTGGGGATGGCGAGACTGCCGAGGGTTGAGACGACGGCATCTTGGCCTTGGAGGGCGGATGTGAGAGAGTCGAGGTTATCGTAGTCGACTTGGATGACTTTGATGTCGGAGGGGAATTTGGAAGTTGAGCCGGCGCGGGTTAGGACTGTGAGGTTGAATTTGTTGGAGTCGATGAGGGCCTTGAAGACTGCGGAGCCGAGATCACCTGCGGCACCAGCGACAGCGATGTTTTTGTAGGCAGACATTTTATGTGAGTGTAATATGTGATTGGTTGATTGGAATTGCTGATGGAGTCAAAATGATAGTTGTTTAAGTGGATGATTGATTGATTGATGGATGGAATGGATGGTAATGGAAGAGAGATGGCTCTATCTATATATGTTTTTGAAATCAACAATTGTCGCCATGTTTGGCGTCATTTACACAGTTGCAATGCTTAATCATACCATTAGTCGTGCTGCAGACGCCATCGAAGCTCCGCTTAGTTAAACATAGAAGGTTCGGAAGTTTGGCGATCATAAGGCTGCCTGACCTGTCAAGCTAAAATGGATGCATCCCACTTCATTACATGAGCAATGGATTGCCCCAGAAATGTCTCCGGCACTTTAATCTTTGGCCCCCAACTTACAGAGCTGTTCTTCTGTATTCTAAGCCGCCACAGATGGCTGTGCTGTCTGTGTCTGTGCTGTGGTTGTGGCTGGATGGGATGGGATGGGATGGGGAGAATTGGAGGTGGGATGGACTTGAAGTGGGATGAGAGAGATGAACCGAGTGGGATAATGGATCTATCCGCGGGCTCCATTGAAACCTTAATTGTGCATATGACACTCTGACTGGTCGAATCTCATCGGATCACCCCAATTTTCTATCCCATCCGCGGAGGCCGAGCTGAGATATCCCACTTGAACCATCGGCAATCCCACTCACGATTACCAAGTCGACCTTCAAGGGATGGCCCCCAATGCAAGGCATACGTAACAGTGCGTCGGCTTCAGTTTTTTTTCCAGTCAAACTATTCGATAAATAATACACCGAGTTTTTGGCTTGCGATCCGACCCAATCCAATCCCACTCGGTTCGATACCCTCATATCAAATCAAAGTCTCTCATAATCCACCATCATGGAGATATCCCACAGTGATCGTGATAGAAGGTATGTAACGGCCAGCCACAGGTGGGATCACCGAGTGGATTTTGTATTCTGTATGTAATTGTACCATGACTAACAAGATCGAAATGATGTATCAGATCCTCCGCTGACAGTGCTGAGCCTACGCCCAGTCGACATACATGCCACTGTGGGAAGAGCTTTATCAGAAAGGAACATCTGAGACGCCATCAAGCGACCCATGGAGAGCGCAATTTCGTTTGCCCGATTTGTCAACGATCCTTCACACGCAAGTTAGTACATGTCTCGTATTCTCCCAGTTTACAGTGTTAATTAGTTTTTCTTTTTCTATAGTGACTTGTTACGACGCCACCTGACACGGCATGATATGCCTACAGCTCCAGATCCAAGAAGAGGAAGAGCTTGCGATGCGTGTCATGCGAACAAGACAAAGTGCGACGGTGGTACAAAGTGTACTCTCTGCGTCAAGAGGGGGATTAACTGCACTTATAAACATGCGTCCAAGAGTAGCAGCGGGAGTAAGAGTCCCAGCGAGGATATCGCCGCAGATCCTAGAACGGTGGCCAATGGTTTTACGTCGCCGGCCCTGATACAGAATCTCACACCAGGAACACCGCAAATCTCACCAAATGACGAGATCAAAGCGGGTTTCAAGCGAATCGCTAATCATGTTCGATCTGGAGAGATTCCGATTGGTGAAGACACTCCGGTACCTGCACTTGACAAAAATTGGATCGAGGGGAATTCAAAAGAGTACTTTGGGAGGTTTCATGATACATGGCCTATTCTCCATGGACCTTCTTATGTCACTATGGATACATCACTGCTAGTATCTGTGTCAATAGCCATGATCAGCTGTTGGCTCAGAAGTCCGGATGAGTTTGAGGATGTAGTTTTACAACTGCATGAGTCGTTGATGAGCGCGTTCTCTGATTGGATCGTGAGTAATTTAGCCTGACAGACGTTCCTAGATTAACATGGACTTTAGGCGAACCCCAGATCTCGACATGAATATGATGAACCATGGCCTTTTGAAACATATCAGGCTATTCTCATGAACATTATCTTTGCTTTTTATCATGGTGTACGTACTCTTTGTACCGTCACTGCGTATCCGCTGACCTCAATTTCAGAATGAGAAATTGGTGTCTAAAGCATCCTTATTACGAGGCACATTTGTTGTAGCTCTTAGAGAAGCAGAGTTCTTCAACAGCGACAACGCAGCCGAGCAACAACGCGTTCACTATCCCGGAACATTTGTCCCATGGCTCATGACTATCAGAGATCGTTGGAAGCGGTAAGTCTCTTGTCTCTCCCTCATTCATACAGTACTGATGTTTGTAGACTCATCGTTTCCCTCTTCAAAATCGACACGTACCTCTCAATAGCCCGCTTTCAAGCCCCAACCCTCTTCCGAGAAGAAATCGATCTCACAATGCCAGCAACTTACTCCCTCTGGAACGCCTACGGCCTCAACATCTTTTTCAAACGCATCACCCTCGAACCAACAGACCGCTCAAATTTCAAACTCTCAGAAGTCATCGCCAACCCCAACACCCCAGCAAAACCCCTACTCCTCTTTGAAGATATCCACCTCGCCCTCTGCGGGTTGCTGCCTGCAATTTGGAATCAGACTCAGATTGTTCGTCGTAGTACAGAAGCTGGCCGATCAACTCAGAATTCCACTTCCTCTCTTGCCTGGCAGCTTGAGGCGTGGAAAGCTGACATTGAAAGAGTGAAGCATCAATGTTGTCATGCTGCTGAGGTTGGAGAGTTTCCTTTTACTGCTTACATTGGAGACTATGATGAGGATCCGGCGAGGGCGAAAGCGTTGGCGATATCGAATATTAAATGCTTGATTTCTGAGTGTTTGATGACGTATCATCTTCAAGGTCTTCAGCTTTACGCCGATCCTCGGATGATTAACTCAGTAGCCATGGCCTCGATTGTATCTCCGGACCACGAAGCTGGTGTACGTCCGAGATTGCAAAAGCTTCATACCCAGCTAAACATCTGGGCCAAAACACCAGAAAGTCGAAGAGCTTTACTCCACGCCCTCGCCGTTCTTCGTCAATGCGAGTCTGATCTCCAAGCAAATGAGCCCCAAACCCAATCCATCGATCCAACATCTTATCTAGCCATCTCTATGAGCGCCTTGGTAGTATGGGCGTGGCTCATGTTCTCCGAAGCAGCATGTTCCTGCGTTCCGACGCTGAACCATATAAACATCGGTGATGATCCTTTGGATTTACAGAATACTGCGAGGTTGGAGACTTGGATTCAGGCAGAGGGTACAGCGGGTATGAATAATATTCCGCTGTGTAGATGTGTTTCCGAGGGGTGGATGGCGAGGTTTAACGCGCTTTTGCCGTTGGGAAGACGGAGATGGGAGATGAGTGATGAAGTTGCGCCGATTTTGAATTCTCTAAGCGCTGGACGCTAGAGATTATTGATACCCTTGCATTTTGCATTTTGGAAATAGACTTCAATAGATTTTTGATTTGGAATTTACTTTGGCTGACGCTGCTGGTGAAAAGGCGAGTTTGTGTATAGGCTCTAAGTTCTCTCTGCCGGAATAAGCTCTTAGCTACAAGTCTCGACTGTAAATAACACTCCTAGTCGATACCATGATAACTGCCCAACTGCTAAAGCATAAAGCGAATAAGATGAAAAACTAGATGAGGACTATTTGGCCGGCATTGGAGGCGTATAAGATGGTCCAATCCTAATGGGCTCATAAATGTGTAGAGGTAAAGGCACCAGATTTGAAAATCGGCCAAAGGAAGAAAACGGAACGTTTGAGAAGGAAGATTAATTTACATGGGAACTGATCCTGCAGATATTGGCATTTGTCAGCTCGTCTTGGTATTGACCCGAAGGGCGTTGCTATGACGTTGAAAGGACAGATTCCCAAGTTGCGTAACGTCAGCCGCCATGATGTATATAAGGTTCTGCAAGGTAAGAGCTTATATTGGGCAAAAGAAAGTATCGTGTTCTCATTCATCACCTGTGTTCGCAGCCTAAAGCTTAACCTTATGGGCGGCAAGTCGTCCTATAAATATGGCTCCGCAAGACGACACTACAGGCAGCATACTTGAACCATACCCTGTCCCATGCGATCAAGAAGTAAATATGGGGTCTACCACAAAATCCATCGAGTTCCGCAACTTAACACTCTACCGAGCAAATGGAACCTGCTCTCTTATTCCTCACGCGATTCTCCGTCACTACAAGATCCCCTTCATCGCAATCGAACTAGAGTTCGGACCTAACGGACTCGAGAGAGTTGATGGAAGCTCTAGCAATGCTGAACATCGATCTCTCCACCCAAGAATATATGTACCCGCTCTGCTTATTGACAAAGAATTCATCACCGAGATGCCGGCCGTTCTGAGCTTTATATCCTCACTTATCCCAGAAGAGAACCTATTTGGTATAGGCCCCATTCAACAAGCCAAGGTTTTGGAGTGGCTTGTATTCCTGTCTGGTAGGCTGCACGGCCTTGGATATGGAGCTTGGCTGCGTCCTGGGAGGTTCAGCGATGACGTTACTGCCCACGACAAGATTCGTGCGAACGGAAGGGATGTTATACATGAATCCTTCAAGAGGATAGATGAGGGGCTGGAGAATCGGGATTTTATTGTCGGAGATGCTTTGACTGTCGTGGACTTTAATGTCTACATCTTTGCTCGATGGGCGCATGAGGTTGGGATTGATCTGGAGAAAGAGTACAGTCATTACTATGAGCATGTCAGGAAGATCGAGAGGATGGAGGGTGTTAGGAAAGCTGTTGGAAGTGAGGAACTCGAGTTTGCATTTCCTTGACTTCACCCGTCACTGATGAGAAACTTGACGGCTACATAGGGTCTTACTTATGCCCCCGATACAGCGAGCTTCCAATTGAAGACATCTGGCATCTTGAGAAGGAGAGGAAATGTTTTAGCAAAGGGAGACATATGCAGGCTGTTGTCTATATCAATTGAAATTTAACTCTAAAACCTTACGGAGCATTCGCCTTAAAATCCTTTCGCATGCCGTCTCTTATGCTTCTTCAAAAACGCCAAAGCAGAAGACTTGTTAATATACAGATTCATCCTCGCCAAACCACCACAGTACGCCAGATTGTTTCCAGGACAGCCAATATTACAATCCGTCATGGAGACATTCTTGCCCTGACCGAAAGAAGGGAGAAGACCTTGCCAATTGATGTTGTTGCCGCACCAACATTCTCGGCCGTTCTCTACACCAGCATATTTGTACATCCAGCACTTCTCGAGACATGTATCGATCGTCATGGAGTTACTGTCGCTCATGACAAGTTGAGGCAGTAAACGACCGAGGAAAGGCTCAGAGACACATGAGTAGCTTGTGAAGTTCTTGTTGCCCTGGTCCACAGATGGAGTTGCAATAGTCTTGGCACCAGCCTTGTAAAGCTGTAAGCGAAGTGTGCCACCGCAATAATCTGTCTTGTCTCCTGCACAGGTAGCAGAGCAATCCTTCTGATTGAGGGCTTGATAACTTCCGAAGTTGAGCTGATTGCCACAGTAACACTCCCGACTGTTCTCAGTACCGAAGTAAGTGTAGCCGCTGCAGAAGCTGGCGCAGCTTTCGAGGGTCATGTCGTCGCTGGCGGTGGCCTTGGAGTTGAGGGCGCGGATGAGGAAACCTTCTGTCCAGCAGCCTTGGAAAGCCCATGTTCCGACGGTGTTGGAGATTGAGGGGCCTGTCGCTGTTGGATTAATTGATGTTGAAGTGGTGGAGGACGCTCTTGAGGTAGTGGAGCTGCTGGTGGTTGAAGTACTAGAGCTGGTCGTAGTCGTAGAAATGGCCCGCGATGTTGTGCTAGTGGACGAGCTTGTAGTCGAAGACGTTGACGAAGGTGCAATGGAAGTTGAACGAGAGGTTGTGGTAGCAGATGTGACGCTAGAAACACCAGCTGGGCCTCCCGCAACCAGAGAGCTCAGTGACGAGACCACTGAGGGACTTGAGGATACTGTAGCTGATGAGGAGCGACTGACGATTGAAGACGCCGCCGATGATGATATCCCACTGAGAGACAGTGCGCTTGGGGCACCTAACAAGTTTGAAGGCAGTGTGTTTGATGATACGGCACTCGAGAGCGACGAACTGAAAATTGACGAAGTTGTGCTGGTGGTTATAGTGGAGGCACGGGAGCTAGTTGAGGAGAATGTAGCGAAGGTTGTCCATGTTGTTGAACTTGTGCTAGAAGATGTCGACGAAGACATAGTGGCTGACGAGGTCGCCGTTGTTGAAGTCGAGGTCGTAGCCCGCGAAGCAGAGCTGGCGCTACTGGTGCTGGCAGCTGAAGAAGCACTCGTTGTAACGCTTGTCGAGGTTGAGCTCCCAGCAGAGGATGCTGGTACAGAGCTGGAGGCGGAAGAAGAAGCGCTGTTGAGGCCGCCGGCGATGTTCCCAAAAACGCTCAGCGAAGTGCTGAAAGAGCTCGTGGAACTTGCCGACATACTACCTGAGACACCAGTCGAGATCGAGCTGCTGACTGAGCCTGTGCTAGTAGAAGCACCGCTCGAGGTTGTGCTGGATCCTCCACTGGAGGAAGAGCTCACACTGGCCGAAGCCAACGACGACGAGAGGGAGGCGCTTGAGACACCGGACGTAGCCCCGATGCTGGTCGACGCAATTGAACCAGAGCTCGAAACAGAGAGAGCAGCATTTGAAGAGGCAGTTACTGAGGAACTCACGCCACTAGCTGACGACAAAGCTCCTATTGATGTGGGCAATGAACTACTGTAGAGTGCATTGAGTTCATAGACGTTCAGTCGGCTAGGGCCACCACAGTATTCGCTCGAGTTGCCTAGTCACGTCAGTACTAGGCAGACGCACCCAAGAATGAGACCTTACCGTTGCAGAGCATGGCACAATCAGTGATCGGAGCGGGCACTGATCCATCCGAGAAACTATTTCCGCAGTAGCACTAAGCTCGTCAGTACTTATTCATTCTCAAAGCCAAGGACTAAACTTACCTCCCCACCATACTCGACACCAGCATAAACGAAGTTCTCATTACTACAAGCCTGCACACAGTTCGCAACGGTTGGCGGATTATTCCCCCTCCCGTTGGTTAGTGCTCGAGCGTTGGTCGCCTCAGTGTAGCACCCAATGCTCGTGTAACCGCCAACACCAGGGTTGACAGATGGTCCTTGAGGTGTCGCAACGCTGGCACTGCTACTTGTAGTGACACTCGCATACGACCCGTCCCACTGAAGAGTATCAGCGAAAAGACTGATGTAAGCTCCACTGCCATCAATGCCATTTCCACCGCAGATCTGGTTCAGACTACCTGCACAGTCGAAGTTGCAGTTCTTATCGTCGACTTTCTGTGTGGGGATCTTGTTGCCTGCCCAGCATTCACTTCGGTATTGCGTTCCGCAAAACGCCAGACCTTCAGAACCACAGGCGTTGATGCACATCTCATTGGTGTTGGAGCTATTAGCATAAAGCTGGTTGGAGAGCTGACGGCCGGGATTGTTCTCCTTGAAGCACCCGACGTATTGGTACCGTCCTTGGCCGTTGGGCAGAAGAGGAGCTGCTTGCTCAGAGACGGCGTTGCAGAAGAATTGCACTGTGCGCTTTTCGAAAGACCATGTTGGATCGTTGGTGTTCATAGTCCACTGGGCGGTGCCGTTGTATGACGGGAGGTTCCATTGGCTTTTGGGGACGGTGCAGGTCAACGTTGCTGTTTGACTTTGACCTGGAGCGATGAGTGTTCCTTCAGCGAGATCAATCTGGTTTGCGGATTTGATGATGCCTGGAACACCGAAGGGTGGTTTAGAGACCGTGAGACCAAGCTTGACACCACCGGGAGCAGCGGTGTTTGAGACGCGGAATTTGAGAGAGCGAGATGTGTTTTCTGTGACGTTTCCGAAGGTGAAGGGGTTGTTGGGATCGTACTTGACCCAGCCGCTTCCATCTGGTGTTTGGAACTCGAGAAGAGCGGTTGGAGGATCGCCAGCGGCAGCAGACAAAGACACAGTAGCATTGCCTCCGGTAGTGACGAACTTGACCCAAGCTGTGTAATTGCCAGTAACAGAAGTGTCGGGCTTGACAGAGATGGCAGTGTCGTTTCCTCCAGGGACTGTGCTTGGGATACCAGTCAATGTGAACTGCCCAACGGTGAGACTACCTGTGCCTGACCAGGTGGTGAATGGCCCGGAGGAAGAAGTATTGGAGTACAGAACTGAAGAGACCTGCAGATCGCTAGATCCATCGTTGCCGATAAGAACGCTCTGAGCTTCAGCTTGTGTGCCGGTGACGAGACCGGTGAACACAACAGACTTGGGACTGACATCCAACAAAGCATTCGAACTCTTGCCAACGCCCGTGAGCCTGACCTTGACAGACTTGCTGTACGATGCATCCGAAACACCTGACGTCGGAATATTGATGGTAGTGCCCAACCTCCCAACACTCTTGGGAACAAACTGCGCCGCGAATTGGAACGTATCCCCCGCAGACATTGACAACGGCAGACTCGGCGTCTGGCTGATGTTGTAATTCGTCCCATCCGCAAGCGCAACACCCGTAACGCTCAGATCAAAGCCTGCTGTACAATTAACGAGCTGCACACCACTCCCCTGAAAGTCCACAGTCCCAAAGTCAATCGAACTTGTGCAATTAAGCGGAAACTTATTCGTCGACCCCAGACCGTAAAAGTATCCCACCGTCGTGCCGATATACGCCATACCATCACCAAACACAGGTCTGCTGAACTTGGTGATCCCCACGATGGTGAAGTTTCGAATGACGTTGAGGTACCCGTTTTGAGGGACGGCGTCGTAGATCTTGAAGTTTGTGTTTTGGACGTCGGATACCCATAGGAGACCTGTGCCTTCTTGGTTGTTTAGGGATGTTGTTGTGCCGTGGCTTACGCCGAGGATGTAGGCGTTGTTGGTGGGTGAGTCGGCGACTTTGGTGAAATAGGGTGTGTTGTTGAGACAGGAGAATTTGAAGACGTGCGTTGGGTATTGAATCACTAAAACAGTCAGTACGAATCGCAGAGGTAGAGTTGGGGTGCGTACCGTTGATGTAGATGTAGCCTCCTTCGAGAGGATAAACACCAGCACCAGCATACACAGAATTCTCATTCTGAAAAGTCTGGATAACTCTATCCTTCGAGTTAGGACCATTGCGATAACCACCAAGATCATCAAAATTAAGCCAATAAGTCTTGCCAGACTTGCCCGTAACAATCCCCATCCTCTTGACATCACCACACGAGAATTGACTCGGCAGAATCTCAAGCGGACTCGTCCCCAGATCCTTATCCGCCCCATCAAGCTCCTGCTTCTCAAACGGCATGAAGAAATCCACAATCGAGAGTGTACCGTCGCTGTTGATGGACATGTGAACGGCCGCTTGTTCCATCGCAGTCGGGGGCGTGAAGCCATTAACAGGAATGGTGGACAGTTGAGAAGCGTACCCGTTTCCTGTGGCGAAGAACATTGATCCTGCGTCGTCGGAGGCAAGTCCACCGCCGGATTGCCATATTCCTGCGCCGGAGATGTTGTTGCTTACGCCGAGACCCTCGGATGCCCAGTGTTCGACGATTTGGCCGGTGGTTTTGTCCCAGCCCATTATCCAGCCTGTGAAGTTGTACTGTACACAGTGTGATGCGAAGCCGGCGTAGACATATTGTCCTGTGTGAAGCAGTCCGGGTCGTTGGTGATGAATACCACCGGTGAACATCCTCTCTGGATTGTTCCTCGCAATCGTTCCCTCGAGATCAACGGGGAAGTTTTGTCTCTCTGAAAGATCGTTTACGTTGATAGCATGGATCTTGTACCTTCCCGCCGCTCTGCCTTGGGGAACCTGACCCGCATTCTGATTAACATACGTCTTTGACGTTAAATACCACGTATCGGTATCAGGATCAATAACACCAGTCGCAGTGACGCCAACAGTAGGGTTGACATCAACACAACCGTCCAAATCAGCAGTAAGGAATGGAATGCCGATGTTGCGCGATGCAAGGATAACACCCGTCTTTGCATCAAGTTTATAAATATTATTCTGAGTCGTCGCGAGATAAACGTATTGCGTCGTCCCGCCTGAAGGAGTGTAGACGAGCGGTTGGGAGAAGATCTGTTCTGCGGCGCCGACGTATTTTCCTGGGAGGGCTGTTTTGAAGACAATGTCGAATTGGGGACTTCCTACTATTGCGGGATCCATGTTATGGTTACTGAGATGTCAGTTAGTCTAAGTGAGGGTGAGAAACTGGGGATGGTACGTTTGGTAGCCTGTTCGGGAGTTGTCGCCTCCCCAGGTGATGGTATCTGTCGATGCAAGACCGCATGTTAGGCCAACCAGGGCCGATAGAATGAACGTGAGTAGCAGCTTCATGTTGAAAGGAGTGATGAAGCGCAAAGAACGAGTGAATGAATGAATAACGATGTCAGAAACGCTCCCCTAGGGACGCTGCGCGATGGCAAGGCTCATTCTATATACCCTCTCCTCCACCACCACTCTTCCAAGGCCATCCCGAAGTCCAGATCTTCACTTCAAACGTCTTGGCTCGTTCACGCCGACATTTCGGATGACTTCACGGTTTGGCCATGCCGATGCGCCGTTAACCTTTCGGCAGGCCGTCCAGACAGATGATGGGACGTCGCGCCACGAGTCGAATGCATTCCAGGCATGATGCAAACTCTTACAATCAATGGTCTGTGGCTTTAAGATGTAGTGTTAGGGTGAAGCCACAGGGGAACGAGGCTGTTGGTGATGCCATTTCTGGTGCGTCTAGGCTATTTGCGGTGGTGGTTGTGGCGACAATGGCTTTGTTCCTGATCGCCGTGTGGGGAATGGTGCCTTTCCATATCCGATTGTACTAGACCCTGAGATGGATCGGCCTGGAAGGAGTGTCGAGATTCGAGGTGTCTGGAATGTTGGAGGTTCTAGTGTTTTGCTACAATGTTAGCGGCCTTGTGCCTGACCGAGCAGTGTACAGTACTGCATTAATGCACTCCATCCTGTTCACAAAATGGGGTCCATGCATGTTGAAGGTGTTTGGGGCACCCACCTCGTCCTACTCTCAACCAGTTTCCCGGGATCTCTTCACTGCAATTTTAGCACTCTCAGGGGTCCGTTAGTGACTAAACACACAAAACGTACCGATTTGCAGGCTGCTTGTGCTCTGCCGAAAGAGTCATCATGCAGTTATGAATTGCTCGAGGGTGTTTCTCATGCGAAATTGGGAGATGTGCTCAAAGGGCAGCTTTTAGAGGTTTCGAATTTTTATAGAGTTGTCAAAAGCCGTTTATTAGGATCAGGTCAAGTGCCGCTGTCTGATGGGTCTTGCAAAGGTAAGTTCGTCCTTCACTGCAATTTTAGTCAAGCCTAACCCGTCTTTGTCTCGGCTAATAAATCGCGATTGGCTTATCTCATTCGGGGCACCTCGCTCTCGATCTTGCACCGGAGCCCGCGAATAAGTACTTTCACTGCATTTTTAACCCATCCCAAAGCCTTCCTTTCCTGATCAGTTGAGACAAGCGCGAATTTAATTGAGAGCTTGGCTAAGGCTTCAACATTGTCCAGTTCACCCCACGTCCCTGTAGCCCCGACTGCGAAAATTACAAACATGAACGTTTCACTGCGTTTGCTAACTTGTCGCGAGATGATATAATAGGAAGTAACCGTGCTTATTTTGCCGGTGTTCCGCCTGAATTATCTAGCTGTATCTCTCTCTAGTGATATTCATCAGGACAATTTATCGTGTTTCATCAACAGCGACACTTCATATCCAGCGACTAATCCAGGTTTCAGGTAACTTATAATAGTGAGGTAGAATCTAAAAGATTTGCAACTGGGTCTGCATAAAGCGTCTCAGTCAGCGCGCTCGCCGTCTGACCTTTTACTCGTTAGCAAATTTATCAACCTACAAAGGTGAACTTATTTGTATGTTTAGTGAAAGCTGGGCTGTTATTTAGGTGATATTCTTATACTCATACTCCTTTGCATTAAACTATCTCCTTTCTTTTTTTCTTTTGCGTATATTTATTACATATGAATAACTAACTATCTCTACCGCGCATTGAGCTGCTAGCTGATAATTAATTCACCACGATCTTGTTCTTATTCCATAGAATCACGGTTGGTCGAAGGCCCGCCTCGATATCTCGTAATTTTTCGGGCCTCAAATAAGCCAGCCTATAGTCAACACGTTCACTGCAATTTTAAAACATCTCGACACCCCCGGTCCCATGGGTGTCAGTAGAGTGTGGTAGTAGAACCAATGTGCTTCACACCTAGCCCCCGCATCTCCTTCAATTTGGCCAGGGTATCCCCTGTACTGTGCGCTTGCATCTCATCAAGATTGTGCCAGCACCAATTTCTTCACTGCAATTTTAACACGCTCTGGAACCATTACAGTCCAGGGTCCACGACGCTTTGAATGTCAGCTGGCCTGTAACAGTCCGATTATAGAAGACTTGGATATCTGCAATTTCTTTTCGTCTTATATAACCAATAATTTTGTTTAAGAAACAAGTATTGTCAATTTTAGAAAGGAAAAAAGAACCCTTCCTCAGGTCATCATATATACCATATATCTAATCGATCACTTCTTCAAAACCCAGTGCTGCAATATGCTTCTTGTACTCCTGTTGTTTCCGTATGTCCTGAACCTGTTAGTCATGCTCCATATCTACCAATCAAACTTCGTACCTCTTCCACGGTGTTGTTGATGATATATCTTGTCACTCGAACTTCACTCTGTTGCCCGAGGCGAATGGCTCTCGAAATCGCTTGGCTCTCGACGCTGGGATTCCATTGTAGCTCTGCGATGAAGATTCGGTTTGCACAAGTCAAATTCAGTCTGTAATCATATCAGTCTACCAATACAACTAGAAGGAAGAAAACCTACCCAAATGCCCCGGTTCCTGTCGTCATGATGAGAACAGGCGTCTCATCCTCGTTCTCAAATTTGAGGAGCGTCGCCTGTCGTTGGTGCAACGGGCTTTCACCGTCGAGTTGAAGGTATGGAATCTTAGCCTGTTCCAAGTGTCTCGATATCAAATACAGCGTCCGCGTCCAGCAGGAGAATATAATACTGCTTCTTGTTAGAAGAAACGGGATTTTTAGGATTGACATACCTTTTTGTGGTCCAGAGATCTTTCTGCACATCCTCAACCAGAGTTTGTATTTTTGTTGAAAGGCCTTGTTCATTGAAGTAGCTCCCGTGGTCATCCTTTGCTGCTGCTGTCTTTCGCCGCTTTCGTGGTCTGTCGCTGTGTCCCAAAGTTCCCTCATCTCTAGAAATAGAAGGTTTTTTGTACCATCTAACGCAGATCGGACAACGATTTCGATTTTCGGGCAGGGACATGCTCGACTCTTCAATGCACTTCGAACATAGAACATGTGAGCATTCGTCGTCAAACATTCCTTTCGTCAAGTCGCATCCCAACACGGGCATTGGCTGCTCACATCCCACGCAGGTGATTTCGCCGAATTGACCGGCTGTTCCAACTATTGCCTCTCGTTCTTCCATGAGGCTTCTCCGATGCCATGAGAAGAGCTTCTGATACGTTCCGTGGTTACAGACTATTCGAAGCTGGAGCCACATTTGAAACATGCCGAACTGGGAGCTTTTTTTGACCTCACCGAGGCGATGCTCCATGTTGCGTAGAATGACAGCCTTTGTTTTGTCGTACTGGTCCCTCTCTTGCGGACTGAACTCTAGATGTCGAACAAACTGCCGCGTTCTGGGCAAGTGCAAGACCTCTCTCGTTCGACGTAAGCACAATGCTTGGAGGAGCATGACTAGGCGATTCTTTACGAGCTCAGGGTCATCGAATGAGTTGTCAAATGGTGTTTCTATCCACTTCCTAAAGTCTGATGCCTTGTCGAATGGTTCAGCGCGAATGAAGCGGAACAGCGAGCCTATGTCAGCAAGCTTGTTTTGGATGGGTGTTCCAGAAAGACACCATCGAGAGTTGGCATGGAGATATTCGCATGCCTGGAAGAACTTTGTGGATGGACGGCGGATAACATGGGCTAAAGGCCTCACAGTAAGCTTTCTGGATAAGCGCTGCAGATTTGCTACTCACCTTCGTCAAGGACTATCCGATACCAACCCAACTTGTACAACGGCGAAGTCTTCCCTTTCCCTATCAGGTACTCAGCAGTAAGTGTGTGATATGTTGTCACTACAATATCAGAGTCCTCAATGACGGAAAGCTCCCCTGGAGTCTTCGGTCTGTTCTCACCATGGTACTTGACCACTTTGAAGCCTGTCTGCAGGTGCCTGTACAACGTCAGAAACTACCTCTAATGAGTCTTTTACTTACTTTCTAACCTCATTTTCCCACTCATCGACCAGTACTATCTACCGTTAGCATTAAAGGGGTCGTTGTCGAGGAGAAACTCACAAGCTGCTGAGACCACAATGAGAGTAGAACGAGAGAACTTGAGAGACCTCTTGCTCTTGTGCTCTGCATTTTTGCCCTCCGCCCACTCTTTGCCCTTGTCCAGAGTCTTCATAATCAAAGCTAGGATAGAAAGCGACTTTCCCATTCCCATGTCATCAGCAAGAATGCCGCCACCCCTCTCATCGGGCCGTATATCTTTGCGTCTCTTGGTTATTCTGTGTCGATATTGAAACCTTCCGTTCTCATGTTGGATCTCTTCCCAAAGCCTGTACTTTTCGTTTATATGCCCAGACTCTCTCTCGAGCATGAAACCTAGTGCTTCCTTCTGATGTCTATATCTTTGTTAGTGCTACAGCTAAGTGGCTGGTGAGTTCTGATAGATCACCTTAAAAGCTGACGGGTGACTCTCTCGCCACCTTCAACCATCTCAATTTCGCGGTTGTTCTCGACTGTCTTGTAAACTTCATCTACCATCTTCCGAAGTTGATCCTCCTTGCTCATTCTTTTCTGGACGCCATCAGTAGTAGCATGTTGCGTATCCTGAACTTCATCGGCTGCAGTATCTTGGATGCTAATACTTAGGAAGTGCGGATTCTCGTAAGTGATACCATGTCTTCCGTGGCTAGACCTCTGAAGCCACAGCTTTGCATTCGAGAGCATTTTGCCAATATCCAAAGCTTTAGATCGTAGACCATAGATATTGATATCAACTTTGACCCTAGCGTCGGCGGGTTTGTTTGCGCGACTTATGACTTCTCTCAGGTCACATTTCAGGGCCAATGGTTGAATATCGACTGACGGCTGGGTCATCAGGAACAAGAGAGTCTGACCTGCCGCTGAAGGTAGATGGCCGAAGTGCTTCTCTTCACCAGGAAAACAAAGCATTAGTTGGCTCTGGTACTCCGTTGGTGTGAAATATTGATAAGCTGAGCCTTCTGTTGCCAGTCGTTCATCTATGAACGACATGTCATCAGGTACCAGTTTCACTTCCATGTTGTGGAGCTATGATAAATGAGTATTCACTATGGATTTTCAAATGTAATTCAAGGTGTATGTGCTTACCATGCCATAATGAACGACAATGTCGTCTTCTCCGGGCAATGTTATAGGTGTTTCATTTGACCGACTTGGCGCAGAAAGTTCTTGTGTCATAGCTGACCCTTCACGAGAGCTTTCGATAGGCAATTGAAGGAATTGGAAGTTTTCGAGTGTAGCAGACGTATCCGAGGGGGCGTTTTCTTCTTCGTCGGGCCGAGGCGCTATTTGAATATCGTTCATGTCCAACTCGATGTCAAAATTCACCATTCCAAGTTGTGGATCAACGTCCCAGTCGTTGTTTTGAGTATGGTAGTGTGCAAGGGCACCATTTTGAGGAAATAGAGGATCGCTATTTTCCTTCTTTAGCCTTAGTTTGGATTGATACATAAAGCTACCTACACTAGAGTGTTTACAAGACTGAACTGGAGGTTGTCGCCAGCCTCAGTGATGTCTCCATTTAGAGCACACCAAGAGGCTTGTGACGTCTCATCAACCGACTCATTGATGCCGAATTCCTGAAGACTAGGCACATCGCCCATGTAATGATCTTCGTCCTGGTCTACTCCTAGCCAGTTGCTGAAAGAGTGAGACACATGGTGTTTGTCGTCGTCTACGGGATTGAGGAGATCCCGCAAGTCAGCCATATTGTCGATATCATGAATTCTTCGAATGCAATGGAAATCTTCTGGCTGTGAGCCACGCGTTGTTGAAGTATGAGAGCTTTGGTAGCCAAGTTCTGGCTGACACACGGAAAATACAAGAATCAGGCTGTGCAAGCGCGTGTCTTATGCAGGAGATCCCTGGAGTCGGTGACCCAACGTCGAATCAGAACCTCTATTTTCAGCCAACTGCAGGTCGCTTGGCCTATAAGGCAGGCCCGAATCATCATATTGTTCGCTCTGCGTTGATGTTACCCAGCGATTGGATAGAAACGCTTGAAAATCCAACACCGCCATTAAAGGCTTTCGGCAAGGCGATTTTGAGGCTCTCCTCACTGCAGCTGAATTGCCTCTCCAGCCCTTCACCGCCAGCTGGTCTTGTGAAGCCGATTAATTTCTAGTCAATATCGGCTACCCCATCCTTCTCATTACCACAGTGGTCTATGAATTATCGCCAAGGGCCTTAGCCAGTATCACTCAATTGCTCATCACGATGGACCGGCTTCATGAATTGGCTGAAGGCTTCAGAAGATCTCTAAAACCCCACCATGAAGAAGAGTTTGGAAACACGACTATGGAGGACATGCTAAAGGAGATCAATGATATTCAATTGTTAAGAGACCGAACCAACAGCATGATGGATATGAATCGACTGCGAATGTTCCTTGACGGTCTGAAAGAACTCGAGAAAATACTTTTACAACTCGAGTTCCCTGGCACGAAAGGCGTAATGTCAATCGTCTGGGGCTCGGTGAGGTTTTTCCTCAGGGTAACCATTGGCCTTTTGTTCATGCATGAGGCTCGGCTAAAGGTTTGCAGAGTACCAACACTACCGATAGGGCATTTGACGGACTACTCAATGTTTATGGACTCCTCGGAGCCCAACTCTTACCCTTGACCAAGTTCGAGGAATTCTTCCGAAGATTTCCGTTGGCCATAGAGTGTATCGCCAATATCTATCAGGATATCCAGCGATTCCATTCTGCAGCATACAGGCTTTTCTCACTTACAGCGACGCGTAAGATATTCTTTCCAGAGTCAAATCTCACGCCGCTGACTTATCGAAGTATGGCAGCGTCTCCAGAAGTCTGTGTGGGATGACGCAAGTGACTTCTTTTCAAGTCTATCCGATTCTCTAGGTTCACACGCCAAGTTTATCAAAGAACGCAGTTTTTCTACAGAAGGTAAGTCTCCAAGTAACAGTAGCTCCAGAGAAAATACTAAATCCAAAGACTATCGCGCCCTTCATGCGGCCTTCCAGCAGTATTCGTATGGCCTTCAGTCAGATTGGAAGAAGTTCGAGGCCGATGAGAAGGCCAGACGTCGTGGAAGGAAAATCGAAGTCACTGAGTGGATTGCTTCTTCCGTGAAGATGCCACGGTTACAAGAGGAGTTTCGTGATATGGCGATCTGCCCTAGGAGTGGTCGCTGGCTTTTCCGAAACTACAGCGAGATCTCGGAGTGGATGGGCGAGGACGACCCTCCTCACTCAGCCATATGGCTACACGGGAACGTGGGATATGGTAAGTATTCCCATAAGATCTTCAATAAGATGCTGATAAATCTAGGTAAAACGGTACTTGCATCGCTGATAGTCGACGAACTGAAATCGTCTAAACTTCAGAGTACGATGCCATCTTTTCCAGAGGACAGTAAAACATGTTACTTTTACTGCCAAGAAGACGACATTGAACACAGGAACCATCTTGATATCTTAAAGGGTATACTCCTGCAGATGGTAGAGGCCGAGGATTATATAGTCCCATATTGCTACCAGGAAAAGGCCACAAGTGGAGGTCCTATCCTGATAGATGCGAAGCTGGCTCAAAAGCTCATCAAGACGTTTATCGAGTTCTCTGCAAGACACTACATTGTGATAGATGGGGTGGATGAATGTCACGGAGCCGAAATTCAACAAACTGCCAAGTTCTTCAAGGATCTAGTGTCGGTATATGACACGCAAATCAGATTGGGGCACCTGAGGGTTCTTTTCATCGGCCGAGAAACAACAGATACCAAGAAACACATATCCGGAGATGATTGCTTCGGCATATTGCTTAGGCCCGAGGACAACCACGATGATATTAGAGCTTTTGTACAGGAGAAACTTCCAGAGTTCTCAAAGTCAAGTCGCGGTATTGGTTTCAGTCTTTCTGAAGCTGATAAATCAGATGTTGAGCGGATAATATGCCGACAAAGTCAAGGTTCATACTAATGAACAACACAATAGTGGAGGTTTAAGGCTGACATAACCATTTAGACTCCTTTCTCTACGCACATCTGGCTATAGAATTCCTTTTAAAGCAAGATACCAAAGGTGACTTGATAACCTTGCTGAGACATGGAATGCTACCAACAAAGCTTAGAGACATGTAAGTCCTCGACTCTAGCACTTGACTTCAACTCACCTTTCTAGGTACGAAAGATTGCTCGACTCGGTTAAGAATAGTCTCATGGCACAAGCAGGAGGTCCCGCAAGGTGGAAGAGATCAAAGCTACTATTTGGATGGCTCATCTGTGCCAAAAGACCACTTAGATGGCACGAGATGCAGGCAATCTTATGCTTTGATCCCGAAAAGCTTCAGATCGACTTCGAGAACAACATGCTACGACAGGATATGGAGAAGTATCTCGGATCCATTGTTCATGTCCTTGACGGGGGCTATATTCGACTAATTCATTCAACTGCACGCAGGCCAGTATTCATTAACAATCAGTGATTGCAAGTGACTGACCCTTAGGGATTTCAGATATATCATAGAGAACAGACATATCAGTGAGAAGCAGGTTCAGTGCCAGCTGACGACTATTTGCCTCAGATACTTGACCCTCCCATGCTTCATCCATAACACCAACTACCCGGCACACCAAAGAAGCGAACATGCCAAATTGGGTTGGTTCTCTTTCCAGGATTACGCGTGTGCTCATTGGCTATATCATACCGACACTTTGATCAGAGAGTGTAGTGAAGTCTTCACAACCGAGACTTTTCAAAGCGTCGCCGAAGACTTCGCATCTGCGTTGAAGCAATTTGTCAATATTCATCGCGCGGACTTGAGTACCACCAAACACGCTGAATTGGTTGAAGAGCATATAGAGAAATTCGTGAACTTGGAACTCTACGAAGACCTTTACTTGCTGTGGAACCACATATACACTCACCAGCGAGGTGATTATGCAACACGAAACACTGTTGGCGTTAAACAGATTGAAAATGGACTTAAAGATAATAGAAAGAAGCTGGAGATTTTCAGACCCGACGAAAAGGCTGGTGATGAGGATACCATCGGGGACTATTATGGCTTGAACCTCTACAAGTGTCATCGCACATTGTGTCGCTTCTTCTATGTCGGCTATAACAACAAACGCGACCGACATGACCACGGAAGGCGACACGAGAGGCCTTTTCAATGCCCCGTCTCCTGCAATGCTGCCCCTCTTGGTTTTGCAAGCAACAAGGATAGGGACCGACACGTCAACATCTACCATCCGGAACTCAGCGAAGGACCCGCCATCTTTGAGGTTTTGAGCCGCCGACAGATCCCAGGTAAATTCGTTTGCAATATGGATGGGTGTAACAAGACATTCACGAGGAAAGAAAACCTAAAGGATCACGCACGGAGTCACTCCGGGGAGAGGCCTTTCGCTTGCACCACTTGCGGGAAAGCTTTTGCCAGAGTTGGTGACTGCCGAAGGCATGAGAAGATACACGCAAGGAGAGGATAGACTGGTGGTATAGAGGCGGGGAGAATAGGTCTTAAGTTCCGCATGGTAATATACGCTATGGGGCAAAGATCTCGACTGAGAACGATACCTATTTATACCGTAATTCCTGAGCTAGCGCCTTTGTGAAGTAGTCAAGCTGGACATACTAAATTTTACCATGCCTATATAAGTACTCTCATCACTAAGGAAAACGGTATCCGATTTTCTTACGTTTTCTGCAGTATAAATTCCGATGAAAAACGAGACGTTGGTAATTGGACCCAAGTTAGAAACGCCAGGTAGATACAACATACTTGAAAAGCTGGCCTACTTTTCCTTCGGCTCAAGATCAACACTCTGGTACTTGACATCAGTCCAGACTGTCATATCATAAAACAAGGCTAAGCCGACTCTTCTATAACTTCCACTAGCCGTTTTGAGCACCATCAGAGCTATACCGGGTTGACGATGAGTATAGCTGATGGGCTTACCCAGGAGAAGATACTCGCACTTTCTCCCTGCAAGTTCAACTTTTGAAGCTGACTTCACAAGATCCAGCATTGGAGACACCGTGTTCCGCTTAGAAGGGCTTATTTCGTGGAACTGGAGTATCCGGCAGTATAGCCTGACCTTGGCTGCAGTGAGAATCTCGATCTTGGCGTCCTCGATGTCCATCGTGGCTGGGAATCCAACAGTGCCATCGACTGAAACCCAAGACCAACTAGGAGCCCTCTTGGTGTGTCTTTCACAGGCTCTTGCTTTATGTGGCTTGCACCATGCCAGAAGTTGAATAAACCATCGTTCCCAATGGCCGTAAATATGAGAGTCTCGCCAGACCTTTTGTAGCTCGGTTGTTATACCCGTGACCGCTGGTAATCTATCCTCGGGGTCTTTCAGTTGTCTCTCCGTATACTGAGATAAGATGGTCTGCCAGAGATAGAGTTTCTCTGAATCATGTGTCCCGAAGGACGGCTCACCCTCCTCATCGAAAGAAGTCCACGGCAGTGACTCAAGACGCTGCTGGTATACTATACCCTCATTATCTCCTGTGACGCTCTGTAGTTCAGTTTCCTGGCACTGCCATAGGAGTTGGTAGTCTGAGAATATGAGCATGCGGGACGACAGCATATACTCCTGAAGCGTCCATCCCCTTTTGTCAAGAGGATGGTGTGGCTGATATGGCTTTTCGGACAGATGGATAGTCCCAGTACGCCCATCCGTCATCGGTATCTCGAACTCTCTGTACGGCAGATACGTTGGATCCTTGAAAGGTAAGCTTCCCAAGAATCCTTCAGATGCGTTTTTGGCAGTCCCGGCAGCTAGCGTGATTGCAGCGTTCTTATATGTCATCGCCATCTTGATGATTTCTCTTGTCTTGTCTTCTGAACAGTCTTGAATGATGCACAGTCTATCCACCCAGAGATAAGTAAAGCCTAGCTCTCGCGTCACGCGTATTGCGTCTTGAACAGATTGTTCCAGCTCTTCGAGTTTGATTTCTTGCACTAGATCTTGCTCGTTGTTCAAGCGTAGTTCTGATAGTCGACTTTGCTTGTTCGGGTCTGGTTCACCCCAGCAGTAGCTCAGGGCGAGATAAGATCCTCGAGTTTCTGTCTGATTGATTTGTAGCTGTGCAGTCTGATCGCTGACTTTTATTACGCGCGTAGGAAGGACGATGTCTCTCGAGTATCGGCATTTTTGATGGCCCTGATCCGGTGCATCTGTTCTCATACAAGTCTCTATCAATAATTTAGCTGATGAATAAACTTCCGGACTCGAAACATCTCTGTGTAGTGGCCGTCGTCTGATCAAGGTGGAGAGGGGGTCATCTGAGAAGATATGTTAGAGTAAGAAGAAGCTTAGAAGAGGGCAGATCCCAAACCTTCTTTCACAAATGGATAGAGCAGGATACGTCCATTTATGCCATTCACTCGACCAACCAAGGCGTTCATATCCGAGCTTTCGTCTCCTGGGTTCAATTTCAAGTCCCAGAAACGTAGGAGTCCATCATCCTTCCAGAGATGCGCTCCAAATTCATTCAGACCAACTTCCAGAATGAACCTGCACAGGTCACAGTTTTGTGACCACCAGATACCCTTTCGGGTTCTATGAACGAAGCCAGAAGATGAGTTCAGATCCTGTAGCGCTTGTTGGGAAAACAAGCGTGTACAAGCATCGCATCGCCGTTCGTATCGTCCTACCTGCGCTCTTTTGCGTGGTGGTGGGCTATCGCCAGGCCACTCCATTGTCTGGGTCAGATTGTGAGTTTCCGATATGCACACTGTAGAGTTCGTATATTAAGTTCAGTCGACCGGGATGATTACTATGTAACGAGCGACAACGTTGGGCATCAGGATCGGGCAAATGAACGGCTTCCAGAAGAAAGTTCACAAGGCCAGAGCGACTCAGCGTTGCTCCCTTGAGGCCTATGTAATTGGTTTAATAGAAGTGGGGCTTGAAAAGTCGGCGGGGCGCGACATGCCGCTGTGTGTTAAAAATGCAGTGAAGAACATGGGGAACGGACAGCGAGACACAACGGTGAGCCTGCATCTTGACGAGTGTTTCTGATGATGACCTACGATGGGGACTGGGGCAGCCATTTTATCCCTTAGGGAAAGTATTTAGAGTTCTCTTTATGCATCAGATATGATTATTATTAGATAGGCTTATAAAGCTTATCTTAGGTAGTTATATTAGGTAGATAATATATTACCTAGATTGACTTTAATAAGAGTGTTATTTTAAGTTGGTAGTCCCTACTTGTATAGCTAATGGCTTACATTATGCGCCTTACACACGAGACAGGACGCCGGAGAGTGCGAGTGGGGCTCATGTTAGGTCGGATCCCCGGTGTTGCACGGTGAAAACCTATTCGTTTACAACTGCTGCGGAAATGGGGCTCTGAATGCAGTGGATGTCGAGATGCGCTAAAAATGCAGTGAAGGGACTCTTTACATGGGTTTATTAGCCAATGGAGTCCGGGGGCTGAATGGGGAATATCAAAGGCCGAGCACTGATCCTATCATTCTAGGAGCCAAGTATGCTAAAGTGTCTGATAATAAGCTATGCTGGAGATCTTCTGTCGTTTAAATTATAGACTTTGGGTCGTTTGACTAGAAAGAGCTTTCAGGACCTTGCATACCTAGTGTAACAGGGATGATGACCTGTAAAGATATTACGGTAGGGATCCCTAGGATTTAGATTTTTAGACACGAAGATTCAATTATTAACAGAACAAGTAGAAGGACGAAGAATAAAGTCTTCAATCTAATATAGAAATTATAGTTGAATGTAAGTTCCAGTATCATCATGATACCTGAAAGGTATTCGAGTACTTTTGAAGGTAGCCGAGCGTGTTAAAATTGAAGTGAAAACATCACTAAGAACGGGCGCAGTTTATGCTCTCATTTTACCCTCTTGTTCTGGTTTAGCACATTTCCCAACCTGGATTAGCGTTTCTAGAGCCAACTCCAGCCGATGCCCCGCAACGTCGGCCATAGATTCCCGGGTCCTCATCGACTTGATGCTTGCAAAATTCTAAAGACAGAGGAATTTTCCCCTTGATTCTTCCCCAGCCACGCAAGTACCAGCTGTTATCTCCCCTGAAATACCGAGTTTCAGGCGCCGAGCGTCGATCAGCTTAGCTCATCTCGGCTCTATCCGATGCCTGCGATGCCGCCCAAGAAACGTGCATACGTACCAAAGACAAAGGGTCAGTACAGCCTCAGTTCTTCTTGGCAGTGCCTAACAGGTGATTAGGCTGTCACGAATGCTCAAAGCGACGCATTCATTGTGATAGGAATGAACCGAGCTGTAATAAGTGTACTTCCAGAGGCTTGAATTGCAGTGGCCTTGGTATTCGACATCGATTCAACAAGGGAGTTGCTGCGCGAGGAAAGTGGGCTGGCAAGACTATCGACAGGGTTTATGAAGAGTATGCACAATCTTATCTTCATGTATCGAAGTGAGATACTGACTTCATCGCAGGAATGAATGGAAGGTTTCTTCAACCGATAAAGACGCATCAGCATCGTCGGCATCAAGTTCAACCGCAGATACAAACCTGGAAACCACGGAATCTCATCATGATGACAACGATGATCAACAAGACGACGATATCGAGTATATCACATCGGATACTGGAACCTATGACCTTGCGCTAGCAAATTCCCAATCACCCGCAGACCGCGAGGTTTTCATGACACTCTTTTTAAAAGGAGTTCCAGATAACATGCCCGCGTGGAAGAGAAATCTATTCATGACTTGTAAGTCCAGTCTTCACTCCATTGCTCAAGGTACTTACACTCCTAGTCTCACGCTGCATATCAACGGAGATGGTAGCCATAGACGGCCTTCACAATGACTGGCGCCACCTCCTTCTTCCCCTAGCTCAACAAGACGAACTGGTCATGGATGCCGTCCTCACTGTCTCGTCCTTTCACTTCCACATCAACAAACTCAATAATGATTTCAAGAAGAACCAGAAGCAGTACTCTGCCTTCGGAACAAATACATACGATACTTACGTCCCGGATCCATATCACCTTTTGGGTCGAACGCTTAAAGGCCTACGACAACGTCAGGAACTCATATGCAACAACCAAACTACCCAACACTCGGTGCTCATCAGCCTTTTGCTACTGATGACTTCTGTGCTCGTCACTGGAGGCTCAGACTTCCCTGTCCTTCTCCGAATGCTGGAGTCAGCGCTGGACGCTATTGGAGGAAAGGAGGGCCTTGGTACGGGTATCTTGGCAGGTTTTATCATGCGTGAGCTTCACAAGTGAGTACACGCAATTTATCCTGAGCCGAATGATGGGTATTCTAACAAGATAATAGGATCCGAGTTTATGCTGCCCCGCATCTTGGGGAAGAAACAGGTCTCCAGATGATCTCGTCCCAAGCCCGAACCGACCAACTCTTCGGCTGTCTCAACCACTGCCTCCAACTCTACCCAGAACACACACCACTCTTCTCCCAAGTCACAAGTCTCGTCTACCAAGCTCGAGATATCTATCTCCAACAAGTCCTCTCCGACCATACCTCCAACTTCTTCGACCTAGATCCCATACCCACCAATCCCGAGTCGGTAGCACGTGTGCAGCGCTTCATCGAAGCCCTCGAACAATTTCCCGAGACTTCTCCCGTAGCTCATATGTTGGTCTGGACGACATTTGTGGCGGCGTCGGATGCGCAGCTTGAGGAGCACAAGGTCTATTTTGAAAATGTTTTGAGAAGACACCATGCGAGGAGTGGATTTGGGAATTTGTTAAAGGGTATTGAGGCGTTGAAGAGGATGTGGAGTAGAAAGCCTGGGGAGAGATGGACGACTCTTTTACCGCAGACAAAGGTTCTTGTTGCTTGAAATGGAAAGATTGAGACCACGTAAAATGGCGATTGGAAGACTTGGTTTTTGATAATACCCTAATTTCAGAGTCTCCAGTTTGATATAATTTAAGTCACAGTCGCTAAGACGATAAATATTACTGCTCCCAATGAAAGACCTGACTCATTTCCTCTGTGAGTCGTGAATGATCGAATCTCGTTAAATCCGAAAACACCATTCATGAATTCGCTTTACCGCCTCGACTTCCGCTGAACATAGATGTCTCCGTTAAAAGTCCTCCACTCGATAGACCTGATACGGACATTCCTCATACGGATGCGCTCTAATATATCAGTTATGATCCTCTCCATAAACGCCTAAACTCACTCTTTCAACGCCGCAACAGCCTTCCGCACCGTCTCCTCCCCAACAATCAACGTCTCAACCCTAACCTCCGGCGTCTCCTCCAACTCCCCAACCTTGCCAATAGCCGGATTCGCCGCATCTCCCGGCCTAAACTGTCCAATCCCCGACGTCTGCCACGCGCACTCAGTGTACCCGCCAGGACCGGGATAGCGGCCCGCGCCGGCTTTGAAAATTGCGGCTTTGCATGCGGAGGCGCTGGCGGGTGGGACGTAGAAGACGAGGCTGAAACGGCGTAGTGATGCCATGGTGTTGCGAGATGTTCCGGGACCGGGAAGAAAAGTTGCTTCTGGTGATGGTTCGAGAATGTTTGGTGAGTGGGGTTCGGTTGAGGATGATGTGTATCATGTGACGCTGTGAAACGGAAAATAATCTCGCAGGCTGATCTGATATCTGCATCTCGGACACCGCCGATGTGAGATATTACACGAAAACATTGACGTCAGAACCGGAACTGTTGCCGGTCAACATCAAACACTCTCAATACCACACCGGAAGATAGAATAAGAATTATGATATTATCTCTATGAAAGGACTTTTGAGCTGCTTTCGTCCATTAGAGCAGACCACGCAATTTCCACCTCGTTTGGAATGCCAATAGGTGACTTGGCCTTGATAACTCCACCTTGCTCGCCGATGATCCGGTCTAGAAAACGATCCATAGACCAAAGTTCCCTTCGGCCATCTTTCTCGGGTTGCGCCTTTTCTTGTTGGATCTCTCTTGTTTGCTTTAGCCGTGGCCAGCAAGAAATCTGGACAGAAACGTTCTCGTAGACTTTTTCAAATGAAGACATTGTCCGGCTACTCATGGCTGGGTCCTGTACAACAACCATAGATCTTGGGGTGTGAATGCCGTTCTCTTCCAGAACCACTTTTGCCTCTGATGCATCTGCTCCGCAGTTGTTTGAACGATCGGAGACGATGATCCGAAAGCCATGATTTTGGCTTCCAGTTTCGTTGATCTTGAGCTTGTAGAATCGCTCTGCCATGACCCTCAACAGCTCGCCTTCAGGCTTGCCGTTTATCGTGTCAAATATCGTGCAATATTTCTTGCTCGCTCTGCAAGCGTCGTAAACAAATGGTGTACAAGGTCCAATGCCTCCGCATAACACCAGTACTGTGTTTTGTCTTTCCCCGTATTCCCTCTGCCGTTGCACCGCCCACTCAAAGACGGCTTCGGGAATAGCTAGGATCGCTGATGCGCAAAGAACGATGACATCAGTTGATTGATCTTCAGAATCTGATTTGCCCTCTCCGATATGTCGCAGCGACTGGAGATATGAGTCGAGTTCCTTGGCGCTGTAAATCTGCTGTAAGGCTAGGAATCGTGAGATGATATCCGCCGAGTCGGACCACTCATTTGGCGTGTCAGTTGTTCTAGAAGGCATTATAATGAATCGAAGGTAATAGGAGGAATATCATACCAGACCGAGTAGACCTGAGAGGGATCGGGGAGGTTGATATATCTCGGTGTGTAATAGCCCGATTGTTTAGCCTCCATCTCCGCCTAGAAACTCAACGCCAGATTTCCCCGCCCCAGTACCCATTAAAAGCGAGCTAATAGATGAACTCTAATAATAGTATTAGCCAGTGGGAAAATTCCATTTACACATAATTCAGGCACTAATCTTATCACTGCGGGAGTTACTAACACGAACCGTACGTAACGTGGATCCTCCAGGCCTATTTAGGAATACCACAAACATGGACACCTCAACGTTACGTCAAATGATTCATTTTTGGGCACTCTGTAGTAATCAGATTATCAGTCATCGCTAAACCTCTTCAATAATGATGGCTTTTTACTTTGCCATGTTTCGGCAGCTTGTGATAGCAAGTAGACCAACTTTCATGACTTCGTAGGCAGGTTAACACCGCTAAGATGATCGGTAGGACTTGGAGAAAGAATCAATCTTCATGAAATAGAACAGTTTAAATTTGTGTGTGAGCATTGAAGGCAATGGCTACTATCAATTTCAGTCAGTATTACTAACGAAAACTATCATAACAGTTGTGTAACTACCTCTAAAGTTAGTACTCCCTCAAGCCAAAGGAGAGGAGACTCACGTTGCTCCAGCTACAGCCAACTCAACCGTCTTGGCATTCGTCAACAGAGACATGCAACAAACAAATGCAGCTGTCGATAATATCATGATGGCCAATCTAGCCGGTTGGCTACCAATCATATTGCAAATGACCACTGGCGCCAGTAGTAAAAACACAATAAGTGGGCTCAAGATCGCTCGAGCTACTCTCATCGTCGATGAACGAGAGAAGATTTCAACGTGAGGATCGTTGGAAATATTCTCAGAACTCTGGAGTCGTATTAGTCTGGCACAGTTGATACGGGATCTGCTTACCTTGCTAAATCGACGGACAATCTTATCGCAGACATTTCTTTCTAGCCATGCTACGATCCCGTCTTCTCTGGGACATAGAGATAGTAGATCATCGCTGTTGTTGAGGAACCTTCTTTCGCCTCTGGCAATGCAGCTATTCCCGGATAGCCACCGCTGGAGACTAGAGACATACTTCTCATGAGGTGACTCATACTTCAGTGATCGCTGAGTTCCATCGAGAAGCTCGTCTTTGTCAAGTTAGCTATTTGATTCATTGAGGGATCAAGCGATACTAGTACCGTAGGCTGAAAGAGCAGAACGTAGTTTGGTGGTTACAGCAGATCGGTCTGGGTTCCTATCATCACGGCGAGATGCCAAGAACAGAGGACTCTTTTCCGTCTTATCTATATGATTTAATTGTTCTTCAAGCTCGACTATCTCATCTTGAGTGAGAAGTAAGAGGCGCGTTCGAAGATCTGAGAAACGCCGGTATATCTGAAAGGAACTATGTCCGGCCATCAAGGCGGAGAATCGTGGGTATCCTTTTCGGCGGTCTTCAACTAGAGTGATAGCTGTCAGACATGATACTTCAATGAAGCAATTATGTATCAGCACATTAAAAAAAAAAAAAAACTTACTGGTAATTCTTTCATTATTGCTACCCACGGCCGATGCTTGGCTTTTGTGAGGTTTTAGGCTGAAAGCTCCTGGGACCCGCCAGGAAGAAGCCCATGTCAATACCGACCTAGCAAATGTCGGCCTGATTGTGATCTCCGAAGAGCCTTGTTCGATATCATTAGTCATTCTATATCAATATTCGAAATACATGAATTTTTCACGTAACGTGTTGATATATCTTATCAATGTTTATAGAAATGCATTTATAGCCGCTGATTGATGCCTGATCACACCCTGGATTACCTGACTGCAGCGACGTGCAGCGCTTTGTGTCAGCCCACATGCAGCAAAGTATTCATCGCCTCACTTCCAAGACGTACCTATCCATCATTGGTATAAAGCTTCCGCCCTATCTGCAACTGTCTTGCAATTTCACCACTTTCACAAACTCAGCCACATTGCGACATGCCATTTTGTAGTTGAAAATGAGCGCCAACGACGATTCGTAGGTTGTTTCTCCAAAAATGTTGAGAATACCCGCTAACAAAAAGAAAGCCCAAATGACACTAGTTTTGTTGTCTCTGATAACAAAAGACCAGGGGTCAACGCATACGGCGTCAACTACAAGTTCTCCCCTGGCGATAAGGTCTATATCATTGATGCTGGAGGAAAGGCAGGCCCATACAAAGTAGAATCTGCCGACGGCGGGAAATACGTTTTATGTGATGACTACGGTATCACTGCAAATGGTGGGCAGTCGTATCTGGAAGATGAGCTTGAGCTATACGATCCTTTTGCGTAAACACGCGCAAAGATCTACAGATATGTACGAATTAGATAATTCCGCGTGGTCCATTCACACTTCTCATCGCCTCTGTTGCCCGGAAGATCGCCATTTAGTCCCTGCAATAAACAATCCAAGGGGTCTGCCGCCTCTCGATTTCTTCCGTGCTGAAGTTTTGGAAGAACCATACCCGGAAACACGAATGGTCGACTAGTAATAAACAATTTGACTATATATTCAGTGCCAGATAATCCTTGGTCAGAAGCCCGCTTTGGTACTGTCATCGTGAAAGGGAGTTCCTGGGTTCCTGACTCTTTGTGACCCTTTGGCTTTATCGTGAGGTATGCATCCTCTCCGCTCTCAGACATCAGGTTACGAATCTCCCAGAATTCAGTAAACAGGTATACACCCAGATACAAGGTTCTGTTTGAGAGATTCTTCATTATTATGCTCAGAGTTTGTTCATGCTTGATGTGAAAAGACCCGTCAGGACTTGGACGTTCTGAGTAGTGTAAGGAGAAAGATCTTTCTAGGGCAGAACTTGAAATTCTATTCTCGAGGCCTTCAAAGAACTTGAACCTAGATATGTGATCCAAAGCATCGAAAAGAGGGCCACTGCTTTTGGGATCGTATGGGACCTTGGCCACAACACACGCATGCTTGGCCGTAAGGTCTCTGATCTCATAATCTTTCAGCGTTCTCTTGACGACATATGATACTGGTGTTTTCATTCTGTCAGTTGTGGATTTGTGGCATAATCCAAGGTAAGTAGTTGCTGATGCTGCTTGGATGAGAGCCGCGCAGACACTCTTGTCCAAGTCAAGGCAAATTTGAATCTTTCGGCGTGAAAACGATGTTAAGAGAGTGGCCTCCCACGTTGAACCTCTTGCGATGCCAGCTTTGTTTACCGGGTCGACGGTCTCCATCTTGGATGAGAGGCAGTCGACTTCGTAGACTCTACTCCGGACTGAATCTCTATCCCTCGGGTTTGTGCTTCTGTCAAAAGGCGCCAAAGCATATTCATCATTCTTGTGAACTCCATGAGCTTGTCCCGCATGGAGAATAAGACAGCCATCTTCCATGCTCCGATGCATTGATACCGTAGGGGCAACGACCTGCCTAATGTCGTCTGAGAAGTCTCCAAAAAATGCAAACCCACGACGACCATAGAGCATTGGAGTCTGGTCTGGAAGCCGGGCATGGAATTGTGCTCGAAGATGCTGATGAAGCATCTCGTTAGACACTTTTGTGCCGCGTCTTGACAACAGAACGAGTGAGTTTATGAGAAAATAGGTCAACGCTCCGCTTGTAGCTCCGCCTTCAAACTTTAACTCTGAGGCAACTTCGTGAGGGCCGCAAGCGGTAATAATCGTATATCCTTGAGGATCCAGAAGCCTTGAGAAAGTAACCACTCCATCTCTCAGTTCCTCTGGGTCGGTGTCCCCAAAAGGATTGTCGAATGAAGTATCGAAGTCTGTATGGTGCTCTGTGTATCGGATATTGCCAACATCTGGTCTATCATCGCGAAGTACACTTCCCGAAAAGCAACAATCGAGAACAAGAGTCACAGTGAGACCCTTCTCTATCATCTTGTTGATTGCGCTTCGTAGGACGGTTCCATACAAGTACTCGGTCTCAAGGGTCAGGGGGTTGACAAGTTCGAGCGCAATTGCACCGTCCATCGCCCGACAAGAGCCATGACCAGAATAATGGATATATACATGGTCATTTTGTTTGGAAGTCTTGAGAACTTTCTTTAAAGCTGAAACCACATTGTCGAGTGTCGGTAATTGATCAAAGCTTTCAGCCGACTTGAGAGGACTGTCCTTTGATTTGGTGGCTGTCAGACGTGTTGTATTTACTGCGAATGGTCTTGACTCAAGGTACTTTTCCATGGACTGGATATCATTAACGGCTCCTTGTAGTGACCTATCTGAGACACGAGCCTCGGAGTCTTTGCTCTTTCTTGAGATAGTCACGCCGACTCCAATAAGGATGGCCCATCGTGTAGGGTCTGAGCCGGGAGGATCCATTGAGATTGGGCAACCAAAGACTTTGTGATTGCTGGTTCAACGATCAAAGAATGCGTTTTTAGTTTGAAAATTTATGCCAGAAAACGTAGGAAGCCTCATTCTGAGTCTGTGATTTCAAGTCACATCTGCACCCCCGTATCTCAGTGCAGTTGGGCTGCGCATTGCCTTGTTTGTCATTTCAACTCCTGCAGGTTGTTCGATATTTAGGCAGCAATCTGACAGCTGAAATGGACGACTTCTTGGCATTAAATATGTGACAGACGCAGGAATCTGTGATTGGCTTTGACGGTGACACAGCATAAGCAGGCTGTCGTTTAAGCAGGCAAATGATACAACATTGGTGGAAAAAGACATGCAACCCCGCAGGCAAGAAAATGATTCTATAGGTGACGCAGTCATAGTAAGCCCCAGGGTTCTCCAGTTTATCAGATACTAACTTGTGGCCCTGAGGCTCAAGTCAATGCAGTCATGTAATTTCACTCGACTGATTCTTCGAAGCCGACTTTCTTATCATACCAATCAAATTCCTGGGGGTACGCAAGATGGATAACAGTTTTCCTGTCCTCAGTCTTGGAAGCGATGATCCGGAGTCAATTCTAAACGTTGATTTTGGGAGACTGAACCCATTGTTCGGTCGCATCAAAGAGCTCGATCAAGAATATCGTACATCTGGTAATCTAACACACCTCGAAGCAGCGATTGAAAAGTCATGGGAAGTCGTCAACTCAAGTCGCGATGAAGAGCCTGGGGTCCGTACCAGCTGCTTATTATATCTCTCTTATCTGCTCAAGGACAGGTATAGAGCGACAAACAACGCTGAGGATCTCGACAAGTCCATCGACCTAGCGGAAGAGGCAAACAGCATAGCCAACGCGCTCGAGGAGGTTCATCCCCAACATCCCCTCGTCCTCAAAGCGCTTCGGGCCCGCCTCATAGACCGCTATGCTTTGACAGGGTCAGAGTCAGATCTTGATAGAGCCGTTGATACGGCTCGCCAGTCGATCAACATCACCAACGACGGCACATCGGATGTATCCCATCAATACGCTGATTTATCAGCCCTGCTTGGGAGACGGTATCTCGCCACTGGCACTGTGGAGAATGTTGATGAAGCTATATCCATGGGCTGGAAGGCTATAGAGAAAGAGATATCTAACAATAAATCCATGCGACTGCACCTGCTAGCGCACATTGGCAGTTTGCTAGGGCAAAAATCACTCAGAACAGGCTCGCTGGCTGATATGGATGAGGGCGTTCGATTAGCTCGACAGGCAGTTGAGGAGGCTTCAGAAGAGGAACAAGCCTTGGCGGAATCACTAATCTCATTGGCGACACTCTTGGGGCAGCGATATTCTTTGACGAGTGCCTTGATAGACATCGACGAAGCCATCGCTTTGGCCAGAAGAAGTCTAAAGATACCAAGTTACAACTCGACGATGCTAGCTACGAGTTTAGGCAATCTCGCTGTTTTTCTGCAACTAAGATATCAAAGGTCTCGTGAGCTGCCCGATCTTGAAGAATCGGCCCAGCTATCGCAGCGGGCTTTGAATACTATGCCTGATAACCATCCCGATCGATCAAGACACCAGCATGATATTGGGATCAAGCTGGCTCGAAAATTCACCACCACCAACAACATGAAAGATCTCGATGACGGAATTCAGTCACTGAGAGAAGCGGTCGACAGCACGCCGAAGTCACATCCTTATAGAGCTATCTTTTTACATAGCCTTGCAAATGCGCTGATACAAAAAGGCTCTGAAACTTTTGATGGCGATGGTGTTGATGAGTGGATATCCGTTGCGAAGGAAGCACTGGAGGCTACACCGGAATCTCACCCAGATCGAGGAGAGTTACTCTACGGTTTAGGTCTTGGTCTTCTGGCAGCTCACGCAACGGGCAAGACTACAACTGGCATCGACGAAGCCATACCTTGTTTCGAAGCAGCTATCAAGCAGTCGAACGCCCCACCACTTTGCCGTATACAGGCCTGCATGTGTCTGCTGCCAATATGTCACGATAGACAACGAAGTCTAGATGCTGCGAAACTCGTGGTGGGGCTCATTCCACGTATCATACCACGGCAGCAAGACAACTCCGATCGTCAGAGTTCTCTCTCTGAACTGGCTGGTTTTACATCAGATGCGGTTGCTGTCGCTATACAGGCTGGACAAGTGGTAGATGCCCTGGAGCTCCTCGAACAGGGTCAAGGTTTACTCGGAGCATCCGCAGAGCAACTGCAGACGGATATAGTGGACCTAGAAAAGGCTCATCCAGAATATGCAGCTGAATTCGATCGTCTTCGCAAGGAGATTAATCGCCCAGTTGACCCGGACATCTCTGCCACGCAGAGTACTGCGCTAAGAGAAGGACTGGCGCTACGCTTGTATGATGCGGGAAAGGAGTTTGATGAATTAGTCGACAAGATTCGCAAACAACCGAACTTCGACACCTTTTTGCAGACACCGGGACTTGATGAAATGCAGGACATAACAGATCGTGGGCCGATTGTCATCATCAACATCAGCGTTATATGTTGCGATGCGATAATCATCACGATCGACAGAATTTATACAGTGCCATTGGTTGACTTGAGCCGAGCCGACATCGAGGAGAAAGTCTTGAGCGGAGAAAAAGGCAGTCCAGATGTCCTCGAATGGCTTTGGGACACTATTGTCTGTCCTGTATTAAACAGAATTGGCTTTTCAGAGGCTCCAACAGGTGACAACTGGCCGCATGTTTGGTGGATCCCTACTGGTCTTCTGAAACAATTCCCATTACATGCAGCTGGGTATCATAGGAAGAGAACAAAGGGGACGACGCTGGATAGGGTTGTTTCATCGTATGCTTCGTCGGTCAAGGCTATGATACAAGCTCGAAAGCGACGAAAGCCAACACGAGAAACAAACAAAGCAGTACTTGTGGCTATGGAGACTACACCAACGCTATCACGTTTGGCGTTCGCCAACCAGGAAGTTGAAGCCGTCAAAGATATTTGTTCGTCGATTGGACTGGAGGTTGTTGAGCCTGAGCGACGAAAAGCAGCACTCATCGACCAACTTCGCCAGTGCAAGTTCTTTCATTTTGCAGGTCATGGATGTACTGATCCCCAAGACCCCCTGAGGAGTTATTTATGTCTTGAAGATGTCGTGACGAATCCGTTGCGGGTTGGCGGTCTACTGGACTTGAATCTAAAGGATCAGCCACCCTTTCTAGCGTATCTGTCAGCTTGTGGAACGGGCCGTATTCAACAGGAGCAATTCATGGACGAGAGCGTCCATCTCATCAGTGCTTTTCAACTCGCCGGCTTCCAGCATGTTATAGGTACCCTGTGGGAGGTCAATGATAGTGTTTGCGTTGATATAGCCAAGGTAGTGTATGAAGGCATCAAGGATGGTCAGATGTCTGATCGGTCTGTGGCTTGGGGGCTTCATGAGGCGAGTCGGCGGCTGAGGGATCAATGGCTGGAGAAAAGGGAGCAAGAAGGGTCTAGCAGAGGGGTAGATGATGATATTCTCAACAATTTGATTATCAGAGAGCCTGTGGTCCATGGAGTTAGATGGGAAAGAAGACGAGTTCGGAAAACAGCAAAGGCTAAAGGCATGTCGAGATCTTTGGGGACAAGGTGGAGGAAAGTCTCGACCAAAGCATCCAGAAGTGTACGGGTAGGCAAGAACATCATGTCCTGGGTCGAGAACAGGTGGCAGAGATGGTCTAGAGAGGCTTCCTTAGCTATCCTCCTGCGGCACAAGATCGAGCCATCACCAACTTGGGTTCCGTTTATTCACTATGGTATCTAGACAGCAGGTAAACTGGAGTCACTTTCGTATTCCGTACTTTGAAGTATCTGGACCAAGTTTGATGTCAACTTTACCTCTCTATAGAATAACTCCAGTCTACCCCAACATCGAAAGCTTGTTTCGTGGAAAGCAGGGGTGGTTCGATAAGCGGTATTTAACAACCCACATTATAGAGCTGTCATTGTCAAATCTTTGTTGACCTGCCTAAATGGAAGGGAATAGAAAGGTCGATCGGGTGATCTGAGGCGACCCTGGTAAAAGCCGGATGCTTAATCGACAGTCCGACACGTCGAGTATCTTGGTCCGAGCGGCTTAGATTTGATATCTGACCACTGCACAGGCTCGGAACCCGTCGGACTCAGCCTGCTACGCCATTTTTGCGGTACATAAATATACCCTCCGCGAGTGAGCTGTTATCTAACAGCGGTGCTTTCTATCGACATGCCTTTTCAGGGTGAAATTTTCGTCGTTCTAGCAACGAAAACCAATAGTGTTGGCACTTGCAAGCCTCTCAACCTCCAGATGAATTCTAAGACATGGATCTCGAGGGAGGATGGTGAGATAAGCCAGGCTACATTTGTCTATGGCTTGCATAATCATCCCGTAAGATTCCTTGGCTATACCAGCTCACAACCGTGACGCTAATACGCGGGGTGCACCCCATGTCCCCCGTCACTAAGATTATTCTCGAATCTTCAACATCCAGCTGCGAGATTTTTCAACCGCCATGTACAACATGTGCATCTAGACCGCCGGGACTCTGTAGAGGACTTCAACCGGGCCGATGATAGCCTTTCAGTCCCGCAGTGATTGCGTGCCAATCGACCATGAACCTCAAACAGGCTCGTCACTTTTGAAAGAGCATCATCTTCGGCTTTATTCAGTAGAAATGAAAGAGGGGATATACACTAGTACAGGACATAGAGCACCATTGAGACACCACTATAAAGAAAAAGCGTCTTGGCTATCACAGATATAGTGATACGGTGTTATGCCGGGATCTACGCGGTGACATAGTCATTTTACCCCAGATCTTCCCAACCACTAACAACCCGCCTAGTAAAGCCAAGCATCATAGCCAGCAAACACACACCCTTGGCAAATTCACTAGTCATGGCGCCTTTCCTTGGAACTCCGAAAGACTTTCTTTTTCCAGTCGTAGATCGAGGTCAAGTGAGCTATCGCCGAGCCATTATGGTGCCATGGCATGCAATAGCCTGCTTCTTAATGGCTGCCACATCCGGTCCGTGGGTGTACCTGACAGCACAGGTAACATTTCTTTTTATGGCATGATCTGTCAACACCATGTGCAGAATCTCAGACAATATTACTGCAGAAAAAAGTGTGTGTGCGGGGATTTATCTCTGGGTCGGAGGGCGCCGCTGTTTGGGGATGACGGTCCGGACGGGCCAGCTGGGTTGGTCTTGTGAAACGGAGGGTTTTATTATATTGGTGCGGCCTCGAGGATAAGAAGTCGTGCATGGAACGCAAGAATTGGCATTCTCTTGGCTCTTGGCTTTATTCTTTACTTAACAGACAAGACCCTCTTTGATAAACAAGCTTTTACATCTCCATCCGCACATCTTCTCTCAATGGCCTTCTTCAAGACCAAGATGCCTGCACTTGACACTTCGCCCGTGTCCTCACCTGTCCTCTATCCCTCAGTCACATCTGACTTTGAAGCTGCGAATCGTAGATATGCAGCAAAGTTTACCCAGTCCCACTTACCATCTCCGCCCCGTCGGTAAGTGATCTCATACCCGCGCCCTAGGATCGAGGGCCTAACATTTACCCAGAAAGGTAGCAGTGGTAGCGTGCATGGACAGCAGATTGGACGTTGAGAAAGTCCTGGGTCTAGACCTTGGCGATGCCCATGTCATCCGAAATGGTACGTACCTAATTTTCTTGTCTCACCTGCAAAGCTGACAGTTACAGCTGGCGGTCGTGCTGTAGAAGCGCTTCGATCAATCTTGATTTCTCAGCAAATGCTGGGCACGCGTGAGATTATTGTGATGCACCATGTAAGACCATCCCATCTCATTTTTTCGATATTTTCCATTCCCACGGCAATATCATAAGGCCATATTTTCAGCTGCCCCCCATGGAGATAGTGACCGGCCCGGCTGACACCCCACGCTTCTAGACCGGCTGCGGCATGCAGAGCTTCTCCGACACAGATTTCCGGTCCAAGATCAGACGAGAGCTAAAGGAGGACGTGGACCACATGGCGTTTCTTCCCTTTTCTGATTTGCGGCAGAGTGTTCTTGATGACGTTGCCTTTCTGCGCAAGAGTCCGTTGATTTTGGATGTACCTATTACCGGATATGTTTATGATGTCAAGACGGGCCGGATTGAGCAGGTTGATGAGAGGGCTGACTCTGAATGTTCCAGCCCTTGAAGCTTTTTCAGATATATATTTATGGCGCTGTAGGGGTTTATTTAGCTGTGGAAAAGGATAGCGAGCGAGCAATTGAAATTATTTAACAGCCCGGTATTGCCATGCTGTACGGGCGATGCCGAGGAAGCGAGTGGAGGGCTCTAGGGCTAAGCCTCGAATGCAATGGAAGATGAGTTTATTAACACAGGGATAAAGTCGGTTATTGCATAGATAATACATGTACGAACAGAGACGGCAGTACAATATACAGTCTTAAAGTTTGTATAGTGTCTTATCATTTGTGTTTGATCGAAAAGCAAAGGTTATTTATGATAGTAAAAGGTTGTACATGAAATATATACATTCTGTGCAAGCCTACGCTTGCGCATCTGCGGGGTACTCCCAAGCCACCCATGCAATATATCAATACATAATCACAATTACAACGTAATTGTCGCGCGTATAAGAGAAACGCTTCGGGGACTCTAACTTGTATTTTGGATTAGGAAGTTCCTGGTCTCTTTGATCACGTAAATTTATCAGCCGATTGCGACTAAACCGGCCCACTTGCCACCAAAATGACTCAGAGACGAGAGCTATATCTAGAGAGCCTTCCTGGCGTTTGCTTCGTGGAAAAAGCAACCAGCTTCCTTGCATTATGGCTGTAAGTTCCATGACGTTGTCTCGAGCGATGGGCGACTGACAGCCGACAGACAGCTTACCCACAAATAGTACTCTTGGGGGACTCTTTACTCCAGAACTCGGTCGATGTTCAAGATGGATTCTCATTCCAAGCTGAACTCCAAGCTCGTATGTGCAACGTTTGAGAGTACAAACAAAGCTGCTAACGCGTCTTGCAGAGTTGATCCGACGGCTTGACGTAGTCAATAGGGGATTTGCGGGTTGGAACACCGAATACGTCCTGCGGTACTTGCCTAAGATAATTCCAAAACCTACAGACTCGTCTCCAAATTTGGAGTATCTGGTCAGGATTGCGATCGTAGTTCACGAAAGAGACAAAGCTGATTATCCAAGGTGGTCCTGCTAGGTGCTAACGATGCTATTGTGCCTCATCCGGAAGCGACAAGGAACGTCCCAGTGGACCAGTACAAAGAGAACTTGACGCAAATCATCAATCACGAACACGTCAAAGCTCATAGCCCCAAGATAGTTCTCGTCACCCCACCTCCTGTTGATGAAGATAGACTCAGAAGTCTTGGAAATGAGCCACGCACGGTGGCTCATTCTGCTTTATACGCCGAGGCCGTTCGTCAGGTTTCTGGGGAGCATCCCGAGGTGATCCTTATTGATTTGTGGAATGCCATCATAAATGCTCCTTCTGGCTTATCTGGAAGTAACTTCAATCACTTATTTACTGATGGCTTGCACCTGAGTGGAGAAGGATACCGGCTTTTTTATCACCTCATTCATCCCTGCATCTTAGAGCGCACATTACCTCGATATATTTATCCGGATTGGACAGAATTAGTATAATATTTTGAGGCATTTTTTAAATAGCTTAGTATTATATATTATTTAATTATAAAACGACTATAATAAAAAGGTTTTATTAATAGCTCGCCGCACTAGTCGGTGAGGCTGATAGTAAAAGCCGGCTGACCAACAACATATGCTGTGGTGCATTTGTCAACGAATCCCGAAACTTTTACACATTGAAGGCCTGCGAATACTTGACTTACACGCGTAATTACACTATTTGGATATAACGAGACTTGATTCGAACCCCCGGTCGCTAGCAAGTGATCTGTAAAACACAAAGCAGAAAACAGGCAAGCTTCATTTTGTTTCACCCTCGCAATCGAGAGCTTCAATTTAATTTTTATTACTTTTTTCTCCGTGCACATGTCATATTGACTATCGAGGCTATCCATATCTAGGTAGACCCTGTTGCACGCCAGCTTGTTGTCCTTGATTCCATCCTTGCTTCTGCCGTAACGTTTCGCTATGCCAGTAATCATGAACAGCTTGATTCTTATCCGCCATCCTAGGCCATATCGACTCTGGTAACACTGCTCCCGATGGTGGTTGATGTCCTTCTAGTGGTGCACTCTTGTCGGTCATTCTGTTCTGAGATCTCTCGGCAGCTCGCTTTCGCTTAGATTTTCGTCGTCGGTCACATAGAATGATGCTCATGATGAGAAGCAATACGCCAGCTGTAACAGTTAGATATGTACTTATACATGAGATGTGTCTTACCTAGCACACCAAGAGCAATGATAATCTCAAGTGCTCCAAAGATCTTGGTTCCAGGCTGACCAGGCGAGCCATTGTCTGAGTTGCTTTCCTGTGTAACTGTAACAACAGGTGAATCTGCAGTTGTCGTACCCTCTGATTGGGCAGTTGGCTTGGGTACAATGGTAGTGAATATCGTGGTCTGTTCGACGGCGGAAATGATTCGCGAGAGCTGTAGATCCAAGGCGGCATCATCCATATTCATTGAAGCCATTCGATATGAGACAAGAACCGAGATATGTTTAGCCAAGAGACGTTTTGCGAGACTTTTTATCGAAGGGAATGCTACCAGAGCTGAACTGTCTGAATTAAAATTAAAGAATTAATAAAAAAGACCGTAAGAATGGAATTATTCGAAATGAAAGTCGTGTCGCTTCGTGATGCCAGATCAACGTGCGCAAGAAAAGAAAAAGGAACCAAAAGTGAAAAAGTCTCGCGGATATGGAGTTATATTCCTCTCGTATAGTTTTTTTCTGTTAATAAACACAGCCATAATAGCAGGTTGAGGCGAAACCGGGTGGTGCCTGAGGTGGCATTGTGAGACGGGAGATCAAACACGCCCGTTGAACGACCCCTGGTCACAGGCGGTTTCAGTGGGATTTTGGTAGAGAACCAAGCCGGCTGTGCTCTCTTCCGGCGGGCTGCGTCTGTACAGCTGACGCCCTGGTTTCAGAAATGTCAGCTTGGCTGGACTGTTTTTACGAGCGCCAAAACATGAGGTCCCTTATTCTTCACCGTATGTATATGATGGTGCTGAGATCTGAGTGAAACCCCGCCATGGCTTGTGCTTGACAGCGGTTATCGGTTGCTCGGATCGCACTGTTTCCATGGTCGATTGATGGGCGGTGCAGGTGTCAACTGCGTCAGCTGTTTCATTTCCATCTCTATTTTAAGGTGTCATTGGAAGATATTTGAGTGCTCAGAACGGGTAGAGTAGCACGCGATTTTTAGGTGAGGGACTGTAAACAGGGCCAAGATGGTCGTGTTTCTGCTTGAGGCGGGGCATCAACTTGGCAGAGATCTAGCCCTGTGAGCCTCGGATGAAGAGTTTTGGAGCTGTTGCTGTACGGAGTAGGATTGTGCGAAATAAGGGCAGGCATTTGTTTTCAATTGCGTAATCGGAACTTGGACGAGATTTGAACACTTTGAGGGTTACAGAGATAAGAAACATGGAAACCTACAATACATGATATCACGCCGGAAGCATAATGGGCCTCTCACTACAAAACCTTGTTTATTTACTAATCCACCATTCCAATACAACAGAGCGTGATAAATTCATACCGCAGTATTATCTATATACATAGACTCTACAAGATCTTGAATTACACTCAGAGCGCATCCAATTCATGGTGTTTCGTCAATATTCATCAATCTTACCACCGATATAGGGTAATTTCACGATCACGAACCCACATTGACCACCCAACGCTCTTTGCACTCTAGCTCATTGAATGCAACAGGGTATCAGGATATCGGCACTTTCGGCGCCCGATAACAAAACCCATAACCTTGACTAAGTTTAAATTGTAGAGACGTCATTGGATCCCGGGTAAGCTTTCGTAAATATCCCCCATCTTCAATCAACTACCGATCCAGACAAGCCGAACGAGATGCGGGGGCGAGCGGAGGTTTAGCTAGCCCAGAACGCGGAAGTTTGGAGTTGTGTGACTTCATTCTTCCGTCCGCGGGGTGATTCAATTGCTTAAATACTGCTCTACGACTCGTGTTGATCGGGCGACTGTTGCGCTGTCTTCAAACACTTGCGCTTCAAAGGTGAGCTTGCGCGACAGTCAAGAAGAACAGAGCTAACCATCAGCAGCATCACAATCGTCGTCATGGCTGTCGTCGACATCCTCTTCACCTGGTGGTCAATCCCCATCGCCGCAGGTGTCCTCATCGCGACGTATCTCTACTCATACTTTGTGACCTACGGCCATCTGAGAGATATCCCAGCGCCTTTCCCCGCGCAGTTCACGAATCTGTGGCTGCTCTACGTCTGCAGACGTGGTGAACGATATCGCGTCGTGGATGAGATTCACAAGAGATTGGGCCCCGTCGTACGAATCCAGCCTAACCACACTTCCATCGCGGATCCTGATGCAATCGCCACCATCTACGGCCATGGAAACGGCTTCTTGAAGTCGTGAGTATCCTGCTACTTCACGTCTTCTCAGAACTAATGAGCGTAGTGATTTCTACGATGCTTTTGTCTCAATTCGACGAGGTCTCTTTAATACACGCGATCGCGCTGAGCACACACGAAAGCGCAAGCTCATCTCTCACGTCTTCTCCGCCAAGTCAATCAGCCAATTTGAGCCGTACATCCACGCAAACCTCGAGCTCTTTGTCAAACAGCTCGATAAACTTGTCGCATCAGGTCAGACGACCGACAAAAATGGAAAGCGACAAGCGCTTATGGATTGTCTCCCGTGGTTCAACTACCTCGCATTCGATGTCATCGGCGATCTCGCGTTTGGTGTACCCTTTGGCATGCTCTCAAATGGCGCCGACGTAGCCGAAGTTCGAGCGACGCCTGACAGCCCGCCTATTTATGCTTCCGCTATTGAGATTCTGAACAGGCGAGGTGAAGTCAGCGCGACGTTGGGATGTTGGCCGCAATTGAAGCCGTATGCGCAATGGTTGCCCGACCCGTTCTTCAGCAATGGCCTCAACGCAGTCAAGAACCTCGCTGGAATTGCGATCGCGCGTGTAAAGGCCAGATTGGATAACCCGCCATCCGTTGAGCGAAAAGATCTCCTCGCGCGACTCATGGAAGGCAGAGACGAGAAGGGTGAGCCGTTGGGTCGCGAGGAATTGACCGCCGAAGCCTTGACGCAGCTCATCGCCGGCAGCGACACCACGTCCAATTCATCATGCGCTTTACTATACCACGTCACACGCACACCCGGCGTTCTCGAGAAACTACAGGCCGAGCTCGACGAGGCGATCCCCACTGATGTCTCGGTCCCTACGTACGACATGGTCCGCGACCTAACCTACCTCAACAACGTAATCAGCGAAACCCTGCGCTACCATTCAACATCCGGCATCGGCCTCCCGCGCCAAATCCCCGACAACTCACCCGGCGTCACGATAAAGGGCCATTATTTCCCGCCCGGCAGCGTGCTCAGCGTGCCGACGTACACGCTGCATCACTCAAAGGAGATCTGGGGCCCTGACGCAGATGACTTTAAGCCGGAGCGCTGGGATAATCTGAATGAGCTGCAAAAGACTGCGTTTAATCCGTTTAGTCATGGACCTAGGGCGTGTGTGGGTAGGAATGTCGCGGAGATGGAGATGAAGTTGATTGCGGCGACTTGGGCGAGGAGATACACGCCTGAGCTGAAGCAGGAGGTTATGGAGACGCGGGAGGGGTTCTTGAGGAAGCCGTTGGGGTTGGATATTGCTTTGAAGATGAGGTAGACTGGCTCTTGCTTGCTATGAAGACTGTACGATGTAATGATCTTTAGTCAAAGTCAATGGTATTTTTGCCCCTTTGCGTACATCGCAGATCTGATGGCTGTCGTGCCTTAAGCTCCCAATTGCACCTCCGTGAGTCACTGGCTTCCTTCATGAAAAGTGGGGACCGCATTGGCTCGCGCCATAACTTCTTTTCTCATTCCGTGATGCTCAAAATACCATCACCAACGTCAACACTAAACCACTACACACCAACACCATCATGGATGCCAACATTCGCCCGCCTCCCGACATCAAAAAACTTCTTGTTATCGTGAAACGGCTATGGGCATCTGATGATGCACCCCTTCCCGGAGGAACAGCGACCCAGGCCGAAATCGACGAAGCGCAGAAGGGCTCCGTTGACAAAGGAGAGCCGCTCAAATCTGGGCTTTGGCCGACCACCAAGGAGGCCTTCTCCTCCTCCTCAACCGCCTCCAAGGGCTAAGCACTCTCGCCGCCGCAGTCTCAGACGGCGGTATTATTCTTGGTGCCTCATTCATTCTTTTTTTCTTCTCTTTTGGAGAGCGAACTGGTGTCTTGGCTTCGCCTCTCCTTTGATAGCTCTCCCGGGAGCTGCGGCGGCCGTCTTGCCCTCGCCGAGGAAACACCAAAAGCTCAAGGTATGTAATCTAACTTACCTGAGAAGCAATGGCGACACTGGGTCGGCTAACATTTCGCAGACCACGCACGGTTTACGTACGGCATATGTCACCTGACAACCTCCCCCTCAGGCCATGACCTAAGAGCTCTTCTGCAACACTGATAACTCCGCTAGCAACCATGAGAACCTCACAATGATCAAGCCGTCAACCTGTAAATCATGAGCATGGCGCTGCCTCTGGAAAGCAGGTTAGTCATTCATTGAGCCTCAGATATGAGTACGTGACTGATCAGTCCAATCCCCAGGCCCCCATTAATTGAGGGTGCGCAACGTCAACAGCTGCCGGCTACCCAAACTCTCAGTTTGAGCAAAGATTTTCTTTCTTCTCCCCGACAACAGTCACCGGCTTCGTCTCTCCTTTGAGGGCCTTTCCCGGCCCAACTTCCTCTTGAGTTCATGGCCAGCGACAGGCCCGAGAATCAACATCATTATGCCCACTCACGAACGAACGACGTCGAGTGACTACCCTCAGTGACATTGGAGTCGCCTGAGACTTGAGATGGATCGCTATTGGTGGTTCTAGGATGGGTTGGACGAGCTGGACTGGAAATATGAACAGATGTTGCTCATGCTAGTGATGACAATATGGGAAATAATTACGCCGTGCACGTAGTAGCCACTAGTTGTAGCAAGAGAAACTATCATTCTGGTCGTCATTTCAGTGCTGGAAATGGGTTTTGTGAGAGTGCGTCTAACCAATACTGAAGTAAACAAGAGCCAGGCTCCTAACAATGGCCGAACCGATTGCCAGCAGTCCCCGTGGCGACACTCATGATAGCTGAATGATTTTAACCTGATCTTTCTCGACGAACTTCGGTTAATGGTAGTAAAATGTACTGAACCGGAGAGGCTGGAGTGTGATGTTGTTCCGTGGATTGCTTTCTTGCGGTTTATGCTTCGCTCATTACCCTTTACCATTCTTTTGCAATATTTTTGGGAGAGGATGCTCCTCATTTTTGAATCATCGGCAACCTTCAATATCCACTTTACTCTTATTAATCCTGGTAGATGGCCAACTTGACTTGAAAAACTTTTCAAACTCGGAATCTGATGTGAAGGAACACGAGTTGCATGGGAGCAATAGTGGCATTATCTGGACCTTCGATGAGGACCCAGATGCGGAGTTGAGGTAGTCATGTCTCAAATTCAGCAAAAATTAAGTGTGTGTATCTTAGAAACTCTCTCTGTAACGTCATAATCGAGTAAAAAACCAGTTTGCGTGAACCGTTGACCAGACCGAAGCAGCAGTGAAGGGAGACCCGTGAGGGTGCTGATAGATCACTGAGGAAGCCATCGGTGCTGTATTGCTGTGAAAATGGGGTAGAAAGTAAGCCAGTCACACCTGAGGTAGATACATTTCCAAGAGAATCTGGTGCAACAAACAGTTCAGCCCCATTGTCAATGAAAGTTCGTGGTAGGTCAGCAGATCAAGTTTTTGTCAAACTCTGTAAAGAATGGCTCCACAAAATGTGAGTCATATAGGCTAGGATACGAGCTTGGCCCTCCAACAACAAGTAAAATTAGCCCCTATGGCCTAATGGTTAAGGCGTCTGACTTCTATGTGTAGACTTCACAAACGAGGAGACTATGCCGGTTGCTCATCAGAAGATTGCCAGTTCGAGCCTGGCTAGGGGCTCATTTGAGAAACAGAAACCTGCAACAGCAGGTGCAGGAGTAATTTTTGGAATTTTCGTGTCTTGGTTGAGGTTTTCACCATGTTTTCCATTTTTTTTGGCCGCACGTACGCGTAACAGGCCGTGGATACACCTGCAGATCACGTGACTCTTCACATCTGACTGCCATTCAACTTTGGAAATTGGTCTTTTCTCTTAATATCGTATCCCCATCGTTTTGTTATTCTTGTGATGCGTTCTTGTTGACTTTTAGCTCTGGTCGCACAGCTCGGATCGTGGGGAGAACGGGAGGCCCACATCTTTAATTCTCAGCCTTGCGCTTTCATTGGACACAGAAAAACTTGACTGCGATACCACGTGATGCATCGGCCCAATCGCAGCCTTGTCTGTCTCCTTCCGTTTCTTTATGCACTGCCTTTGCATGAACCACCGAATTATGGAGATCACGGGAAAACAAGTCTATTGTTCTAATTAAGCTTAAGCACCGGGAACTATTCTTGCAAACGTGAGGCTCCACCAAACCGTCCAGCGCGGCCTTGGGATATCCTATATCGAGAGAAATCAACAACTCCAAAGTGCGATTGCCCTTACTTTCCAATCGACTGCAGTTGATTCCTGTACCATGTCTGAGAAGTATTAGCTTTATCGCCTGATTATCTTAAGAATGACTCACAATTTCAACACCAGATCCAACACTCTTAGGTCCAATCTGCTTCAGAATCCAAGGCGTATGAATCCTCTTCGCATAGAGTTTCGCATCCTCAGTCTTGACCTCCTTGTTCAAAATGATACTTGCCGGTAGAGAAGGGTTGATGATCGAAGGCCTGCCAATTCCAATAAGATCGCAAGCACCTTGACTCAAGGCGTCTTCTATACCCGCTCGCGTGCGGAATCCACCAGTGACCATCAGAAGCACCTTTGGAAACTTGGCGCGCACCTCATGGGCGAATTCCAGGAAGAACGACTCTCGCGCAGCTGTGCTTGCAGCCTTCTTCTCACCAGTTCCGGTAAACATCTTCACATGTTAGAAAGGGATCGCAGAATGCGTAGTCTGACTCACGGTTGGGTTTTCATAGCTTCCGCCGCTGACTTCCAAAAAGTCCAAGCCGACCTCTGTGATCAGAGCAATCTGCTCCAGACACTCCTGAAGTTCAGTGGGAGACTGGTGGTCTGCAGAGTTCATTTTGAGACCGACACAAAAGTTCGCTGGCGTTGCTGCTCGGATCGCCTTCACAACATCGACGATAATCTTTGCTCTGGCTGCTGCTGATCCTCCATATGCATCTGTTCGCTTGTTAGACTTTGCAGACAGGAACTGAGACAAGAGATATCCGTGAGCGGCGTGAATCTCAACTCCATCGAAACCGGCTGCCGCTGCAATTCGGGCTGTATTGGCGAATCGCTTCACAACATCATCAATGTCCTCGAGGGTCATCTCCTTTGGACACCCAAAGACAAAAGTCGTCACGATCTTTGAAATAAGATCGTTGCCCATATCAAGCGGAACAGCACTCGGGGCGATATTCTTAGCCAAGAATGATTTGCTACCAGCTCCAATGGGCGATTGTCGGCCGGGGTGGTTGATTTGCATGATCGTCGGCGTCCCCTTTCTTCGACAAACACCAACGAATTTCTTATACGCCTCAAGGACCTTTTCTTCTGGCAGCTTTCCGTTGATGGAGCAATCAGAGAATCCACCGAGGTAGCGATCGTCAATCTGAACATTTCCAGTCAAGATCATGCCCCAGCCTCCATCGGCCCAGGCACCGTATGTACGCTCCATCTGCTCTGTCGTAGGGAGGTTTTGGCGATCAGCCATTTCCTCAGCGAGGGCGGCCTTGACGAGGCGGTTGGGCAGCGTGAGGCCGCATGGCAGCTCAAGAGGTTTTGAAACGATTAAGTCTGTCATGATGTCGGTTTGTGTCTATGGATTGTGAGGTGAAGTTCGCGTGAACTTGAGTTGTTAAATATGAAAATCTCGCCATGTTGTATTAGTCGTTGAGCCGAGGCCCGTGTCCGCGGCCAGAGTGGACTATTGCCCAAAGGAGAAATATCTCCAGTGGACTCGGCGAGTCTTTGCTCCGATTCCATTTCCTTTGGCGATTGAATTGATCCGCTCATGGTTTGAATCGGAATTATTGAAAACTCTTTAGCTGATGATATGTAAACTTGGAGAAGTTTCTGATATTGTTATGGTGTTGATATAATTAAGTGCTTACGCTTACATGACAGCCTGCGCTGAACCATATCGAGACCCGCTTCAGCTGCCAGCTGGAGAGCTGAATTAACTATCGTTGTAGACTTACAATAAACAATTAATCTTAGAATATCTATAACGTATGAAGAATATTAAATTTGTTGGCAAAGGACTTCAAAGTCGCGATTCAATATCTTGCTGCTTTTGCTGGGTGCTGAAAGATGATGAGGCGCAAAGTCTTGATTGGCAGCTCGGAAGCTAAACTTGATCTGATCGCTTCGTAATGTTAATCATTCGATTCAAGTTGCTCGATAGTCTGATCATTTTTTCAATTGGCTAGAAAAAGTTTCTAAATTAATTTGATGCGGCGGGTCTTTGTTCCGACTCCTTTTCCTCTCGATAACTACACCATTTAGGCATCCCATAGTACACGAATAATATACGTCATTGAATTCATGGGAACTGTGATATGATTTCCACATGCTAAGTTGATGATGATTGAGAGAGCTTCACTCCCATATACTCTCAGAAGCCTTGAATTTACACTCAGAAAGGGAATGACATCTTGTGAACATAGAGCTCTTCAAGATACTTCATCTCCTCATCGCTTAGGGTTACTGAAGTGCTCCCACTGCCTGATCAATTCTCTCTTCGCTCTCCAGACCGCAGATAGGCATACATCCCTTTGCAATCAGCCAAGATTGCGCGATCTGGGCCATAGCGACACCCTTCTTCTGAGCCAACTCCTCAACACGTTCAACAATGGCTCGATCGGTATCTTGGTCTCCACCGCGAAATAGAAGCTTGAGGAAGGGATCCTTCTGCTCTCGAGCATCTGTTCTGTTTGTCCAAGAATGTGCAAGAACTCCTGCCGAAAGGGGAGACCAGGGGAACAGACCGACGCCGGTGTAGTTACAGTAAGGATTCATTTCTCTCTCTTTTTCGCGATAGAGAAGGTTATATAGACCTTGTATAGAGATGAATTTATGCCATCCGTTTTGCTCCGTGACGTTCTGGAGCATTTGAAACTCCCAAGCTGCCATCTTCTGCCATTAGCTTTTTGAAATGAGAATATGGCCGAGGTCAACATACCGAGCTGGCACCGATGTAGCGAACCTTTCCACTTTCAATGACATCGTTGAGTGCTCTCACTCCTTCTCCGCAGGAACATCACGATCCATCCTGTGAATCTGCAAGACATCGATGCAGGTTCCCAGTCGCTCGACGCTCTGGTCCACCGCGTCAAGAATTTGCTTTTGAGAGAGGCCAACTCTGTTGACGCGAGGACCATCGTTACTGGTAAGAGTTACAGGATCTATAGCGCCCTTGTCCTCGTAGACAAACTGGAAGCACTTGGACATGATGACCAACTTGGAACGGGGACTGTTATCGTGCTTGATAGCAGCGCCGAGAATCCTCTCCGACTCTCCATTCGAGTATGTATCGGCTACGTCCTAGGTACTGATGCCCTTGCCGAAGGCATACTTGAGGATGGGGAGAGCGTCGTCTTTGTTGAGAAGCCAGGGTTGCCAGTTTTTGTCGCCGAAACTCATGCATCTTGGGATGATCTGTGAGACTTTGAGACCGGACTTGCCAACTCCGAGAGCTGGATGTTAAGGAAGAGAGGGGTATCGTGCGATGCTCATCGGACATATTTCATTTCGGTTGTCATGCCGATAGAAATGAATTGATCAACTACTCTTAAATGGTTATTGGTGAAAGATACTGTGTGACAACCTGAAGATGGCAATAAATGCCACTGTTTATATAGTTCTTCATTTTACGATCCCACGAGGCAAGTGATACATTTCATGATTTTAGCTGGAAGTCGAGGACTAGCACAACAAGCCAAGTGCATGTATCGCTGCTGGTTGAACTCTCATATCTTAATCCGCGTATAGAGCAGAAAGGATAAGAGCCGATCCGATCCGATCTGTATGGCGCTAATGTAACTGGCTTATCCCCCACTCACATCCACGGATTTGAGAGACAACAGCCTTTCCCAGAATCAGATCTTTGAACCTTATGCAACTGGCTTATTCCGAGGACCGAAGGCCCCACTACGCTTCTGAATGGTGATAGCGTCATTGTGGATTGCTTCGTTTATCTCCTGATGGAGTCTACTGTTAAGTCCGTAGCCTCATTGAAGATGGGACATTTTACTACTGTCCGATGAGTATTAATAGAGAGGAAACGCCCTCGAAGAATTTTCAATTGAAGCAGCAATCGAATCAACCGTATCCTGACAGCAAATACTGATATCTCACTTTGCAAACTCCTGCTATTTCATTCACAATGGTCAAGACTATTCCTTTCGGCGACATCACTGTTCCATCGCCTGGCTTTGGAGCAATGGGCATGAGCTTTGGTCTCGGCTCTAACTTGAGTCTCGAGGAAGCCGAACCAGTCTTGCTCAAAGCTATTGAGCTAGGCTGCATCTTTTGGGATACAGCTGTATGTTCAAGCAGAGGACTACCAGATGGCACGGATATACTGACTCACCGAACAGGTAGTATATCAGGCTGGAGTCAACGAAAAGCTTCTTGGGGACTTTATCAGGAAACATAACGTTCGAGACAAGGTCTTTAGTAAGTCGATACCAAGTTCGCAAAAACTTGAACTCAGAATTTGGGTTGACGTGAACCTTTGCTGACTTGATATGAAAATCATAGTCGCTTCAAAGTGTGGTTTTGATGTCTTTGGTAAGGGCGGAGTGACCAATTCTGCCTCTCACATCAAGGAATATATCGAGGGAACCATCGAAAGACTCGGCTTCGCTCCTGATCTGTACTACCTGCACCGAATTGATCCCAGTATGTGATACCTGAGCATATGATTCTACAAGTAGGGTTATTCTGACCTTTGAACTCTAGACACTCCGCTCGAAGAGTCCATTCCTGCTCTGGATGAGATCCGAAAGCAGGGAAAGACAAGGTACATTGGCCTCTCTGAATGTTCCGCCAACACCTTGCGCAAGGCCAATTCCAGTAAGTTTGTTGCTTCTCCCAGTGGTCTTGACTTACAAGTATTAGTTGCCAAGATCGATGCTGTTCAAGCTGAATACTCGGCTTTTGAAACACTGCACGAGACCGACGGTCTTATTGATACGGCGAAAGAGCTTCGCATCGCCTACGTTGCCTACAGCCCACTCGGCCACGGCTGGCTCGTCGATGACTTTCCTTACAAGAGTCCAGATGATTTCGCACCCGACGACTTTCGACGAACAGGTACGTTTCCTTACCTTCAACCCACCGCCTCTCACATTGACTGACATGTAACTCAGTACCCAAGTTTCAAGGCGAAAACTTCTACAAGAACAAGGCTATAGTAGAGGAAATCAAGAAACTCGCTGTTCGCAAGGGATGCACTTTGACACAGATCGCATTGGCCTGGGTCGCATCCCAAGCAATGATTGCTATCCCTGGTACAACCAAGGCGCACCGTTTGGAGGAGAACTGGGCATCTAGGGATGTTGACTTGACTGAGGAAGAAAATGCTCAGATGAGGAAGATTATCGATTCGGCAAAGCCGCAGGGAAACAGGTATAGTGCTACTCATCAGGCTCTGGTTGGTCATTAGATTGGTTCATCAATAGAGTCAAAGTAGCAATCGCAACTTATTGAAGGGACGCTCCTCAGATAGTGGATATAGACCCATGGTTCTAGTGAATGGTGACGCCATTACTAACCAACTCCACTGCATCCGCGCTAAAATTTACTTATCATCCACTGAAGGTTATGCCTGTGCCCTTCCTTGATCAACCCCGCCTATTCAGCATTCGGCCGAGTGAGTGAACATCACCAAGGCCTGTCATCAATTGTACTTAGTTAGGGGATCATACCTACTGAACTTATCCACTAGTTCAAAATGGACTCAAGTTCAGGAGTCAAGAGTCAAGATGTGCTCGCAGGGCTTGATCGATTCAAGCCTCTCCCCGACCTCCGCACGCACGCAGACGACTGGACTGGTGTGACTTCAAGGCGCGAGAGAAAGCGAAGACAGAATAGGCTCAATCAAAGAGCATGGCGTGAGTATAGCCCATGAAATGGCGGTATAGCATGGCTGATAAATAGACCATCGGTAGGCCGGAGAAAGGCTGCTCAGGATACATCAGATGGACAGACTACTTGCACATCTCATAATGGTTCGGTGGTGTTGAGCGACACTTGCTCTTCGAAGTTCTATGGGGCACCGACCATTGGCGATGGGATCTTACTCATACCCGATACATACGAGGCGGAGAGACTTCGAAACTTGATACGGCAGTCTCTTCAAGACTATTCACTACAAACCCCGCGCCCATCCAACTTACACATAATCATTCGCCTAAATGTTCTCAACGCCATAGCCGATAACGCCACTGCAATCGGGTTCCCAAAAGAAAGTCTATGCCGCGATGAGTTCATATCGCCCTTCTACCAGACCGGCCCAATACTGCTCCCCTCACCCACCTGTCCCACGAGCCTACAGCCAACGCCGCTACAGCGCTCGACGGTACATCATCCCTGGATAGACCTGTTTCCTTTCCCAAAGTTCCGCGACAATGTCCTCGATGGTATGCAGAAAGGATTGTTTGATGAAGATGAGCTGTGCGGTGATCTGTTGGGCGTTGAGGGAGCGGGAGTGGGAGAGCAGCCGTCGCTTTTGGTATGGACTGTGGCATGGGATGCAAAAGGCTGGGAAGTAAATGCGGCGTTCGTGAAGAAATGGGGGAGGTTGATTGAAGATTGTCCTGAAATTATGGAACCGACGAATTATTGGCGGAGAAAGAGGGGACAAGCTGCGTTGACGTTTGGTATTGATGCCCAAGCCGGCCCATGAAATAGCAAAGGCCGATCGTAATGCATCTTAACAATATTCGGTACGAACCCTGAGGAGAATGCGAAACGAGACATATATGGAGACCGTTATTGTCTCGTACAAGAATCCACCTGCTGCGAGCCATCGCTCTTGGTTTCCGAAGGCACAGTTGGAGCAATTGCTGAGCAGCTGATCGGACGGTCTCCTCTCGCACCTCCCTGAGCGGCATCACCCTTCAGCACGATATCATCTACCAAGAAACTGGCCAGCAGACATATAGCCATGAGAGGTATCGTGGTGATGAAGATCACTCGAAAGCCTTGCATGCGCGCATCGATGACGGCGCTTTCGAACTCTGCAATGGCGGAGTCCCCAATAGCCCAAGTACCATCCAAGACTCGGTCACGTAGCCATTCCGGCACCGCGTTGGGTTGTGAAAGAGCTTTGTTCAGAGTAGCATAGTATGCAGCTGTGGACACGGCGATACCAACAACGCCACCGAGGGAACGAAAGACGTTGCGGGTTCCTGTTGCCACAGCACGGTCTTCGTCCGCAGAGTTGGCTTGCAACGCAACAAGGCCTGGGAGGAAGTTAGTCAATCGGGCCAACTGCTAATACAACGTCGGAAAAGCGCTCAACATACCTGGCTGATGAACCCATCCTATCCCTGCTCCTTCAACAGCTAGAACCACGACATAGACAGCGACATGGGTGTGCTCATTGAATAGAAGCTTGAGACCGGCACCAATTGTCCAGATCATGAAACCAGTCCGCAAGATTGGCATATATCTATAGACTAGTCAGAAAACTATTGGTGCTTCAATCACGGACCTACTCACCTCGCATAACGAGCCATGATGGGCCCCGAAGCAGCGCCAGCAAGTCCTTGCGCAAGCAGAAACGGTACAATGAGCGTCGCGCTCTTCAGAGGCGTGAAGCCGCGAACGGTTTGGTAGTACAGAGGGACAAAGTACTGTGTAGATTGCCAAGCAAAGTCATGCAAGAATCCTGTGAGGATGAGTACAGCTGGAGATCTCTGCCTGAAAAGTCGCAAGGGAATGATGGGGATTCTGGCAAAGAAAGCCTCAATGATAATGAAGACTAGCAGCATGATGACCCCGATAGTGAGTATAGAGATGGTCTTCGCATTCGCCCAGGCCCATATGCTGCCTCCAGAGTTGATGGCCATCTGTGTCAACCATTAGCAAGGTTCCACTGTCGGATCGCTCGAGTTACTTACAACCGTCAACACGATACCTGCAATCGAAGCCGTCACCCCCATCCAGTCAATCTTACGAGCCTTTTCCTTGAAGCTCCCAGAAACGGGCTTCAGAGGCAAAAGGAGGAGAAGAAGCACGAAGCATATGGCTCCCATTATCGACGGGACCCAGAACGCCCATCGCCATCCGTCGGTGGTCTGTTGAATCAGCCCAGCGGCTACAAATGGACCAGAAGCAGCTCCAATGCCAATGGCGAGACTAATAAATCCTTGGTATTTCCCACGAGATCGCAGGCTGACGAGATCACTGACGATGATGGCCACTGAAGAGCTTATGCCACCGCCGCCAATGCCGCTGATCGTGCGACAGACGTACAGCCAGACGGGTGTACGGGCGAAGCCACAAAGGAGACCGCCTACCACGATGCACCCCATAGAGAACAACAAGACAGGTTTTCGTCCAGTGATATCGGATACTCTACCATAAAGTGGCTGGAATGAGAGTTGGCCGAGAAGGTATGAAGTTCCGACCCAAGTAACAGTCGGACCAGCATCCAATGCCTCGGAAATGGTGGGCAACGATGTCGCGACAGAGTTCATGTCGAGATATGAGATGAAATAACAGAAACATAGACAGAGGTAGGCAAGAATGAGGCGGAAGAATGGTAGACGCTGTGACTGATCTTGGAGCTCTAGATTTCCGCTGTTGCTTTCGGTGTCGGGACAAACTGGTTGGTCTAATGAGCCAGTAATGGAAGCGGCAGTTGTCGCTTTCTCATCACTTTCGGGAGTTTGCTGATGAGGCTGAACTGGCGCAGGTTCAATCGCGTCTATTTGAGGTGGTGAGGTCATGATGCAAATGGTCCCGAAGTCGAAGAAGATGTTTGGAAGACAAGCGGATCTTAGATGGAAAGCGGCTTCTCATTGCTATAAGCTGAGTTTCAGTCGGAAGGCCAAGGCATTTCACGTTGGTTGTTGGAAATGGAAGTGGGCCATTTCTCGTCACAAACGAAGATTTAGGTGATCGCTCATCGAATCAGTTGGCTTGGAGATGTGTTTCTGAGCTGCCAAGATGATCCTTCGGAAACCCCTCACGAGATATCATATCAGCACCCTGCGATGTCGGCAACGGATTGGCATAAACTGAGTCCCGTGAAATGCGGATAATTGAATACTGGGAGGTAATGACGGCTTTTTTGAGGTCATTTTCGATCAACCTTGTATTACAAGTGCCGCTTAAACGACCATTCTCCATATCCGACGACTTCAACGTCAGAGTCACCATTCCCAAGTACGACCTCCATTTCGGTAAATGGTGGTACAGTCACGTCAATTTTTACTTCTCCTCCGTCGATCGCTTTCCAAGAGACTGAGACCTTCCCATGCGGTGTCAAATGCGACGCCCTCGCAGATGTGATACCGCCACCAACGCAAGGATCTACGCGACATCGCGTCCACGCGGGAGTCAATTGCTTCAGACCTGCAACGCGCTCGACCATGAATTTAGCCACAGCGCCATAGGCGTAGTGATTGAAACTGGTCATGTCTCCTGGATTGATCGATCCATCGGGCATCATACTATCCCAGCGCTCCCAAATCGTTGTCGCGCCCATTGTCACTGGGTAAAGCCAAGAAGGACATTTCTTATTCAGAAGCATACCGTATGCAACGTCCATGTGGCTTGCCTGGGCTAAAGCTTCACACACGAATGGGGTTCCTGCGAAACCGGTACCGACGCGGTACTCATTGGCGCGTACAATCTCAGCGAGACGGTCGCCTGCCCACTTCAGCTGAGAAGGTTCGGCGAATAGGTTGAAGCAAATGGCTAAAGCGTAAGCTGTCTGCGAATCTGAGGTCAAGCGACCAGTCTCTGAGATGTACTGCTTAGCGTATTGCTCTCGGGCAGTGGCTGCTTTTGCTTTGTAGACAGACGTGTCCTCATTACCGAGGATCTCTGCGATTTGAACCATTATATCGTAAGAGTGTATCAGAAATGCGTTGGCGACGAGCATCATGTCAGTCGCTGACTTTTGAGGAGCATCTGGAGGAGCACTAGGGTCAAGCCAGTCCTGAGATCATGTCAGCACAGAGTCATCAACGAAGAGTCGATCGAGCAGGGGACTTACTGCGAGCTGGAACACGCTTGGGTCCCATAGGTGGTCTTTATCAGCGTCCTTGCCCATCGGCACAGCATTCAGCCATGCCACCATCGAGTCAAACTGCTGAGCCAAAATCTCGGAGTCTCCATGTTCCTCCCACAACGCCCAAGGGGCTAGTACAGTGACATCATGCCAAATTGCAAAGGGGTGAACTTGCGCAAAGAGGCCGTCCACGATGGTATTAGGGGATACCATTGGTGGAATGCCATTGCGCTTCTTCTGTTCGTAGTAGAGGCCCTTGAGCCAATCGTTCAAGATGCCGTGACATCCATAGAGGAATGTCGCTGTCGGAGCAAAGAGGGCGAGGTCGCCCGTCCAGCCGAGACGTTCGTCTCTTTGAGGGCAATCTGTAGGTATAGAGAGGAAGTTGCCCTTGGTTGACCACCGAACATTGCTCCATAGTTTATTGAGCATGCCATCTGAGCAAGAGAATTCACCGGTTTCTTCCATATCCGTGTGACAAACAACGGCTTCAACTTTCTCCAAGATATCGTCTTGAGACCCAGGCCAATTGTCGATTTGGGCGTATCTGAAGCCATGGAATGTGAACCTAGGTTCATAGACTTCTTCACCTTCGCCACGAAGAGTATATGTATCTCTAGCTTCACAATGCCGCAATGGCCTGGTTCCAAGTTCGCCGTGTTCAAGGACCTCGGCGTGATAGAGTGTGACCTTGTGGCCTCTCGAGCCGTTCACACGGATGCGCAGATAGCCAACTAGGTTCTGCCCAAAGTCGAGCACCAACTTCCCCGAAGGCGTGTCAATCTTAGAGATTGGCTTGATGACCTCAATCCTTCGAGTCGGCTCCGCTGATCCAGCTATGAGTTCTGTTTCTTCAGACAAAGGTGGTAGAACATGGACTTTCTGCCAATCTCCTGACACAGACCCTGCCTTTGACCAGCCTTCTATTTGAGCAGTGGCATCGTACTTCTCGCCGTCATAGATTTCAGCCATTCGGATCGGCCCTTGCGTTGTAGTCCATGTCTCATCTGTAGATATCGTCAAGATAGTCCCATCTTTTGCCGTAATCTCAAGCCGAGCCAGCAGCGCTGTCCGCGTCCCATGAATATTTCGCTTTCCGCCCTCAAATCCCAAACGCCCTTTGAACCACCCTTCAGAAACGCGAGCTCCAATGCAATTCTCGCCTTCGGAAAGAAGTTCCGTGACATCAAACGTCTGATATCTCAGACGATGCTCATATACTGTCCATCCAGGAGCAAGAAAGTGATCACCGACTCTCTCCCCGTTAATCTCAGCTTCGTAGACTCCATGAGATGTGATATACAGTCTTGCAGATTGGATACCGCCATTGATGCTGAATTCCTTGCGAAATAAGTCTTCGGGCAAGGGTTTGTCCTGTTCGTCTGACCACGGTGCGGAGATGAGCTGAGTACCTGACCAATCTTGCCTATTTAAAAGGCCAGCTTCGACAAATTCAGCTTCGCTCCAGGACGTTGGCTCAGACTCGTTGGCAAGGTATGCTCTTACTCGAACCGTGTAGCGCTGACGAGAACTGAGTGGCTCCTCTCTGGGCCACGGTACAAGATATGCCTGCGATGACTCGACTTTGTAGGCCTTTGTCTCCTGGGGCTGTCGCGACGTTGTGTCGATTTTTGTGAGTTCAATCTCATACGCATCCTGATTAAGTTTTGAACTACTCCCCTCAAAGCGCCATGAGATTCTAGGTTTTGTCTCATCGATTCCAAGAGCATTTCCAGGCCTGTAATGTTCGAATCTGACGTCGACGACTTTGACGTGTGCCATTGTGTGGTGGTTGGAATGAGACAACCCTGACAAGCTGTCAGTCCATCATAAGACTCACGAAACGAGAGCTCTTTAATGATACCATATTATCATCAGCTCCAATTTTCTGTCATTTGTTACCGTCGGGTCAATGACAACCGATGAAGCTCTTGGCTAGGCTTGGCTTCCTCCACATCCCGATGAGGAGATGTTAAACAAGACGCGGTTTACGGTTGAACTTCGCTTCATTATGTACGCATCTGGTGAAACTATTTCCAATTTTGGAGTTGGTAACCGATTTGGAGCGGTCTAGAGTTTTACAAGTGCATCGACAGCTCCAAACTATGAGGGATCTGGTGGTCTGATGATCGACTTTGATCCCTAGTGAGTGAATGCATGGGTAAAGCCCGGTTCATCCTGGCTTTGTGAGTCTCACACACGAGTCTGCGGATGCCACCTGGACATCACTACGGGATGGAATTCTATCCTTGGGATCGGCATAATAAATATGTGATGACTTTGTGAAGCCCAAGGGATTGTGACCCATACCATCACGAGAGACTGTTGGGAAGCAAGAAAATGCCTGAAATTAATCTACAGTGCTCAAGATTAATTGGTTCAAAGATTTTCTTATATACTCAGCATGCCAAAAATCTTATCATTACCTTAGTTAAAGTAAATGTCCCGAACCCAAGCTACCATTCTCTAAAGATCACTAAAGGTTAGGAGCATCACTTCACAGCAATCATCAGCGCATCTATAGAGTATGTTTGATTCAAATTGAGCTATCAAGGCAGACAGTCATAAACCCTATATCGAGATGAAATAAGGGCGACCCCATGCTAAATTACCAGAGATATTCATCAGCACCATCGGCACTCCAAGTTCCCTATCCTTGCCAAAATCGTTGAATTTGGATCATGCCTCCTCAGTAATCGCAGTAGCAGACCTCTCTTTGAACTTTGCCGCCGGAGTCTTGGTCTGGAAGAGATAATCAATCTGGGCATAAGTAATGTTCTTGGTCTCGGGAATCTCGATCCAGCTAAGAACAAATCCAATGACACAGAAACCAAAGAAGACGAAGCCGATCTTGCCTCCCAGGTTGCCCTGATCAGCATTAAACATGTATGGAACACATAGAGAGAAAGCCCACGTCATGAAGGCGTTAACAAAGAAACCGATACCAAGAGTCTTGGCTCGGAGGACGGTTGAGGGGACTTCGGCTGCCACAATGGGATACGCTGAGCCTGTGCCCAAGTTACCAGTGCAAGCAGCTAGAAGGAGAGATACGCCGATGAATCTGTAACATTTGTTAGTCAGGTATGGTGATAGAGTTGTTCGGAGAGACGTACCTCAAGGCTGTCTGGTTTTGGGGCCAGAAACCAGCAATACCCATTCCAATAAAAATGGTGCCAGCGGCAGCGAAGCTTGCGAGGATAGCAAATCTTCGGCCAACCTTGGACATGATGACCCAAGAGACAAGAGTACACGCCATACTCAACCCGACACCGATTTGATTCAGTGTAAGAGAGAATGTCGGAGTCATGCCAGCCATGATGAAGAAGTAGGTAGAGTTTGAGACCAATGTTATTCCCATAAACTGCTGAAGAGTGTTGAGCAGAGCAACGATACGAGTCCGTCGCAGGTTGGTCCCCTTGAAGCACTCCGAGAACGAAGGCTGCTCGGTATTCATTCTCTGCTCTTGTTGGATTGTAGCTTCGATGATGGCAATTCGTTCGTCGATGTTATCGCAGCCGAGGGTAGTCAGAGCCTTTCTAGCTTGGTCAATTCTATTCTTGCCGGCGAAATATACAGGGCTTTCGGGGACGACGAGGGATGCGATGACGGAGTAGGCGGAGAAAGCCCACTGGGAAGCGAAGGGGATCTTGAAGGCCCAGTGTGTCATTGTAGCGACTTCCTTGAACACGACAGTAATGGCAATCATCTGGCCAACAGTCTAGTAACCATTGTTAGTTTCATAGGTCTGTCGGTAGATAGTGACACTCACGATCATGAAGGGGTAAAAGCCGAGAAGTATAGTTCGAAGCTTGGGTGGTGAAATCTCAGATACGTATGTTTGGCAAGTCGACATGCTAATACCCATGGCCAGACCAATGAAGAACTTTCCAACCAAGAGAACACCGCGTCTTTGTTCGACAGTCTCGGGGTTGCCGGACACAAAAATAATTGCCGTTCCTAGAGAAGTCCAAGTTAGATCAGATCAAGCTGCAAGCATTCCTATCTTGACTTACCAACAGCAGAGATGAGACCTCCAACTCCAAACATGATCTTTCGGCCAAATCGATCCTGAAGAAAGCCGTTGCTTGCTGCGCCAATCATAATTCCCATTGCGCTAAAGGCTTGCCAGAGACCTTGCCATAGAGCTGGAAGGATAAAAGTCTCGCCAAAGGGGGAACCAAAGGTGATTCTCCCTGATCAGCCATTTGTATCAGATATTAGTTTGGAGTTCTGCGACTTACGAGAACATGGGGAGGGCATTGATGGCTCCCTGAACAAGAACATCGTATCCAAAAAGGAATGCACCGCAATTAGCGAACCAAGTGAAGATAATCACACGAACGTTCTCTCTAAGAAGTTTCCAAACAGTTGTGTTGCTTTCCTCCGCAACCTCAACAGCCAGGATAGTCTCCTTGTGGTCAACTCCCATGGAGTCGGCTTTGCTCTTAGTTCTTTCAATGTTCGACATTCTTGAGAAGTCCAATGATGCTGAGCGTAAAGATCCACGATCAAGCCTGGTATCAAGAGTTACTTATAGGGAGAGTATCATGGTTAATTGTCTGATTCAGTGCCGTGGTTCAACCGACACGATACCATTTAAGCTCATGGCGCATCTGGGGCCCCGGACATTTGACTGATCTCCCCGCATTAGCTGGGGTGGTTTTCGGATCCGTGGAGGAGGAAGAGAACGAGGCTTGATCTAGAGCGCCCTTGGTCGGGAAAGTGGAGGGAGTTCGGTGCATCTATACCCGAGAGATATTGGATGATGGACCATGCGGACAATAGGATGCCGCAACAAAGTCATTTCATATTTGAGACATCTTCAAGATCGTTGTGTGATTTTTCGAAAAGAGATGTGGCGGAATGTTGGTGGCAATGCTTCGTCCAGACGATTTGATTCATTAGCATATAAAGCCTCCCAAACTCAGAAACACCATATAAAGTATCCATCATCGAATTCGTTCAATTTCATCTCAAGCTGCTCTGTCTACGGTGCCTCATGAAGTCCATATATCGTTCGTATCTTGTTCTCATCCCCAAGCTCCCCCGGCCTTTGCGTATCCCAAAGTTCAGCTGCATCCCTCGTACTATCCAGCTCTGAACTTCCTATTTGCAATATTTGCGTATTGCCCAGCTCAGACTTTTCAAAATCGGACTTCTCGATGCTATCCACTCGTTCCGTTGTCCTTCTACGCGTGAAGCGTCTCCATAGACATAAGCCTACGCCTCCAGAAATTAGTAACCCCGCGACTGTGACACCGACTGAAATTCCCACCAATGCTGCCGTCGATAATCCCGGGCTCTTTTCTGACTTGGCCGCCGAATGGTGAGTCGTTTCAGCGGAACTCGTCGAGGTTTCTGATGCTTGAGATGATGTAGAAGCTGGTGTTGAATTCGATGCCGATGTTGCTTTGAGCTTTTTGGAATTTGTGCCTGAGATGTTGAAGGATCCAGAATTTGCGAGCGGGATATCCTTGTCTGAAGAGTATAGAGCAAAGTGAAAGACAGTATCTTCGGAGTCTTGAGAGAAACTACTAGAACTTGCGTTCCAAACGTGTGAATTCTCAGTTGTGTTTTCTACCTTTTATTAGCCACTGGGGGATCAAAAAAGGGTCAGCCATGTTTACCTAGCAATCTGCTATACCATTCTACCGCCAATTTTGGATAGTCCTGCCATAGGAAGAGATTGCAACCCTCATGATCCGTTTTCCATTTTATTTCAATCTCGTCGTTGATTCCATACACTGGATTCTCGGACCACGGATCACTCGATAATTCGGGTGTGATAAAATCGGAACTACATAGCCCACGGCCCGCAAACGTGACAACTGCAACACAAGCTGGTAAAAGACCAAGCATCGTAACAGCAGCTAAGCTTGAGACTCAAAAGATTCGGGAAAATCTTTCAAGAGGGGAAAGGCAAAGATAAAAATTCGATGCTGCGCCTCATGCACTTCTCAACAGAACCTCTATGTTTGTCAGATTTTAGACCCTTGTCCCGCTAACCAGCCTCCCTAGACACCACGATACCACGATTTTAGGCCCAGAACTCGATGCGAGGTGAAAACGGATGAGTAAGCAGCGAACAAGCCAATTAACAACCATGATAGTTTATGGACGTTGGATTTAGGTGCAGGTAATGACGCACTTGACTTTTGATAAACCGTTGAAAGCCAATACGGAGTTGAAGGCTCAACGTTTGAACGTGTTCGGGGACTTATTCCCCCATTTTGACGCAGTGAGTTGGGTTTAAGCTTCAGAAGGATCAGAGGCTAGCAAGCATATCTTGAGCGGTCAATGTTTTCCAAAAGCGTCAGTACTACTTCCCTGCACGTAGAAAGAGAAGCCACGGCATATCTAAAGCTATTGACTCTATTATTCCATTGAAATACAGATAAGGGTGATACTAAGGCGGGTTAATCGCAAGAGAGATGAACAAGCCAAAAACAACGATATAGTTGCAAAGAAGAGGATTAAAAAACCAAGAGAGCCGCCATTCGACCTTCAGTATCCATTTTCATAGGCTGGACCGCCCTTGGGGCAAGGGATTTTCTAGATCAGATTCCTCCGAAGATGTAGAGACTGGACCCCCTGTGAGAAGATGCTGCATCTCGCGATGTAGTTCTTTGTCTGTCAGGTTTTCCCAATTTATGCCAACAGAGGCCATTTGTTGTTTGATGTTATCCGTCAGCTCAAGAAGGCCCTTCCAGGCTTCAGAAGATGCTGCGATGTTATTTTGTATCAGCGTCAATTGTGTGGTTATCCATAACACAAAAAGAATGTTGCTCCACAAGTAAAGGAGGATAACCATGACAAACAACTGGAAAAATGAAAACCCCCATTGATATTCGATAGATTCCTATAGATATTAGCATTCGTTCTGATCACTCTTAGTATGAACATACTCCACTCTTTATTGGTTGACAGACTCCTCTAGCTTGGACATCTTTGAAATTGTATATCTCGTCCTCAACAATAAATGCCGATTTTGAATAATTTGAATGAGAAATGAGATCTTCTTTCGAAAACTTATCAGTGCCATATAACGTCCAGTTCCAGTAAAAAGGGGTAGGGAGAGAGAACGCTTTTATGTTGAGGGGTGGCCAGTTCAGCGTCTGGTTACGAAAATATGTCTTGTCCTGCTTGTTTCGATTCTTACCGTCGCCTTTTCCGTCGAAACCGTAGAGTTGAACATCTAGCGGAAAGTCAATATTTGAATGGCCAGCCAGATCTAGGAGTACATACACTCAGCTACATCCCTCTGTAGCTGGCACTCAACGCCCGTGTCATTTATGTCCATCACATCGCAACGGTCATTAAATTTGTCAACAGCAGTTAAGTCTAATAAGTTTATCAGCTTTATGCTTTGCATTTTTCACCTGGTAAATCGTCTTACTGCCTCTCCATAATACAGGATACCCCTTGCTCAGACCATTGACTCTATCCCCATCTTTGATCAAGTAAGCGACGCGGGAGACTTCTGAAAATTGCACTAGCTTTCCACTGGTGCTGTTAACATAAGCCTTGTTGTAAGGCGTATATCCAGTCATCGAACTGGCGAAGGTCGGAAAACCAAGAATGAATAATGCAGTCCAGATCATGAAGCACATGACCTTTTTGGATGCGAGGCCAACCTTGAAGAATCCCGAAACAAGTTTCCATGTTGCGAGAGCAGAGTTATCTTGTTGAATTTTGATAAGCCACACTGTGCTGTAAGACGCCGGCTTCGTAACGAGTGAGAGTTGGAGATATTGGACAAACACTCGCCATGATACAAAAGCCATGACTGTTTGGCCCCCTCGACCAACAACCTAGCACTTGTCTTAGTTTAATAATAATTTTCGTCATTGACACTTACCAAGTCCCAAACAACATCAACGAGCTTCGCAGTGCCAAAGCTGAATCGACCCCAGCCAAGCGTGATCTGAAAGAAACCACTAGGTGCCAACAAGTTAAACGCAGCAGCTCCAATTATGACATTGAGACGGAATTCCCCATCTGGCTGGCACGGTTTCTGTTCATCGCTGAAGCCCAGCGGTGCCAGACCTAAATAGATCATCAAGCCTAGAATAGACAGTTGCCAGCAGCTGACCCACAAGATTCGCCGTGTGGTATTCCAATCAAGTGGTCGGCCATCTTGGCATTTTTTACTAATGCGCTTCAGATCATCGAAGGTGTCTCTGGGCGCCCTGGTCACCGGAGAATCGCTTGATGGCTTGAGTCCGAATATTCCTCGCGGGCTCGAGACTTCCTGCGATGAAGCTTGTTTGGATAATTCCTGCTCTGTATCGCAATCCAGTAGCAACGGGTTCGTTGGAGCAGACATTTCAGGATCTTGCTTCGGGTCAACGTGTTGAGAGTTAGGAAATCGAAAACCATTACCAAAGGTGCGAGAGCCTGATTTAATACTGAAGGACCATCGGTCTATTTTTATCTCCCTGGAGCTCAGCAGTTCTGGTTCCTTGTCTAATTTTTCAGAGGGCAAGCCCAGCTGAATGCTGCGGTCTTAAAGTGGCTGACAAAGTGGATTTATGCAGTCCCCCAAACCAATGACGCACCTTCGACGCTGATCAGGCTGTGATATTGAACCCGTCATTGGATGTTGAATACCGTTTCATCTGCACAATCAAGCCTATGATGTATGCGGAGGCTAAGCATTGGCAAGTGAAACACAACCCCTGACTGTTTTTTTGGGCTGTGGCCTTGCGCGGCCTGACTACCTACGTATCTTCAACACAAAGTACAGAATTCTAAAGATAGAGCAGGTGGCTACCCGACTCGAACTGGGGATTCAACTAAGCAAGCTCAACGGGGTGGGCAACGAAATAGAGTTTAAGATGGAAGAAATACAAATCTAGTAGGCTCTTACATATATATACGTAAATCTATTTTTATAATAACTTTCGAAAGATAAATTTTGATTGAACGCATTCGATGAAGGTCCCCTGCCATATCATGATAAACTCGTAAACAGTGAAGGGGGCATTGTGTGAAACTTAATGTCGGCGTTATACAGCAAGATAACACCATAGTATCACGCCTATGCCTTGTACGATTTAGATATGTTCATTATATCATGACTATACTCTTAAGTAACTGTATATAACTCCCACTATATATTGAAAGCCAACAGACTATTCAGTGTTTTTCAAACACTGGACACAAGAAACGTAGCCAATAAATAACGTTCGTTCAAAATATTACAACTCCTCATCCAGACTCCTCATGATTGAGTGACTCATCGGGGTCCGGGGAAGAGTTCCTTATCCTGAGTGCCTCCAACAGCATTGGTACCCTCGATGTGGCTGGTATCAGGCTTCTCATGAGGATAATTTCCGTCATTGCCGGCAAACTCATACAGAGGAGGGAAAGGAGCAACATCCTGGCGCAGGATGTACTTCTTAAGGTACCAGGGCAGCTTCCTCCAGTAGTATGAGGCATGCTCTCTGTTAGAGACACCGAAAACGTTGTCGAGTTCCTCAAGGGTCAAATTCTTGGTTTCAGGGAGGAGGAAGTAGCAGAAGATCCAGCCAAAGATATTCCAAGCACCATACCAGCCGAAGGCACCAGTGTTAGAGAAGGCCTCCCGTAGAGCTGGCCACGTAAGGCTGATGATGAAGTTGAAGCCCCAAGTGATAGCTGTACTGGAAGCCATACCAATATCTCTGATATGGAGAGGAAAGGCTTCAGCGCTGTAGGTGAAAGGCACGGGTCCAAGGCCGGGAGAATAGACTGCCATGAAGAGATAGAGGCCCAAAGTGATAGTGCCGATCTTGGGGTCACGAGGTTGGTCAGGAAGTTGGAACACTCCACCAGTGAAGAAGAGGCACGCTGCCATGAGAGGGAAGGTCACCAGAAGAAGGTTTCTGCGTCCAAATGTATCAATGGTGTAGATTGCAGGGATGGCGAAGAGGAAGTTGATGATGCCGCCACCCATAGAGACGAGGAGGGCCTCAGAAAGGCTGTAGTTGGCATCCTCGAAAATTGAAGTAGAGTAATATGCAATCACATTTACGCCGCAGAACTGCTGCATGAACTTGTGTCATCTGTTAGTGTTTGTGGCGCATGTTGGGACTGGATATCTTACCATGCAGAACCAGGCACTTTGAGCAGCACGTCTGTTACGGCGTACAGTGAAAAACTCCTTGAGCAGATTCCGACCTTCCCGTTCCCCACGCTCGATTTCCAGTAGTTTGGAAGCATAATACATATCGCGAGTAGCTTGGACAGGGGAGAAGCGAAGCTTCTTGACGGATCGGAAAGCCTTGTCAAATCGACCGCGTTCCATGTACCAGCGGGGAGATTCAGGACAAAAGTACACTTGAAGCATGACAATCAGCGGGGGAATAGAGGTCGAAGCCATCATCCATCGCCATGGAGAGTTGGGGCCGCCGATGATAGTGACCTTTTGGAAGGCAACGCAAACGACAAAGCCCAGGGCGATGCCGAAAGCAGTCCACATCTAAAATTTTGATTAGCCCATGATCTTCAATCACTATTGAGTCTTCTCACCTGCCACATCATGGTCAGAGCACCACGGATATTCTTCGGTGTAGATTCGGCAGAGTAGACAGGCGTTGTGCTAGACTTGGCACCAACAGCGAAACCAAGCATGAAACGAGCAGCCAGGAAGTTACCGAGACTATCAAATGTCAGCAAGATCTCAGCTCTTAAGATATCAAGCTCATACTTACGAGGTAGTGCAAGCCATCCAGAAACCAGTGACCGTAGAGATAGCGCAAGAGATGAAGATGGTTCCGCGGCGGCCGGTGTACTTGTTGAGAATCGGACTGGTCCAGCAACCGATGACGGCAGAGCAAAGGTAAGGAGCACCATTGGTCAGACCCTTCATCCATACGTTCTCGATTTCGAATTCTCTGAAGTAAAATTCCTGCAAGCGTTAGATACTTTCAGAGATCTCATTGGTTCAGCATACCTGTGCACCATTTACGGTGGTCTGATCCATACCCTGAACAATGGCCGATCCGGCACAGAGAGTACATAGGAAGTACAGGGCAAAGGGCTGATGCCATCGAGACGTCTCTTCCTTTCTCAGAATCGCCTTGTCATCTTCGGACAACATCTCGATTTTCTCAAAGCCACCGGGAGTGTTGTTGACTTGAGCGACGAGAGCCCCCTTTCGGAAGTCCTCACGGTGCTCGGTAAGGCCCTTGGACTCGACAAAAGCGTCAACATCAGCAAGTACCTCTTCTCGAGTCATGCCAGCCAAAGGGTTGCGCAGGAGAGTTGCCTTGGAGACTCTTCGCTGGCCGAAACCGGCGCCCTCATTATCATTCACGAAAGTGCCATTGCTGCTGGAGTTGCGGTAACTGTCATTGTTGGGGCCAATGTGATCCGTGTCGTAGGCAGGCGGAGCCTCAGTGTCGGCTCTTGGCAGAGGCATGGTGTTTATCTCGAAGAAGCAAGACAGCAGATGAGAAGACCACTTAAGACGGTAATGTCACTGGCGACTGAGTCTGGGGAGAAGTTGGGGCCCCGGATTCTGTCGAGGAATACTTTGGAAGCAACAGGATCGTAGAAGCTGGGGACGGCCCAATTATTATATGTCTTTTTGGAAGGTATTCGAGAAGGCTCACTCCACATGATGAGCAAACGTTCAAAGAGGTTTGAGGATGGAGGAGTGGAGGCTGCCAAGATGATCGTCGGATTCTTTGGCTGTGTGCGGCTCAAAGCTCGGTGTATCCCTGTCTCGGCAGCACATTTTATGACGTTGTCCAAGAGGTGAGATGAAGTGAGAAGACTCTTTGCTGCTGCCTCTCGAATCCTTCAAGGGGAGACTGTGTGATGATGACGCGTTGGATGTAACGGGAGTTGAAGTTATAATCTGACCGCATACGAATTCTCGCGTGGACCCAGATGAAGACTGCTTCGATGCATCAATCTTGTCATTCTTTGACGAGCAGGGATGCCCTCGTCCGTATTGTGACCGTGGTCAGAAGTCGGAGAATTGTCGATTGAGTTCTACTCAAAGTCAATCAGCGCTTATCCTCCACAAACTCGAAAAAACGAAGCCAAAAGAGCCTCACACAAACCTGCTCCAAGCCGTCGACGTTAAATCGTCCGCCAAGCCCGTTATGTCTCCTCCAAGAACGATCATCAGCGTAAAGACCCTGGTAAGCCATCTCGATTAAGCTTAAATGGGCGACCCTCCCACGACAAGGATGACTTGGCGCTAGTCTGGGCGTGCGTCACAGTCTGCCGACCAAACATTGCACTTGACGTCAAGTCTTGAACTGTCGCAAGAGCAAGTTTTTGATGGTAGCTGTGATGTTTTGGGTTTTTTTTGCTTACCCCGGATATTGAGCACGTGGATTTGAGCCAGAGTTGGTGGTTTGCTAAAGACGAGCTTATCTTGACCTCCGCTTAGTTCCAGGTGAGCTTGATAGGCGGGGTCGAGATTGACCGACCACATACGTCGGAGTTACCAAGCATTGGCAACTTGATTGCTCAACTTCGGATACTTGGTGACATGTGTACCACTCGGTACCCAATGTGGTCGAAATAAACTCAACCGATCATCAAATGCCGTGACTAGCTGACCGGTACTAGGGGAGGAAAGAAAACTCAGAACCTTGACCCTAGGCGATGAAAAGATGAGGCAAATTTAGCCTAAGCCTAGAGTGCTCTTTGCTAAGTTTATTTTGACACCCTAGAATACATCAAGGCTCGGTGTTTTCTTGCCCCCTGAGGGCCGGAGTTGAGATATGTGGAGCTGGCCCGAACTGCAAGACATGTTCCACAAGAGCTTCTTGGTATGGAGAAGACCCAATCTTTAATTCTGTTGCCTGTTGACTTGGCCGGGCTTGTCGTTGAGCCAAGGTCTGAGCCTTTGATCAGATGAAAGGCAAATCTTTCAGTCTGCATGTTGTTTGCTTGGCTTTCGGGAAAGTTGTGGACATTGATCGAGAATCCTTTGAGGGGCAGTTTGGAAACGGAAGTGTTCCTGGCACTTGGCCAAGCTCTGACTTTCTGAGCGATTCGTACATATGGAGTTGTATCACTGAGGTTGCAGCGCAAGTGTTTCGTGGGCCGTGGCTAAGGGTCGGTTCTTGGTCGATGAAAAAAGTAACGATGCCGGCAACAGGCGTCTCGGCTATCTAGACTGTTAGCTCTGCATCAAGGGTCCCTCTGAGGTGAGATGACTTGCTTTTTATGCCTGCGGCTCGGAGAAGGATGGCGAAACCCAATGACAAAGAGAAGTTTGCCGCGATTGTAAAAGAGCCATCGTGCAGTAAGTGACACTGAGTACCATCCGTGAATCTTGAATATTTCTGTGTCTCTCCTGAAAATCCTAATTTCTTTGAATAGTCAGACTTGCTTTTCTTGTCGTAGCAAAAGCAAAGGGTGAAAGGTCGTCGAGTGTCACCGTGTGATGCTTTGCAAACACACAAATAAATTCCTTTCATTGGGTGCCTTTTCCACGACCGTGGAAGCGGGGCTGTTTGCGGACTGTTGCATTGGTAATGCATGTAGGGCAATCAAAAGTGGAAAACATCGATTTTCCTTCTAGAATTTCAAAGGCGTTAACCATGTACTCGACAACACTCGACGATGAGCACAACCAATATGAGCCTGCATGAATCCGAGTCATTGACTTTTGTAGCATACATGTATTACATCTCTTTGGTCTCATTAGGGTAGTTAGGCGTGGAGTTGGAGAGTGCATAGGACCAAATGTACATATCAGATTGCTATCAATCTCAACGCACAGATACAGTATCAAACAAATAACACCTTCGAGATCTGACATTCACTTGGGCATTGGGCGAATTTATAATGGCACTTGACTCGGGCATTGGAGCTCCACCTGCATCTCCTTACCCTAAAATATCAAGAGCAAATAAGGAGTTCCTTAGGAGCTGCACCACCGCCTCGTCTTTGTGATTTACATCCCGCCTTCACCTGAGATGCACATGCATGGCATATGAGCACTCAAAGCTCACTCATAGCTCCCTCCCTTCCTTGCTTCGTCCCATCTGCATCTCTGCTTCAGTGGTCTTAGGCCTCGAGTCACCGGATAACCCCCTATCGCCCACTGTAACTTCTATGAATTGCAGCTGTTGCCTCGTCAGTGCCTGCACTCCCACGAGCGCCTTCTCTCTCCTTCCTCCTCCTTCCTCATCCTTCTTTTTTGTGAATTCATCCTCACTTCTGCCTGATCTTTAGGGCCCACAACTGAGGCACCTCACAGAGCCTTTCTCCCCTTCCCCCCTCTTCTCTCTTCTCCCTCTTCTCTCCTCCCTCCTTCCTTCCTTCTCCTCTCCACCGTACTCAAGGCACAAGAGATCTTGAGCTTTTCCCTTTTTGCACCGACGGTAAGTATCCCTTCCACCTCTCCTTCATCTTCCCTCTCTCATATCCTGTCTCTGCAGGTCATCCTCACACGTCTTTCGCTTTCCCTCGCTTGTTCTCGTCTCGTCGTCAACATGTGCCGCGAGACCATTACCATCGCCCAGTGCGCTCCTAAGGAGTCCCCCGTTCTCGCCTTCTACTGCGCCAAGCTCCATCTTGTTGCAAAGGACCGCATTGTCTGTGAGGCTGCTAAAGGAAAATGCATTTGCTTCTTTGGCTCTTGTGGTTCCATTGAACGCGAAATTCCCACCAAGGGAATCGATCTCGGCGAGGTCGTCAAGGCGCGTTGTGCTGAGTGCACTCCCCGCGAGCACCGAGTTCGCGACATCCCCGCTCAGGAGATCCTCGAGTCTGCTCTTCTTCGCTCTACTGACGGCCAGAATGGCTGGGAAGAGCGATCCAAGATCCTTTCTGAGCTTTGGCTCAACAAGACCGCATGTCCCTACCACGACGACACCTCCTCTGAACCTACTGCTCCTATTTCTGAGGTCATCAGCATCACGGATGGCGTCCATCTCGACGCCGAAGTCAGTCACTCTGGTGCCGGTCTGAGCGCTGAGCCTGTTGAGCCTGCCAACTCCACTCCTGAATCTTCTATTGAGCTCAAGCCAGGCTTCGAAGCTGCTGTCGGAAAGCACTTTGGTGAATCCTCCAGCCCTGAAAACACTGCCATGAAGGATGCCACTTCCTCCCCGGCCGGTACTGTCTTCACCGAGCCTATCTACACCGATTCCTTTGTGGCTGAGCCCGCCTCTACTCTCGCCGACGAGTGGACTACCAACGCGGACACCGCTGGCGCCGCTGATCAGGATGAGTGGACGACCAACACTGCCCCCGTTCGTGAGCAAGGTGACAACGCCGACGATCACGTTTCCGAATCCGGTAAGTAGAGTCCTTCTTTAGTCTTAACGGTCACTGACATCAAGCTACAGGAGCCAAGGACATTCTTGACCCCGACGAGGTTGGCATTTCCACCAGCCGCTGGGCCCCTGGCAATTCTCCCGTCAACTCCAAGCCAGCTGTTGACTCCAAGGATCCTGAGAGTGAACTGGAACAGGCCCAGCCTCCTGTCGTCGCTCCCTCTCGACGTGCTGTCAACTTCTCATACAATCCTAACAATGCTGAGAAACTTAACGAGGCCGTCGAGATCTTTGCCAGCTTGAAGAAGGGCTTTCTCTGCGGTAAGGCTTAAGCATCAGTTCGGGTGACGACGAGTTGTGGGGAGGATGAAGAGTATTATGGGTAGTCTTGGTCTTTCCGGAGGGATGATTGGAGTGTAATTGAATGAAAAGTAGTGAGCCGTATTTTGACTCAACAGATAAGACAGAATACCGTACCCAAGTATCCTACGTATTGAGGGCAGACAGTGACGTGAGCAAATTATTCTTCATTTCTAATGTGACTTATATATGACTCAGTCATGCAAAATGCGAAAGTCATAAGCTAAAGAAGTCCTGATTGTGCTTGACATATCCCAGTGAAGTCTGCGTTAGTCCCTCACCGGAAATACCAGGGTTTACGAGCACTAATGTGAAGCTTCAGCGGGCGAGCAGGGGTCTCCCCCAGAATGTTTCATCATCTCACAGCCAGTCTCCATTGACATTTTCGATTCAGCAGAGATATCACCGATGAAGCACTCCATCTTCTCAAAATTGAGCTCTATAGGCCAATCATGTCTACGTCAGAATTTTCGCTACTCAATGCGTTTCATGACAAAAGCAAAAACAACAACGAAAATGCCACTTGGGCTAGGATTAACGCGGCAGTCTGACACCTTGGCGATGTTTTGGGCCAATCATTCCCTCATCAGCGTCTCAAGCTGAAAGCCCCTGCATCGCCTTCTGACGCGCCTTTCCGGCCTCGTACGAGGAGAGCGGTATGAAGAAATCACACATCTTGGCCGCTGATAAACATACAGATCTGGCGGTCGTCTCCCCCGCTTGTCCTTGCTTCTCTCCGCGTCAATCTACTTACGATAGCTTTGGGGTGTAGGCTCCGCTGGGCCGCGCATAAAGATGTCCACTGATACCTCCCAGCCCGGGCCGGGTCAGCGCACGGCTCAGGATCTGGTGAAGGAGATTGCGAAAGAGCGCGGGTATCTTGGCGAGGAGCAGCTTGCGCGGATAGGAGAGATCAACCCTCAGCTTAGACGCGAGGTGGAAGAAGCTCTTCTTCGGAAGGATGAGATGATAGGCTCGGCTGTCTTGGCGTATGTACTTTATCTCAAACACAGGCTTTTATTGATGATGTTGCAGGCTGGCACGAAATCTCTACACAAGCAATGCCCGATTTGTCTTTGAGTTGCTCCAGAATGCAGACGACAATAACTACAGCACTGCTCTCTCTAGCGGGCAAGATCCATATGTATCTTTTGAAGTTCGCCCAGATAAGGTCTCCATTGAGTGCAATGAGAATGGCTTCACACATGAGAACCTCAAGGCCATCTGCGCAATCGGGAAAAGTTCAAAGGTTGGGGCAGCAGGTTACATTGGTGAGAAGGGCATTGGCTTCAAGTCTGTGTTCATGGCAGCTTGGAAAGTTCACATTCAGTCAAACAACTTTTCCTTCTCGTTCACACATCGCAAGGGGGACTCCGGACTCGGCATGGTTACACCAGTATGGGAAGATGCAGATGAGTTGCTGGGAGGTTCTTCGACTCGCATTACGCTGTTTCTACACACGAGTGATGATCCTGAGGAGGATTCGAGGCAGCGCGAGACGATCCGACTTCAGTTCCAAGACTTGCAGCATACGATTCTACTTTTCCTTCGTAAGCTGCGAAAGGTGCAGGTCTCATTCTTCGATGAGAATGACACTCGGACGTCGAGCACGACATACTCGCTCCATGGAAGCAACCCGGTTACTGTGAAGAAGGAGACTTCTGAAGGGGTGGAGGAGAGGCAGTATCATGTTACGAAGCATGTTGCGGACAATATTCCCAGGAGCGAGAACAGAACATACTCCGATGAGCAGGACCGCGCCGACTCGTCTACGGAGGTTGTGTTGGCATTCCCGTTATCGGATTCAGGCGCTCCAGTCGTTGAGAACCAAGATGTCTTCGCATTTCTTCCAATGCGGCCGATGGGCTTCAAGGTAGGTGAAATTTTCATCGCGGCCATCACAGAAGCTTTGCCAGCAGCTAACGAATGCGTCCACGCAGTTCCTCATACATACCGATTTCGTCACCGAAGCCAGTCGGCAAGGAATAGTTACTGGATCCCTCCGAAATCTCGGTCTCTTGAGCGGCATCGCAGACTGTTTCATCAAAGCCATCGAGGAGTTCTGTCAGCACCCGATACTCCAATACCAATGGATGCGCTGGCTACCCCAACGAGACTCTTATCCTTGGGACAGCTTCTGGTCAGGTCTCTTCGACAGGATCGAAGCGCGCATACAAGAAGTTAGAGTGCTTCGGACGCTTGGCACCGGGAGGTTGGATTACATACACAAGCTTTGCCGTCTTCAGCCGTGGCTGCGAGATAAGAAAGGTGATCCCCTTTTCACTGATCTTGACGAGGAGATTTATCTTGCGAAGGAGTATTCACGTGATGATCTAAAGCTGTTGGAACCGTATGGGCTGGAAAGTATGTCGCCCTCGGATGCAATCACTCGTGTTGAGAAGGACCTCGAAAAGAACACCGAAGCTTCAAGGATGAAGAGCCCCGCTACAGATAACGAATGGCACTCACTTGCAGCACGAGCGCTCATCCTGTTGAAGAACCCCGCGACAGTAGGTCCAGCCCAAGACCGCCTCAAGCAACTTCGATTCATTCCCCTCGAGAATGGGACCTGGGTTTCTTCAAGCAGAGGGCCACTTTACTATTCGCATGCATCGGGCAGCCTCGCAATCCCCGATGACCTCGATTTGAGCCTGGTCGACTCGGAAGCAGCCAGCAACCCTGATCGGCGTGCTCTGTTTGACAAGTTTGGCGTCATTGAAGCTCTTGTGAAGGATGTGCGAGCTCTGATCCTCAAGAAGCCAATCAAGGCGATCGCCGATGAGGTCGCGCTCGCAGCATCCATCGCCCACCTGAAGTTCTTGTACCTTTCCGAGGTACTACTCGAGGAGAATGAGGATCAAGCGAAGTTACGTGGCTATCATATTTATGACCAAAATATGAGAGCACGGTCCCCAACTAAACACAATGTCTATCTCGCAACAGACGACGAGTATGGCCCCAGTGAATTGTTCAAACCTCAAGGAGATGCACCGGGCTTTGCAGCGCCTTTCCTCCATCACGACTACCTCCAAGAAAATCCAACTACGCCAGCAGGTTACTCGTGGGGATGGGACGAATGGCTCCAGTTGCGCCTCCAGCTTCGACTTCAACTTCGGCTTACCCAGAAGGGCCCAGACCGGAAATTAGAACTATCTTCAGCCTTTCGCTACATCGAGCAGCACCGACCAGAATGTCTCTTGGGGGCGCTCCAGCGAGTCTGGGGTGTTGAGAGAACAAAGGTCATGGAATCTTCTGATATCATAAAAGAGTTACGTCAAGTCGAGGTCGTGTGCAAAGGAGGAGATGAGTTTGCTTTGTCTGAGCCGCTATCAACTACTTATTTACCTTTACCCGAGCTTGAAGGGAAGCACTCACGCTATGCTGAGAATGAAGGTTTTGTGTTCCTGGATTTGGGTGAATCGATCACTTCGAGCACGTATCGTGCGAAATGGGGCTTCTTGGTGGATGATCTCGGGGTCGGGTGTACTGATGACCTCCAGTTCTATCTGGCTATTCTGAGAACTATTCGGTACAGTAATGCTGCTGCTGGAGTGCGTCGGAATACCAGAGTGTTAGATCTCTATGAAGTCATTCACGCCCGCTGTCGGGAAGCTGATAGCTTCCTCGATGCGCAGGCGGAAGCAAGGTTCGTTTCATTGGCGGAAGACTTAGATCTATGAATCTACGACTGACTGACGCGCACAGGCAAGCGATTAATGACGGAAACCTCATATACATCCCCGCGCACGATTCGAGCCCAGCGACATGGACATCACCCGAGAAATGTTTGTGGAACGCCCGAGAAGATATGCAGACGGCATACCCTCTCACCCACCTCTACCGATCCGTTTTCCATCGCTCAGAGGAGGATCTCGATGTCTTACGACAATTCTTCAAGGCGGCACTCGGAGTCAAAGACTGTTCGTGGGAAGATTATCTAAATGAGATACGGAGATTGAAGGACTTGAAGAGTGAGGACTTTGATTGGGTTAATGACCTGTACAGTTCCTTGGACTCCGAGAGGTTTGGCATGATGGAGGTTGATGCTACAAAGCTTAAGTATGTGACCTCTATCCTTTCCACACTTTTAGCTAACAGATATCAGGAAAACTTTCGCTGAAGAGCCATTGATCTACTTCAATGTCGGCAACGTAAGCCGCTGGTACACAGTTGGCGAATGCCTATGGTCGAGTGCTACACAAATCCGAGGCAGAGTAGCGCTCAACGACCTCTACCCCGATCTGGAAGATTTCTTCGTCGGTTTCCTCGGTGTACAACAACTCACGCTGGGCATGGCCTATGACAAACTCAAGGAGATGGGTAGTAGAGTGCTGCCACCATCAGTCGCTGCTGTCAAGGAAACCATCTGGGCGCTCAACTCTCTGCTCGACACGACAGCTGATCCACCAGATGAAGAACCTATCTTTATAGGAACGGTTTTTCCTGTGAGGTATCCAAATAAGTCTGTGAAGTTGCAGTCTGGTAAGACGCAATTCGCCATTGCCGACCGAAAAGCCCTGGGCGATATCTTCGCTCCTCAAGCCAAGATGCTTGACTTTACTTTGGATGAGGTTCGCCGGTTACGGCCATTTCTTTCATGGCTCGACCTGGAGTCTCGATACTTGTCTACTTCTGTGCGGGAGATCTCTACTGTGGCGGGTGGGCGAATGGACGAGCTTCAGTGCCCGGACAGGGAGATCAGACAAAAGGCAGCTGGACTGTTCCGGTGAGTTGTATGCTGAAGGCGCCACAGATAGCTACTAAGTGCTTCTACAGAATCGCGGTGCATTTCAACAGTCCGCGGACCTCAGAAGACAGCTCGGGTCTCTACTGGACCCTCATGTGTGCAGAGGTCTACGAAACGGATGGCATCTCCTCCGAACTTCATTTGTCACAGGATGGCCATGGTTTAGTGCATGTACAAGACAGGAGTGAGCTTCACATACGCGAAGACGACAGCGGCCTTAAGATTTACGTGCCACGTGATCCCAAGACACAAGGATTCTGTTACTTTTCGACTCTCCCAAGACGGTTCCTAGAATGGATGATGACAGATCCTGTTACTTTACAAGTCAAGCATGCTGGCTCCAAGGCTGTCCAGATCGTGAGTGCGGTCTTGAATGCACCTCTCATCAACATGGCGCAGATTCTGGAGGCGGAGGGTGTCGTCGAGGTGGGCATTCCTCAAGGCTGGTGTCGCCAAGCGAATGGGGAGGAGGCTGTAAGAGAGCATGTTGATGTCGAAGAGGAGGGCGTACATGATACCACTGTGTATCATGAAGCGCTGGAGGAAAACGATGAAAATGACTCTCACGAAACGGAGGAAGACCCTATTGCTCGATATCTGGCACATCCAGAGATTCATGAAGGCGATATCTCAAGTGACGAAGACTCTATGCTTCAAACGTTCGACAATCTGAGATCTCCCCCGAGGCTATCTGATCTCCCTGTTCGGCAGCGAAGTCCAGCGACTTCAAATTCATCTGTCACTGGGCGACGACTGTTCACCCCAACTTCGTCTACGGCTGAATACTTCCGCCAAAATAGGCGAACATCATCAAATGTTCATCGGAACACAGGCAGATCTTTACAGTCGACACCAAGATCAGCGAGTCAGCCAGCATTTATCTTTGGCTCCTCCCCTACGGCACAGCCCAGTTCAGCGTTCCTGTTTCAGAGTTTTGGCGAAGCATCACAGCATCCTACCATCGAAGATGAAGAAGAGTATCTGAGGCTAGTCAACAATGTCATTTCTGCGGCAAACAGTGCGGTACTACCTAGTAAAGGTGCTTACGATATGTCGGGACTCTTTGGTGCGTTGCCAGAAGTAGATGAAGAAGAAATTGAGTTATCGCGACAATTCCGATCACATGGTCTCCCCGAACGAGACATGCGAATCGGAGCTCTGGGTGAACTATTCGTAAGTTGCAGATACCTATTGTTTATCAGAACAATACTCACAAGATCACAGGTCTTTGAACTTCTTCACAACATGGATCCCCCTCTCCCTCGCTTCACTCGCGACAATTGGCAAAGCCAAATGCGAAAATTCATCACAATCCATCCCGACTACTCAGATATGCTCCCCTGGACCGCCTCAGAAACAGCCGACATTGTATACTATGACCGAAAACGCGTATTAACGAATCACCTGGCTGACAAAGGGTACCTCGACAAAACAGCCTGGCAGAACAAAAAACCACTGTTCTTAATTGAGGTCAAGTCTACAACGGGACATAGCCGAACACCGTTTTATATGAGTAAGCGGCAGTATCAACGGGTAAGTGTTCACAGCTTTTGTTCTGCGCCTGTTCCTTTTTTTTTTCCTCCTCTTATTTTCCGATGTTAACTGATGGGCTGTGCAGATGCAGGAGAATTCTAATACAACCCTTTCGCCGGCAACGTCGCCTACGATTTATTTGATTGCGAGAGTATCGAATGTCGATGAGCCTAATGTTGAGGTGAAGATTTATCTTGATCCGGAGAAATTGAGACAAGATGGGTCGTTGGTGTTTACGGGTGAGACGTGGTCGATCGTCCCAGGACCTGGATCAACTTGACGATGTTGACTTCCAGGTCATCAATATTCTATCTATCTCAGTAAGAGATATCATATCACTCAATTTACTTCATACTCTTTGGTTCTTCCTAGTTCTTTTCCATGTTCAGCTGGTTTCGAGTCCACTCGCTACACTAACCTCGACGGCCTGCCACTGCAAGCATCAACGCGATCGTGTTCGATGAATGTCAACAAACAGTATGTTCTTCCTACTTGAGGGGCCCGATGAGTGGAAAGCGATATATCTGCCACTGCCAGATATATGTGATACAAATTTAGGCTTCCGCCTGAACAGAAAGGATAGCACTGGCATCGGTTCCAATGTGATGCATTTCCCCCTTTTACTGCCACCGAGTCGCTCTGACAGTGGTACTCGAGCATCTCGAGGACTTCCAGTGGATAGCAAATCCATCCTTTATAATCCAACTTTCGGTCCTTGATCCGAATATTTCTCTTCTTCCCTCCTCACAAGCTTCTGAGCAATTCACATCTCATCCCATACCCTCTTCATCCTTCTATCATCTTGACAACTATCCACCAACACTACACCAACCCTCATTAACAACCCTACCATACTATCCCAACTCTCATCGACATCCTTATCATACTCATACGAAACAACCCACAACTCCTCGAGACTCGTGTCTACTTTCACCATGTCTGACCGTGTGTCTATCATCGAGGGTGACGACCTTGTTCCCACCAACGACATTTTCTCTGAGATTAGTCTTCCCAAGACTAACCCTCTTGAGCACCAGACAGTCACTGCCCCTTTGCTTCCATCTTCTCAGTCAGGAGATATTAACATGGGCCCCAACTATGGCAACCTCTCCTTGGGTCTCCAACCCTCCGTTATTGTCCCTCCTGGAAATGTCCGCCTTCTTGGTGGATTCATGTGTCCTACTGACGCTAATATTGTCCCTACTGAACCCAAGGAGGAACCTAAGGGGGATGATGACACTGAGACTAGTGTCTATCACTGCCCAAGCGGTATCCTCGAGTCCGGGGACGATGATGAGTTTCCCGGTGAGCACTTTCCAGATGACGAGCATTCCCTGGATGTCCTTTCTCCCATCGGTCCCAAGCGACCTCAACTCTACCTTCGGGACAACAGCCTCCCTGTGGCCCCAGTTGGACCGACATCTTCGCCCTTCGAGGAGTACAACACCCTGTACCAGGGCATCGGCTCTGCTTTCCCTCAGCCTGTCGGCCCTGAGTATCTCAACCCCATTGATCCAGCGACTCGTCTCCGTATGACACCTCATCATGCGATCAATGTCCCAACCCCTGGCTTTATTCAGCCCGTTCAACCTTATCACCCCGAGCCAATTGTGCCTGTTTTCCCTGAGCCTATTGGTCCACCCCCATCTCAGCCTATGGTCTACTATTATGCTGAGCGTATCTTTGACCCTCATGGCGAGGCTCTTGGCTCTGCCCCTATTCAGCAGATTGTCTCTCCCCAGACTGATCCCAACAATTCCGACTTTGCTCAGTCTCCCATCCCCCATGGCCAGCAGGCTATTGCTGCCGATGAGCCCCAGCCCCAGCGCATCGGCTCCCTGGGCGAGATGCTCAGCGGTCCTGAGGAGGTTCCCGTCTCGGCTCCTCGCCGACGTTCTACCATTACTTTCAATCCCAATGCGATTGTTTTCACACCTAGTCCCACTGCTGCTGGATTGGCCAACCCTGGAGCGACTGAGTCCGTACCCATCCCTACCGACGCTGGAATGGCTCCCTATGAAGCCAGTGAGCTCACTCATAACCCTGCCGATCTTGGTATGTTTCCCTACGAGGAAACTGGCGTTGAGGGTTTCGTTGCCCCAAATGCTGAGGCTGAAGCTACTATGGCCGAGGCCGTCCAGGACACCTACAAGAAGATTCTGGCCATCGAGGATGAGCGTGATCGCGAGGATGCCCTTAACGATTTTTATTACAAGCAGGCTAAGCCCTGGACTGATGAGATGACTCGTCTTGAGAAGGAGGAGCAGGAGCTCGAGGAGCGCAAGCGCCGATTCGCCCGCAAGAAGTAGACTTGTGAGAAACTAGATCTCGAGTTTTGCAGTTTTGCAATTTGGAGTTTGGGATTTGTATTGGACAAGAGTATCCTGGAATAGGTACGTCGGACCAGATGCGACACGTTGTTGGATGACTATTGGTAGAGGATTGTGGCTGTTGAGAATTTCTTGCCACGGGCAGATTTCTTGTGATAGTGGAGTAGACACCTCCCATAGTCAGTTGTTTTAGACTAGATCAATGATTTGACGTCTAAGAATAATTGCCTCGTTCCCCCCCGTTGATACAAATATGATCTCAAAGTTCTGACAAAGGTCGGCATCTTATGAATTGAACCTCACTCTAACAGAAACACAAAAATCCAATACTCCAAGAAGTGAATCTAATAATGCTTTATTAATCTCGGGTTCTAACATGTTTGTACTGACGAGAAAGAGAAAGACGTCGCGATCTCGTCACAGCTTCAGGGTAACCTCCGGTCGCCGAACTAGCCCCCACAAAGGCCGTCCCCGAGAAAGTGGATCATTCGGCGCCGAGCCTCTATCGGAAGGTCATCTCGTCATACTGACGCTTCAAACAATGAGCCTCCAAGGATCTCATACTTACGTACCGCAAGATCTTCCAATGAAACATGTTTTGTATCAGACAAACTTGCATCAGTCTATGACGTAATCTTGATCAGGCTATATTTAGAGGCACCAGCCGTTAACCGTCACACTCAGATCTGACGATCGCAAAATCTTAACTTGACGACATTCGAGATGGCTGAAGAAAAGAAAATTCCTGTTACGAATGAGGGCATGGGAAAGCCTCTTTCGGCGAAGAATCAGGTCCTCACTGCTGGTGCTGCTGTGACGCAGGTAAGTTGTCTCTAGAGCGGTGCAAGAGCTGCAGCTCATTTGATGGCAGGAGTTTCGGCCCGTGAAGCATATCTGCGCTCATCTCAATGCCTTTCACGCATACGCCGATGATCCCTCTCGCTTCGTTGAAACAAACCACTACTGCGCCCACCTAAGTATGTCCCATACCAAACGCTCAACTCAATCACTAACCCCATCAGACGAGGACGTCCGTCAATGCCTCCTCTACGACTCCGACGAGCCTAATGCGCGCCTCATCGGCATCGAGTACATGATAACTCCCAAACTCTACGAAACCCTCGACAAAGAAGAGCGCAAACTCTGGCACTCACACGTCTACGAAGTAAAGTCCGGCATGCTCATAATGCCGAACCGCGCGGTGCCCGAGAGCGCATGGCAGGTCGCTGAGAACTACGAGATGGACCAGGTTGTGCAGTTGTATGGAAAGGTGTATCATTTGTGGCAGACGGATCGCGGTGATACGCTGCCGTTGGGGGAGCCGAAGCTCATGACGAGTTTTACGGCGGATGGACAGTTTGACTTTGAGAAGCATGTTGGGGAGAGGGATAGGAAGTTTGGGACTGATTGGAGGGTTAAGAAGGAGGCGAGGAAGGATATTCCTAGTCCGGTTGTTCATGAGGGTGAGTATGGATTGAGTTGATGAGGGATTGTGCTAACATTGTGTAGATGCGGATCAGGCGTGGAAGAACAAATGAAGCGTGTAGTTCACAAAATGGGGCTGAGTGAATGAGAGACGGTCACGACATGATGAATTGAGGGTTTCAGAGCACGAAAACATAGCCGGCGGAGCGGTTTGATATGACCAGAAGGTAGTGATAGTTAGGCGACTGAACGTCTATCATACCGGGTATCGTCTATTGATTGAATGTAACATCATTGTATGCTACGTCCCCCATGTCTCCGCCCCAAGTACCCTCAGTACCCCATCAAGCGGGAAGTGGGCAGTCCTCAATGCCACCCGCGCGGCCTCTTCTGCTTGTGGACATTCTACTTCCCAACCGTAACCTTCTGCGGCAACTGCTGAACCCCCTGCATCTGCTGCATAACCCTGGTATCGTGAACCTTGCGATCAATACCCCGGAACTCGAAAACCCCATCGAGCTCTCTACGCACAGCAAGCAGTTGTTCCTGGGCCTTGCGAATCTCATCCGGTTTATTATCCTGGACGACGTGCGCCTTGACCTGGAGGAACCATCGCTTCTGCTGATCGACGGGTGTGAGGGACTCCCAGGGCGGTAGAGTGTCCATTGGGATGGTTGCTTGCTGTTTTGATTCCATAGGGGTGTAGTGTTCTAGAGGTTGGAGGAAGTAGTGGCGTGTTAGACAGAACTCAATGTCATCTCTGTAGAAGCGGTAGACTTCCTCGATTGTTTCCGTCTTGAATCTGGGCTGTGTCAGTGACAATTGAGCTCAGTGAGTAGGTCTTCTTACATGTGGTTGTTGTTTCGCATAATTGAAGGCAACTTCTTCTGATCCCAAAGCTCAACCTTCTTCCTCTGCGTAAGCAAAGGCTGTCCACGCGGCGGGTCAGGAAAATCCGTCCATCTCAAGATACCCTGCGTCGCATCAAGATCCATCGGTGACGCATTGGCTCCCATGTCGCGATCTTTGAGCACATCATACCGCGTTTGCAATATGAAGGATTGTCGGGTCAAGTTCTGATGAAGCTCTTTCCAAAGGAACCCGGTGTTATTCCGTATGGGCTTTTCGATAGAGCTCTGGTTGGAGATTCCCATGGGGCGCTGGGGACCTTGGAAGTAAAGAACGCGCTGGATTGATTCCCATGGGTCCATGTTAGTGAGACCGCCGAGGACTGCGCATGCTGAGGTGAAGTCTTTGTCCTCGATGAGGGCTGTGAGGAAGATCTCGTGCATTTTGGCGGCAGCGATGAAACCCTTTCGTCGCCAGTTGTATTGGGTATGCCTTATGTGTTGTCTTCTTAGCTTATGTTGGTATTGCGATGATGATCGTGGTCAGAAGTTGATGCTTGAGAGAAGTTGGCTCATGAAGCGGGTGAGGGGATATGTCTTTGACTACTTGTCAATTGACGCCAGTTGGTCCGTTAAGTCCAAGAGTTCGCTTTATGGTCTGTTCGAAATATTACACAAAGGCTAGTATGTTATTGAGATGATGCCATGTGATGTGTTCAGGCGGAATGTAACTTGAACTGTTGATGAACATTGCATTCAAAATACCCCACCAGAGCTTGAAGCTCAAGCTCAACTTTGATCGTGAGCACGTGACTCCGCGACTCCTCACGCGTCGGCACCAAATCGAAGCTAATTGCGCGCCTGAATTCAGGGTCCAACCTTTATTTGTAGCAAGATATGATGCATCACCAGACGGATATAGAGTGGTGAACCTTCAGAGTTGCGAAAGATGTAGTGAAATAAATTTGTTTTATATGTTTTTGGGTTTAATTGCCCAAAATTGTGAGTGCTGCTTCTTGTGTTCCGTGTCAACTGCAAGACTGTAGGTTAAGTGCTTGCATTTAGCTGGCTTGGCGTGGCTTGTGTGGTTGGCTGCTGAACCCGACTAACGCCTCGGCATTTCAACGTCCCTCAACAACAACGACATATCACGACACGACCAGATGCACCCGCTTTGGCCAGCGCAAAGATGCCTTCAAGCGACGTACCCAAGCGCAAAGCCTCTGATGCTCCTGTTTCTCCGCCGCCCCTCAAGCGCAAACTCCAGAGCGGCACAACCAGTGAGTGCGCAATCCCAGAAGCAGCGTTATTTCTATCCGGCAGCATGTTATCATTGGACAATTAGCTAAAACGACCTGCCTAGAGACTGCTGTAGCAAACTTCTTTAAGCCAGCATCGCAGAAACCGAAGGATCCTACTGTCTGGTCGGAGCGAAGCCCCAATGACGATACCCCCGCGACGCTCCTGGTCGGTCGATTCGATGGAGTCAAGGAAGATAGAACAATAAAGAGGAGGAAGATTGCGGCTTTTGATCTAGACTCGACACTCATCTCCACAGCCTCAGGCAAGAAACATGCAAGCAGCGGAACAGATTGGAAATGGTGGGACAACTCGGTCCCCGCCAAACTTCGAGAGCTGTATCAAGATGGATATCGAGTCGTCATCTTGTCGAACCAGGCAGGGTTGACGCTACACTTCGACCCCAAGTCCAAGGCCCCCAAAGCCACTGCGCAGAAACGAGTTTCCGAATTTAAACAGAAATGCAGCGCCGTCCTCAATAGTTTGAACCTTCCGACATGCGTCTACGCGGCGACCGAGCACGATATATATCGAAAACCGAGAACAGGCATGTGGAAGGAGCTCTGCGACGACTACGACATCTCGGAAACCGAGATCGATCTGGGGAACAGCGTATTCGTCGGCGATGCAGGGGGTCGCACCGCGACGTTGGGGAAAGGCCCAGACGGCGTAGCGGCCGCAGCCAAAGACTTTAGCTGCTCGGACAGAAACTTTGCGCACAACGTAGGAATACGGTATCAGACGCCGGAGGAGTTCTTTCTCGGGCAGAAGCCTCGGAGTTTCGCTCGTGAATTCGACTTGTCCGAGCATCCCTTCGTCGACGATGCTGAATCGGGGAACTCCGTGGTGACCTTTGACAGGACCAACGACAGGGACATCATCTTATTCTGTGGGCCACCCGGGGCTGGCAAGTCGACGTTTTACTGGAAATCCCTCAAGCCTCTGGGGTACGAGCGCATCAACCAGGACCAGCTCAAGACACGCGACAAGTGCGTGCAGGCGGCGAGGGAGCATCTCCAAGCGGGTAAATCCATTGCCATAGGTGCGTTTTTCTCCAAATCCTACTTACCCCAGGACTACCCCATTACCCACCCACACCACAACCACAACCACCCCCTCACGCGCTAACGTGGGTTCCCTTTGCAGATAATACCAATGCCGATCCAGACACCAGGACTGTTTGGGTAGAGCTTGCCAAGAAATTCGGCATCTCTATCCGTTGCGTGTGGTTCAAAACTCCTCTCCAAGTCTGCGAACACAACAATGCTGTGCGGGCGCTAAACACGACATTGAACCCCGAGTCAAGACAGATCTTACCCAAGATGGCCTTTACAGGTTTCGCGAGCAGGTTTAAACCGCCGCAGATGAAGGAGGGTTTCCAGGACATTACGGAGGTGCAGTTCCAGTTCCGTGGTTCGCAGGATGAGTACAAGATCTGGGGTCGATACTGGACGTGAGAACACAACCGCATGAAGAGAGAAAAGGATTCATTCCCCAATTTATTCATCTTGGCATCATGTCATCAGCAGCTCCAAATCCTCATGGGGCAGTTGAGGTTCAAATCGCCTCCGCATAGCCATATTGGGGAAGGCGAAGCGAAAGACGAGACGAGTTGACACCGCAAGCGAGGACAAAGTTATGGGGAATCGCTCACCGTATTAGACGGGGCTCCTGGGGTATACAGGGAGTTTATCTGGCAGCCTGGAGGTAGTGGCCTAGAGTGGGTATCACTCCGGCCATCTAGAATGCAGTGAATGTCATCCTTACTCGATAGATTACTCGACCAACAACCGCCCAACCCACATGAGCGAGTCTGAATAGAGCAACATGCTCCTTGCCAGTGGAGTCTATCGGTCGTAGAAAAAGAACCGGTCCGAATCTTTTACTAAAGACAACCCAAACGAACTTAGATGATCCCTGGGATCTAGGGGGGTCCCGGCCTCTAGGCTTTATTTGCTTTAAGCTAAATTTTACACTTTGTTTGTATGCTTATTCTGAAGATCTCACTGTGAGCAAAAAACCTGCGGGGGAATGCGGAGGGATCGTCTCTGCTTTGTGTCTGTGGGCGCGTGGCATGATTGCGGAGAGAGATTCTGGACCTGGCCCATTCTTTAAGCAATGTCGCTAAGAGCTTCCAATGCAACGGCAGTTTATTCCAACAAAGTGTCACTGTAGTTGGAAGAATTCTCTTGGTATTGGGAACAAGACGTCGCTGCTATTCCCGCCTCCAATTGAAGTCCTTTGCCCAGCCGGGACGATTTGCATTGGCAAAGCCTTGGCCCTTGGCCCTTGGCGAAAAACGTGGTAAACTTGCCGGTAGCGGCTGGGCATCCCACGCCCTACAATACAAACCTCCAAGCCTGTGCTAGTAACAAAAGCCATTGCCGTGATAAATTGATGTCAGACTTTCCCTTTTCTGAACGTGAGGGGGGGAACTCGGCGGACAGAAGATGGTTGCTAGCGTCATTGCTAACAACCCACATTTCTTTCTTCTGTTTTTCCCTGTGAGAGGTTTCTCCACGGCCGCTGTAACGTTCTAGTGCCCCCAAACGATGGAGACTCCGCTATTGGATGACATTTTCGAGGACGGTTAGTGATCATCATGTACTTTATTTGAGGAATGGGGAATTAGTTTAGTGCTTGGGTTCGGTGTAACGAAGTCCGGAGAGAAGAGCGGGGGATGAACCAGATCATCTCGTGGGGAAACTGGCATTACAATTTTGTATAAAAGGATCCCCAGATTCCTCTTGTCCCTCCCCTCTCCTACACCAGGCCACTTTCTGTCCATCTTTTCATCCCTATACCCTTATATCTTTTTACCAAGGGGGCATTTCATCATGGCTGGAGGCGTCAAGAAACCCGTCAATATCTTCAAGCTGAAGGACCTGGGTGAACCAGAGGGCGCTTTCAACTGGCGTCTTTGGTTTGCTGTTGTGTCGTTTGCTCTGCTCGGTGCGGCGCGAGGTATTGACGAAGGTCTTATTTCTGGCTCGTTCAACAGCAAGGATTTTCAGGAGACTATTCACTATGATTCTTATTCTTCTGTTGAGCAGGCTAATATCAAGGCCAATGTCTCTGCTATGGTTCAAATCGGTTCTGTCGGTGGTGCTCTGATGTAAGTTACCCTCTACTATGATGAGAATGTTGGGTGCTGACTGGTGGTAGTGCTTTCATGATCTGTGATCGTATTGGTCGTATCTGGGCTACTCGTGTGCTTTGCACCCTTTGGGCTGTTGGTATTGTCATCTTCATGATTGGTGGTGTCAACGGAAACCTTGGTGCTATCTATGCTGGTCGCTTCATCTGTGGTCTTGGTGTTGGCCAGACTCCTGTCGTCGGTCCCGTCTACATTGCTGAGATTGCCCCCGCTGCTGTTCGAGGTCTCTGCTCTTGCATGTTCACTGTAAGTCTACTCCCCTCACCTCTCACATATACATCACCTAACAGATCAGGGCGCTGTTTACATCGGTATCGTTCTCGCTTACTTCACAAACTACGGCTGCCATCTCAACCTCCCTGACGACTCTCACAACCAATGGCTCGTCCCCACCAGTCTTCACATCATGATGTCCGGCATCATCTTCATCCTCAGCTTCTTCCAATCCGAGTCCCCCCGATATCTCGTCAAGGAAGGCCGTCCCGACGAAGCTGCCCGTGTCTTGGGCCGTCTCCGACAGCAGCCCGCTGACGGAGAATACATTGTTCACCAGATCACTGAGATCCAGGCTGCTCTTGACCACGAGCTCGAGGCTACCAAGGGTGTTGGCTTCCTCGGCAAGGTCAAGGAGCTTATCCTTGTTCCCAGCAACTTGTACCGTCTCTACATGTCCTCTATGGTTCAGTTCCTCTCTCAGTGGTCCGGCGCTGGTTCCATCACCCTTTATGCTCCCGACCTGTTCAAGATCATGGGCATTGTCGGAAAGCAGGAGGGTCTTCTCGTCACCGCTGTCTTTGGTATCGTCAAGCTCATCGCCGCTGTTATCTGCGCTCTCTTCCTCGTCGATGTCATCGGCCGAAAGCGCGCTCTTCTCATCGGCATCACTCTCCAGACCATTGCCATGATCTACGTCGCTGCTTTCCTCACCAAGATCCCCCAGCTCGGCGTCGTCGAGGACTTTGTTCTCCCCGAGAGTGACAAGGGTGCTTCTCGTGGCGCCATCGCCATGATCTACGTCTCTGGTTTCGGTTGGGCTCTCGGCTGGAACTCCATGCAGTACCTCCTGACTGCCGAGCTGTTCCCTCTGCGCATTCGTGCCCTCGCTACATCTTGGGCTATGACTCTCCACTTCGCCAACCAGTACGGAAACTCCCGCGCTGTGCCCAACATGCTTCTGGCTGTTTCTGAGGGTGGTATCTCCCCTAAGGGAACCTTCTGGTGCTTTGCCGCTGTCACCTTCGTCGGTGGTGTCTGGGTCTGGTTCTCTGTTCCTGAGACCAGTGGACGAAGCCTTGAGAGCATGGATGAGCTCTTTGAGCTTCCCTGGTACAAGATTGGTCTTCACGGTAACAAGAACGCTGAGGAGCTTGACCAGGCTCGTGATGAGAAGCAGCGATATGCTGAGGAGAGCCATACCACTGGCATTGAGCTCGAGCACCAGCGAAAGCAGGAAGCTTAAATGAATTGAATATGAAATATGAAATGGTTTAGCTGTGTCGTAAATGGCACTTATATATAGTCATGAAATCTATGAAGCATTTTGAGTATCGTGTTACTCACTCTTACATCCTGAATCCTTTCTTGTCTTGCTGTGACATCATTGGTTGGACCAACCATTTGTCTCATCCACCTCTTTCTTTGTCCCTTCATCCAAAATTGATGACTTGCGTTCCACCACTTGAATGGAACCCAGTGAAAATGTTACACTTCGATACGTCGGCATAGAATATCGGCGCATCCCGGCTCACTTCACCACTTTCTTCGCTCTCAGCTCTGCTGCCATCATCAATTTGCTTCCTGGGTTTATCAGTCTTGGGATACTCTTCGATGAGCGCCTTCGTTACCGCTGCCGCCGTTGCAGCCGCGAAGTTTTGCCATCCCTTGTTCTTATGGCTGTCGGCGTAGTCACATACGCCCTTGACGATAATACAAGGGACCTCGTCCCAGACGCCAGCACCCTCCATCTCGAATGCAACGATATCATGCGTTCGTGCAAGCCTATCGCGTTCTTCGCCTGATTTGAGGACAGTGTCCCCCGAACCGAAATGGCCGACAAAGACAAATGGGGCTTGAGCCTCTTTCTCGCGACCTGCATTTTGGAGTTTCCAATTCTTGTCGAGACGCTTTCGGAAGAGGAGCTGTTTCTCATCACATCCAAGCTCGGAGCAAGAAATCTTGCGACTTGCGTCGCATACCTCTTCAGAGTCTGACATGCAAATACCACAGTCCCATTGATGCCTGTGTCGATATGAGGGAATGTATAGACAGTCCTTATCTGCCCCGGGATATTGGTAGATTGAAGCTTGGCCCTTCACTTCGGCCCGTGATTGAAGCTCTTCCAAGATGATAGCTGATCTGTCTTCAAGAGCGTCGCAAAGTCTGTCTGTCTCGAAACGCGCAACAAAACCGCGCACATGTCTCGTCGGTCTCGCTAACCGATCATCGATGGTACTTTTGCTCCTAACTTTGTTCGGGAAAAGGTCGTATTCAACGACAGCCTTGCTGATTACAACATCGCCCAGCAAAAGCTCTGCACTCGAATCAGACGTCGGAACACCACCGCAAATCCCAGTTACCAGAACAAGTTCGAGGTTGGGAAAACTGATGTGAAGGCTCGCCGCCGTGCTCGCAGCATTGGCCTTGCCCATGCCTGACATGACAAGAACAACATTGTCATCTCCGATGCGGCCGAATGAGTATGAGTTTGTGTCACCGACCGCTCTTCCAAGCTTGATATCCCAGAACTCATCGATAACATGGCCAACTGCTTCATACTCAAGAGGAAGGGCACATATGATGCCAATTAGGAAGTCATTGCGGCTTTTTGGTGGAGCGATCATTGGATCTCAAAACCACGGATTTGCATACCGAAAAAAAGTACAAGGTCTCTGTCGAGTTGAGAAGAAAAGAAGCTTTAAGCGCCTGCGAAATGGACACGATAGAGAAACATGATAGTGTTTCATCCAGGCTCGATTTACGGATCCTGACCAGGGCCTTGGGCGGCAAGGTGATCACGTCCATTGGCCGCAACCTGATCTGATCGTCCTTGAGAAACATGAGACTCGAGACGCAAATTCATCTCACCATATGTTTCAGTAAAAACATCTTGATCATCTCAGACATCATATTATTCTTCATAAAATGGCTGGCCCAAGATTTGACGATCCTGTTTACGGCAGTAATGTTGTGACAGGGATCAGTGCTACAGGCAACGCTCACCAAACCTTCAACTTCAATCAACGCTTCGAGGCGAGACCATTCTTTTTGTTTCCTTACGAGAAGAACGATGATTTTGTTCCGCGACCTGAGATATCATCAAAACTTGGCGAGCTTTTGCCAAATAATTCCGACGACTTTCGAAGCGCCGCTCTTTGGGGCCTTGGAGGATCTGGGTAAGCCCACTAAGACCACTGAGCACCATCGCAAGCATGTCACTTACATTGAATGACCAGAAAGACCCAAATCGCTCTAGATTTTGCATACAGTCGATATGGTAAAAGACAATGCTCCGTATTTTGGGTCCATGCGGATAGCGAGGCGACATTTGCACAAGATTATGGCTCAATCGCGAGTGTGCTGGGCACCAACACTCAATGTTCTGAGCATGAGCTTTTACAAAACGCACGGCATAAAATTGAGTCATTGCCTAGATGGCTACTTATAATCGATAACGCGGACGACCTATCTCTATTTGGCGTCGGCTCGACAGTAAGAAACACCAGAAGGATCATGCATTACATCCCCAAAGGCCCAAATGGCACTATCTTATGGATCAGCCGCGATGAAGCAATTGTTGGGAGTCTCGTGGGCATGCGGAGAGGTATAGCTGTACCAAGGATGACTTCAGAAGGAAGCAAAGCATTACTTGAGTCGACAATGCCTCGGTCGATAGGCGCAGATGAGTTAGATGATGCTATTTTGCTGCTTAAAGAGCTGCAGTTCCTGCCTCTCGCTATTTCGCAAGCTGGGGCCTACATGCGAAGAACAGAGACGTCAGTCAACAAGTATCTTAATGACTTCAAAGAAGAAACAACGCGTCGGCGCATGCTCATGCTCAAAGAACACGAGTTCGACAGATACAGGTTACACAACGGTTCAAACAGCATTATTGAGACTTGGAGTCCTTCGATTCACCACATGCACCAAGAGAACGAGCTGGCATACAAGATTCTGCACATATTGGCCTACGTGGATAAACAGGCCATCACTGAGCAGGTTCTGGAAGCTGCCGTCTCGTACGGGGAAACAAAACAGAAGGGAGACATGCTTGAGAGTAAGAAGAGAGAAGCGATACGCCGACTCAAGAACTTCTCTGTCCTAATAGAGCACAAATTTGGCGATAATGAACGCACTTATGAGATACACAAGCTTGTTAAAGATGCCATACGGCACAATCTACGAAATGCAAGCATACTAGACGGACACGCGAACAACACGAAGAAAGACTCCCATTGTTTAGGAGCGTGTATCAAGAGACAGTTTAGGAATAATGGAAGCTGCAAAGCAGTTAGGAGGAAGGGAGAGGAGTACTTTGCCAGTGCAGCAGCAGCAGTTGTTGCAAGTGCTTATCCACACAAGACTCGTCTCAAACCAGCATAAATACTCTAGGCTAATAGGGAGAGATTGCCTTTGTGACGATGTATCAATGAGATGGGCTGGATAGTGGAAGTATACAATGCAACCTCTGGGAGGGAAGAAAACTGAGGACCTAAACCCTAAGTGATAAAAAAATCCTGATAAATTTAGCCATGCCTGGGATGCTAAGAGGAAGCTTCTCGTTATTAGCATAGAGATCTATCGTTTTCACATTGGTCAAGGCAAGCATGTTAGGCGCAACAAGGTTCTAATTATTATATTTACTTGAGCTACTCATGGTAATCTAAAGCTATCGTAGAGTATTTCTCATAGAGCAACATGAGGAAATACCATTTCCTGCGAGTGTATGAGCACTTGCGAAGGATCTTGGCCTCGTCTTCAGGTGTATTGCCCCACCCGCTGAGCAGCCTCTTTACCATAACTGATTATTCTTTCCAACTCGTCGTTGTCATCGCAACCTGACGTGTCTATCTTCGCAAGGTCTGACCGACTGGTAAATGGGCATTAGTACACGCGGTGCTTGATATGAAACGGATTCACTCACGCATAGCAGGGCGCAAATGCGCCGCCTTGGTTCCTGTCGATAAGGTCCTTCATCTCCTTAACGTTAGTAGGCTGATTGGGGTAGCCATACGTGAATCTTGGAGGAAGGCCCTCGTCTCCCATCGCACACCGCTTTCCACCAACTCTATAGTAGTCATCCCAATGAGTCTGTCCCATTTGGTCCAAAGTATTCCGTGATACTCTTGTGATTGACTGCTGGCGTAGAACTCAAGCAGTCACTCTCTGGCGCCTGGTGTGCTGGGTGGAAGAAACAGAAGCCAGTCTCCCACTGACTAGCATCAATCACCCGCTCTTTGTGGTCGACTTGCTGTTCGGTAGTCACCGGTCTGGTTATATATATATATGTTTCTCCCTTGAGTTAGAGCACTTTCTGGCGATTCGTGCTCTGATGCTGTATATCAATCTTTCCGAGGATTCGCCCAGGTGACTTCTTCCACCTGGAGTTGAGATCGGGTCTTGTTGCGAGAGTAGGTGTATAATTACTATAGTTCGAATAGATTTAATGAGTTGAAAACGAAGAATCCTTTGAGAGTCTGAACGTGTTGGTGGGTAGAAAGGCCAGAAACATGCTTGCATAGTCTTGAGACCAGGACTTGATAATTCAGGGCCGTTCGTCCAGGCACGGCCTGGCGCTCCTTCTCTTGAGTTGCTGAACTTCCTGTTAGCTCATGTAAGGAGAGATGGGTGATCAAAGTATCCCTAGGTCAGTTACATGGCTACGCATACCAGCTTTAGATGGGAAGATTCGTCGAGTTTTACGGCAAGGTAGGTAAAACCTTTCCAGTCTTGAACCTTGGGGAATTTGTCCTGAATCTCTGCTGGTACTGGTAGATGACTGCAGGAAACACTGCCGCGCGCAAACCTTACATAATGGTAAAGTGTATGATATTGGTCGCTTATGGCGGCCGCCATGGAGGTTTGGTCCGATGTGAAGAATCAGTTGTCGCCTGTGAGCCCCCCTCACATTTTGCGCTGCTTGGGTGCTCTTGGCTTTATATATAACAAGTCGCCTTTTCCCAATCAAACCCCATCGTATCGTGACTTAAGGGTAGCTGGGTCATTGGCAAGTCATTGCTGTGCTCGTATATCACGCCCAGACGTAAGTCTCTTTGGCTGCCTCGATGCAAGACTTCCAGACGATGATCCGGACAAATACGCTTATGGTGACGGTAGGCAATGTTGCCATGGCTTTGGGGTCAGTCAGAATTGTTTAGAGTTGAGGAAACCAATGCCGGCTTTGAGGCTTGCTTTCGTTAAAGATTCCATGTCCCTGATCTTAGCCTCGCTTTGTTGCGAAAGAAGTGCATTCGTATCCCTGATTCTATGGCCTTAGAGGCGAGTTGACTCGCTCCTCATTCGGAGCCCGTTCCAAGTTAAAGTTTGGATCCCATTTGACGATCTTTGCCTGCATTGCCTTTATCGGCTTGCCAGTATAATTAACCTGAAAGTCAAGAATAAAAACCCTCAGATCCTGATAGGCGTGGATAAGGAACTGCTCCTTGATATCAACGGCTGTCTCCTGGTGAGCTGCAGGGTCATGGACGAACTCTAAAACCACAGTTCCCCGAAACAGTAAAAGGTATGTCATATATAGTATTTTCTCCGCCCACGTGTCAATTCGAGGTTCAAGGAATTGCATTGCGCCTTTTCCAACTGCCCCCAGGTGTTCTACGCTCGGATATATGCGTTGTACCAAGGAATTGAAATACCTCTCCTGACTTCGGCCGCGGTTGAAAACCCAGGAGGTGGTATCTTGCGGTTGGAACACGAAAACGAGCAACATGAAATTGTTTGTTGCTGTTTGCGAAGTTGAAAAGAGCAGACAGTCCCCCGGAAACGAAGGGAACAGCCATATATCGGCCGCCGCTCTCTAGTCCTTGTGACAGTGTTTTCATTTGTTGTCACATGGTGTTGCTTTGCTTATGTGACCTAGTATATAGTAGTCGAAACATCATAAAAACCTGTGACCCATTCGCTTTCTAGCCAGGCAAGCCCAGAGATCTTTCGAGTGACCCTGTAATGGACGACAATGATTTGCGACACAGTCTGTTCGCCGGTAGATCTTGTCGTCTGAAACACTATAAGAATGCGTTTCTTATAGATCGGAGTGTCGCAAGAATGAGATATAGTTTGAGAAGGAATCTGAAGTAAGGGGAAGAAAAGCAGAATACGGGGGACGGCCCAGCAAGAGGAAACAGAATTTTGATCACACCCCGGACAGGCCGTCCCAGGAGTTGGACAAGATGAGTTACACCCTAAGTTCTTCTTTATTCCATGGATGAGTGCAATATGTATTTGATGGTAGATGTCGTCCGCAATTCTGTTCTCTAGCTAGGTGGCGAACCCGTTTTTCGGATCTCTTCCGTGATCAGCTGAGTTATCATTTCCCGGCTTGTAATAGACGACTTCGAAGACTTGATCCCGGGCTTTCCTGTTTCGACACGCAAGGATACCCTCACCGTGGGTTTTGGTCAGAATCCACCACTGCTTGCCCTTGTTGTGCAGTGCATCAATGCTGTCGCTTGCCCAAGAGCCCTTGGCAAACATGGCGAGACCCATAGCTGCCTCAATTGCCCCAGTCTTGATGTATGAGCCAATACTCGAGGTGTCATAAATGGAGTCGCGAAGATACAATTTGCATGCTTCAGCCAAGGTAGCAATATTCCTGGTTTCCACAATGAATCCGGGCGCGTAGCGGAAAAGGTTTGTTTCCCAGACCGCTGGTTGTCGCTGGTAGCTTCTATTCTGCCATTATTAGAATAAGTCCTTGATGTAGTGAGACACATTAACCATTCGGAGTGACTCACATATATATCCTACACAAGAAATCATGAAAAACCTGAATATGGTCTTACTTCATAAGATCCAAGTTAGACGTTCACAGCATATTGGCTGCCGAAAATTTGGTTCTCGTTCTCCTTTTGTTAATAGCTTCTGTTTTTGCATCTCTAATATAGTGCTTAGTTATCCTGACTGCCTCGCTTGATTTAGAAGCTTGCTTTCGCTGATCATCCCCTTTGACATAGGGGCAATGTGGTCGAGCTCTTATTTCAAGCTATCAACGTCAGGGATGCCATTAAGTTGTGGTGAGCCTCAGTCAAGTCGAAGCCGCACATTATGCCTCAGTTATGGCTTCGATCAAGTCATCATATTTGAACTGCAGTGATGCCCCCCAGGGATCCAAGTTCTATTCGGTTGGTCATGTTGGCCTCTGTGAGTCATCCTTTTATAAATCACTCCAGGATCTAAGTTGAGAGGGACGATATCTCCCCAAGCGTTTAATCGGGTATCTCAACACCTCCAGATTCCTGAAATATCGGAGGGTTAAAGGCGGTGGAACTCGGCCTTACCCAGGTTTTCTAAAGGAATGATATAATATATATTCATAGGGAGAGAGCTTGCCCCTGAACCCTTTGTCCAGGTTCTTGGCTATCGCCGGCTGACTCAAACAGCGTAGAACAGACCTTTAGTCGAAGTTCAGTATATCGTTTCAAAAAAGTTCTATAAAATGCTACCACACAACAATCTAGACATTGATTGAAGTGCTGGGATATTCTGCTTCAAGCACAAGCTTGTGTCGGATGAGTACCCAGGGTGTAAGCACAGCTATTCAATGGGTTTGCACGGTTGGCAGGCGTGAAGGGTTTGGATGTACCGCTGGCAGAAAACGTTCGTATTGTAGTAAAAGTCGTTAATCGCTTGGAACGGAGGCCTTGCGTTTCAGCGATGACTGACTTCCATTGAGTGTACTGCTCCTGAGAGAGCTCTGAGGAACAGGAAGATTTGTCGTAGTCTTGCAGCCACAAACAATGGCAGATGAATGCAACTAATAAACGAAGTGTCGATGCTTGGTGCGGCGGAGTACACCACTAGCATTATGTGCATTGGTTGACACCTGAGGGGGGAAAGGCTTTTTGCTTGGGGTTAGGGTAAGTTTTATAGATCTGCCTGGACTATCCCTACCGCGCTGTATGTTATCGGATGGTTAGAGTCGTATGCTAGTTCCGCTGGGAGTGCAGCGGAAGACTTGTGTTGCAGTGACCAGTCAAGTCATCAACATCCAGTACCATCGTGAACTTAACTTTCCCACCACCCACTGAAATGGCCGTGATGTAGTGAATCGCTTCAACTACTTGCTTGAAGTCCTTGGACACCAGCTTGAGGTTACGTACGGCGATATAGTAGTAGGGGGGACTGTTAGCTTTACTTGGAGCCTTCCTGCTCTTTAGGTGCCTCTACCTTCGCTGACTTAAGCTCCTTCTTTAGCTCATCGTTCAGCTCAAGTTGTTTGGTAAGTTCCTCCTCAGTGGAGCGCCAGAAGTCAAAGTACTTCTGCGCCCGCTCCTCAGCCAAAGCGAGCTTTTTCTTCAAGTCTTCATTATCAATGGCAAGGTGGCCATTGCTTTTAATCAGCTCGTCATTCTGATCGTTGACATATTTGTAAACCCCTCATCCCTTGTTGTGACTTGCATGGGACTATCAGGTCCTTTTGCGGCCCATAAGGCTCCGCCTTCGTCAATATCTTCTTCTGCGGACTTGGTAGCCGGGAAGAGTACAGGACCAGTGCCTTAAAGTTAACAAATGGGAGAGAGGTGGGATGCAGCACTAATGACGGGAAGAACAGTATTGACTCCTATAAAAGGATATACATGGAAGTCATGGAGTCGAAGGCCATGGGGAGTATTTATGTTAAGGTCACCTAATCAAAGTAAGGTGATCAGCAAGACGTCGACGCTCTGCAGGCCTTCCAAAGATTAGCATCCCTCATGTACGCGGATCTGTTTGCGCATCTGACAAGCCCGTGGGTATTGTGCGAGGTCTGGAAATCGGAATGAAAGTTCGAAGCTTCATCCTCGTCGGGATACTTTTCAATCATGAATGGGATAGCTATCTTCTGTAAGGTATATAGTAGGTATAGGCTGGTCTTAATCATCGGTTTTGGAGCGTACCATACCGGACCTCTGGGCGACTTTGCCGAGTAGAACGTGGACCCCCCACCTGGTGAGGTGATTCATTGATGATGCGTAAACTAGGGGACTGCGCTGCGTTGAATCCCTGGAGAGTCATACTCTCTACGGGTCTGATGCCGTTGGGCTGAGTTTCTGGACTGGCTTGCTCGCAGCGCGGTTGAGAGCGGCGAAACCTGGGATACGTGGATGCGGCCTCTCGTAGCTCTCATTATACAGTCATCCGACGCTGGTCTCTATAATATAAAGGCAACTTCCTAGGGGTTCCTGAGGCTTGGCCTCCAGCACCCAGGCAGTTGGTTGCTCTTGATGCACCTGACATGCAACTTCTCGAGGATGGGCTGGAGGACGGGGGGCAAGAAGTTAAATGACTAGACCAAAGCGCAGCCACCTTTGCGATACAGGGTGTTGGACAGTAACCAGAAACTATCGCCGTTGACTTCCCTTAGAAAATCTCGAATATCGTCCGGCCATTCCTATCCGTAGCGGCCTCCTCGACATCGATGGGGACCCTGTCATGAATAACCCTGTAGGTCCAATGTTTCGGGGCAGTAGGCGATGTCTGGAAGTCAGGATGAAGGGCTCACATTTCCATTGGCGCCTTTGTTGGGGGGGCATTCATCCAATTCGAGGGGGTCAAGGTCGCTGTTCTGAGTACTGCGCCAAAGCTTCAGTCGGAAGTGCGAGGAAATGACCTCCCTCGACTCTTGGCATGCCTTCCAAAGACCAGCCCAATCCAAGACATTCAAGTGTTTGGAACTGATCACTTATGGTGTGCGACTCGGTTATAGCCAATTGTACGTTTTGAACTTCATTCTGATAGGATGCAAAGGCTGTGGCCCGAGAATCGTAGCTGCTCCCATGCCGCTGAGTGTGTAAATTCGCCTACCAAGGTAACCCGTCTCTGGCGATATGAGGCCTTCAAAGGACGCCTTGGCCTGGACTGTACTGGTCTGGAATTATGCTCTCGAGGAGCTTTGGGATTCTGGACTCGTCAGGCCTGGAAGCGACTACCTTGCCGTAGTTGATAGAGGGGATTAGAGCTATCTTTGGCCTCGATAGGACTATGGACGACGTTGTGGAGTAAAGCGTTGGACAATCTCCCGTAGCTGTCAATAGACTGTGACTCCACGGTGGTCTCTACAGTATAACTGCAATTTCCCAAAGGTTTCTAGGGCCTGGCCTCCAGCTTTCAGGCATGTCCATAATGACAAGCCGGGGCGCCTGATACTCAACTTCTTGGGGATAGTCTGAACGACAGGAAGCGAGAAACTGGACGAGTACCCCAATGGATAGCCAGATTTATGGTACAGCGTATCAGTCAGGAACCAGAGTGTCTCGCAGCCCCTCTACTAGCAAGAAGTCTCGGATACAATGAGACCTCCTTGACATCGATGGGGACCCTGTCATGAATAGCCCACGAAGTTGTTGTATTGTCTACACTGCGCCGTGTGTAACATATGATCCCCCCCTAATCATCCATACACGGGCCATGAACTGTGAATCAGGTTTTCCGGGAAGTTGTGGAGAGACCGCATAATGATTGTAGCTTAGCTGATGAATGATAGGCTTTACTCTGTTGCGTGAGGTTGTTGTAAACCCCCTCAGCCCTTGTTGCGACTTGCATATCGCAACAAGCAAGGCATCTTTAGTATAGTTTCTGTCGTGTTGAGAAGTGTGTGTGAGACAACATTGGTGAAGCCGATCCTAGGGTCATATATCCATTCCATTCTATTGCATTCGGCGAGTGTTCCCTGAGGTGGCCAGCAAAGCCTCGTGCTCTCGTGCATGACAAAATGGATCTGGCCTCCAGGTATTTCCTGAAAGTCGAGAACTTCTGTATAATATACGCGCCAATTCTGTGGTTGTGCGCAGCTAAATGCGACATCCCATCGCCAGTTCGTACTCACTGAAATAGCGGCTCCTTGGTGTCTTGGATGTGCCTGGGATACTCTTCAGCGGCTGCGATCAACTTGGGGTCTGCCGGGGGCGCATATGCGGATGCGTTGTGGAGCGGTATATGCGTTCAGCGTCGATGTCTCCGGTGGCGTGGCCTTCAGTAAGTATCGTAAGGCCCCCTCAGAATAATAGTCGTGTCACGAAGGACCTTTCCCGGAGAGCTGGAAGAGCTAGCCACTTCGTTGCAGTGTTGTGGTCCAGCGGTCCGGGAAAACTGTGTTCGTCGTTTATAGCAGCTCAAAAGCCTTTCCTGGGAGCGTCCTATTACTTTGATCCAAGCCACAAGATAAGGAGGCACCTTGACCCATGTCATCTGTGGTGGTGCCTCCGACGTCCCAAAGGCATTCTAGGCTCGAGCCTGCTCATTTTGAGCTTCATATACCGCGACATCTTCAGGATGTCATCGGAGATCTCTGAGGTTGCATTTTTCATGATCAAGAGTAGTCGTGTACTCCTGGATCTACCCTGGAAGGTACACTTGTTGGGTGCGAGTCCAACAAACGCGAGGAGGCAGGATGCCATATAATTATATTGCTCTTCTTCTTCTGTGGTTTATTCATAATGATGACCTCGAGTGAGTGCCATTTGAAGGACAGAGGGTTCAGGAGGTCACACGCCGAGTTCATCAAGGGAGTTCCAGTGTTGTGACACTGCGAAGGGCTAAATTCTCAACAAGAGCAACTCCTCTGTTTTCAGGCTCGGGGCGGGTTTCTCGGTTGGTGTCTTGGTTGGCACGCTTAAGAGCGGCGAAATTGAACCAGAGGAGAAATTCCAACTTGAGCTGGCGGAGCAGGTTGTCTATGACCTCGGACACCCTCTTCGCGTTGCGGCCCTGCACAGTCAGAATCAGATGAAGCGCCGAGACGCAGTCGGGCTAAAGCGGAGGTATCGTGCCGATGTACATCAACCGCATCCTGGCATGATCGAGTCGAGCACGGGGAGCCGTGGCGGGAACCTCCTTGGGAGAACCGCTGAGCATCTCGCCCCACTAATGATCAATGAGAGTTTAGATCAAATAATTAATAGTAGAATGAAACTGCACGCCGCCAACGCTGGACATGACGAGGCCCCAGTATAGTCCAAGCTTTCAGGCATCAGACGAGGGAAGCGACGTCGGCGTTTGTTTCAAAAAGTGCCTTGATGGCCTGCTCTTCGGAGTAATTGTGTACCCAGGCAATGTTCAAATGCAGGTACCGAAACGGTTCCTGATTATAAGATGTATCTATTTGTGGTTAAGTGGTGTTTTGCATTGTTTCTTATGAGATACCCTTGCAGGAACGATGCCTCTCAGAGGATCAACTATTAAACGGCTTGAGCCACTTGCCCTCCCCTTGCTCCTCCAAAAAGCGTTGTGCTTGGATGATCTCCAAGATTATCAAGAGCACGGCGGTGTGAATAAACATAACCTTGTTTAATCTCCTCTAGTATTGACCTGCGCAAAGCACCCCATAGTCAGGATGGTGGGCCGCCTGCTGAGGGGGTCGAGACAAATAGAGCCCTGAAACAATTGAGTCAGTAATTGAAGTTCCTGGCCCATAATGTTATGCATTCTTGCTAATGTGTCTTCTTCAGATGTAACTACCCACAAATGATTCATTCCCCGCCTTATAAGAGATTAACTTACCGTTAGACTGTAGTGTTGTTGATATCGAGCCCAGGGAGCCTCTGCCTCGCACTAGATCAAGATGAATCCGATTGATAACATACCCGGCGATGATAACCTTGGATACTTCGCCGGTTCCAAGCTGCAGAAGGATGTATGGTTGGAAGACGCATGTCAACAACCTGGAAAATGTCATGCATAGGGTCGATTCGGAAGGGCACGCCCCCAAGCCTCTTCAACTAGTCCCCCCAAAACTGGGCGTAAGATCGATGGCGAGGTGACCATTTTTCTCCACAAGCTCGTCGTTCTGGTCGTTGAGATACTTGTTCTCTTCAGCCATGGCCTCAATCTTCTCCTTGAGGGCGAAAATTTTAAGATGTTGAGCCATCATGTATTGTTGGACAACTTGGTTTTGTGACAGCCATATTGCGAAGTTTTCTCTAGGATTTCCTTGCCGTCAGCGAGGCTCATAGAGCCCAATCCATCCCACTTATCACTTCTGGGCTTGTCGAGAGAAGCGATAGGTATATTTGCGTCTGTCTTCTGCTGGCATGGCTGTGTTGTATCTTGCGGCTACCGCTCGTGGTCTCTCTCCAGAGGCTCAAGATGGATGTCTGAGCATAGAATAGTATAGTATAGTATAGTATGTATGATCTCAGAGTAGACCTAGATTGGTGTTCTGATCTTCGACTATATCCAGGTGTTTTGGAAGGGCTCGTCTTGGAACTCGACACATGCCAGCTAGACATAACTGTTGAAGGCTTGATTCCATTGCGCCTTCGGACATTCGCACAGAAAGATCTCCAGCAACTCGTGCTTGAGACAATCTACTAGGCTGACTCGGTTGCAGTTCCGGTCGTCATCAATTTCCACCCAATAGAGACTCAGATTAAGATTGCGTTTCTAGGATGCTCCAGGTCAAAGCGCAGATAGTCATCGTTCCGAATGAAAGCTCATCTTGTCTACCTAGCCACAGCTAGTCAGTCTCTATTCTGCGACCATGACCCGAATTCATGAGGTGCATACTTAGCATTACCCAGAAGGCTTACTAAGAGGAAAAGATCGTTCACAAAATGTGTATAGCTTTTCCTCATGCCCGAACGTAGGGACCCGGGGGCTCAGATACTCTGCTAGATGTCAGACCAGCAACGAGAGAGATGGCTCCGTTGAAACCACGAGACACAACTTACAGAGAAGTGGACTTGCCCAGCATTTCGAAATGCTGTTCCATGTCATCCGACGCCATCGTAGGCAAGAACTGGGGCTCCTGGCCATATTCTCCCAGGCCCTATGGCTTCAGAACTTCTTGGTGTTAAAGAAAGGGGCCAACAGCACCATGTTGAAAGAACTCTCAGGGAGTGATTCCAGATTGGAGGCGCCGATACAGAAAATGTCACTACATGCCTTCATTAACGGGCACTAATTTTCGTTCTTGTTCTGAGTAACAATAGCCGAGGTATATCGATAGGTGATTGAATGGGGTCCCTGTTAGAGAGGAAGATTTCGACTTAGCGTGCTCAAGCCAAAGTTATATGTCATAAGTCCACGTTAAGTGAGGCTGCTCTTGCCTTGCGTCGAACCATGCGATGTACCATGACTTTTGGCTTCAAGGTCTCTGATTCCCTAAACGTTTCTGGTTCGATTGAGGGAGGGCATTTGTGCTTAGAGGGAGGAAAGTTTGAACAGAGTAAAGTTGGTGAAGGTTGGGGAAAGAATATCAGCACAGGATAACATTCTGGCTTCGGGGACCCTAATTGCCTTACCGCCGAAGCTTATATGACCCAATATCTTAGTGGTCTCGGCGGGACTGGGATCCTCTTGTGCATGTTTTGTAGATGGCGAAGTATATAAGTTGAGTTTCAAGGCACCGAAAACAGGGAGTGAGGGCAATTCGCTCACTTGTCTTTGTGGGCTTTCTGGTAGACTCAGTCGACTATAGATGCATCTACACAATCCCGTCTCATTTGACTTCCATTTGGTGGATTGATAGCTATACCTGCTATGATATGATGTGCCTTGACGTCTGGTGTGTCTCACAGTCGTACATCTTCATCTCGAGTACTCGCTGTGTATCTATAGATCGAATTTGCGAATTGCAGTTGACAACAGCAAAAGAGCGAGGCCAAATTCGTCGATCATTTAATATAGAAGCTTGCATTGGGTGGGGGTGCTGATCAACAATCCGGTAACAGAATGCTTTAGATTTCGGAAGGCTTGCACTTTCAGATGAATAGTATATAATAGTGCAGCTCCCGCTTATAGTCGTAAACCCAGATTGTGAACTTCTGGGTCTTCTTTTCTTAGGTCCGTGTCAGAAGATGTTGAGGAAGGGGCAGAGTGGTTCGGGTCCTGGTTGAGAGATATCAGGTCAGCGCGGCCTTAAGATAAGAGGAAGCTTAGACACATACATTACAAGGAGCCTGAACCATAAGCTCGTCATTCTCATCCGAGTTGATAGCAACAAACTTGCTCTTGCGAGCGGCGCGGGAAGGCTGGAGTGGCAAGTCAGCACAAGAAGAGGGGATGCAGAGTGTACAACTGCTCGGCCGCCAGCGAGAGGAAGGGTGAGACTTACCATTTGTCGTGTATTGAGGTTGAAGAAGAAGAGGGAGAGAAACAATGGGTAGGTAGTGGGGTGGGATGGTGGATTTATATATTGGGTGGCTACGCCGAAAATCCTAAAGCTTTGGCAAGCTCGTGTACGCAATAGTGAGGATAATATAGTGAAGTTAGAAGATGTCATGAGCTTGATCGCAACGCCTCCACAATTACCACAGAGTTTTTCGGCTATGATAACAAGTTAGCAAGCAAACTATGCCCATGATCAGACCCCCGTCCGTTGGCAGGGTGTGATCGAATAATGTCCTCGGGTTAGATGCCTGTTCCTCTGGCTTGTACAGCTCCAATCCACCTATTCTGGGCACAATCACAAAGTCGTCCTCTTGGAACACCTTTGTTCGTAGTACTCGCCCCGGGTCTGCGTGAATAGCTGGACGCAGATCCATCCTCAAAACAACGGGAGTCTGGGTGAGGCTCAGTAGGGTCAACAGGACACATGCCGCTCAAAGGGCGTTCCAGCTAGTTTTTAGTATATTTATCGAATTTCTCTGCGTTTTCCTGGTTTATGACTCTGGATTGAATCTGCTGTGTCGTCTCCGCTCTTCTTGTCCGGTGTGAAGCCAAGGAGGCCGGCCATTCCAGGCGGCCAAACTCCGTCAACATATCGGTCCTATTAGACACGAAGCCAGCCTCTCTCGCACGGCCACCAACATTTGTTGAAGCTTGTCGTCGGAATGTCATCGTCAGTCGTCGCAGGAATGGTGCACACTGCCTGGCGGCTTGTAACTCAAGCTCGCCGGATGTATGTTTCCTGGACGGTCTCGACCAGCGTCTTTATAATATAAAAGAATATACCCCATTTTGCATACTACCGACCGAAGTCTCTCATACATCATGTGTTGTCGAAGATATATGGGAAATAGAATCATGATCGGTAGGAAGTCTTTGGTATACCTTGGAGGTACATGGTGAAGAATCTTTCTAGTGATCTACAAGATATGGACGGCCTTGCCTTCTCGGACCGCACAGTTCGGGGACCCAAAGTACCCGAGGAGTCATTCTTCGGCGATCTCTGGTTATATAAGCCCCTATCAAGGTTGATTCAATGATGTATTAGTGACCTTCAATATCTGGGTCATCGGTGACAGGATGCTTGAAACCTGTCTTCCAGGAGCGCATAATGCTTGCTGAGTTCGCCGTAATATATTTGAGGCCTTTGTCGAAACTTAAGCAAGTCAGGCTGCCTTTCCAAATCTTCAGTCGAAACTCTGGGTTCGCTCATGTTCTTTTCGAAGTTGTTCTCCGACTCGAGAGCAAGTAGCACAACCGTCTAACAGCGTGGTGCTGGCTATGCAGACCTGGGCGTGGTGAAGCAGTGTGCTTCACCAATGTTGCCTACATCAGATGGTCGAGAGATGGCGCAGTACTTGTCGACAAAGTCTTGCCACATGCCGTTGAGTCCGGGTGCATTGCGACTCTTTTCTTCGGGGTCGCCCGCAGGCATGATTGTCTTTGATGATTCCCAAGACCATGAACAGCACAACATCTGTGTTGTTTTGCTCCGAGAAAAAAGCCTGAAGCTGGGGAAGTGCTTCGTTGAAAAGCTTGCCAATGCCCGTGAATCTCTCTATGGGGTCTACCTTCGACGAAGTCAACATCGTCTTGAAAGGTCTGCGTCTCAGGTCAATTAGGGAGCTTCAGGTTAGGGTTATTGTCGAGTAGCATAAACCCACGCAGCCTGGGTTGAACATCCGTAATTGTGCAAGTATCGAGAATAGATCAGATTCCATCGTAGAAGTAGACATTACAGGCAACGCATACGTGCTCATCGATACCGGGGTTCCGATGAGATGGATCACATCAAGCTGGACTTGCAAGTGCCAGTGTAAGACAGGTTCTTGCGGTAATGACAAGCTTCGTATACATATCCTGAGAACTTGTCCATAGGTCCGTATACCTCTCGTTTAGCGATACGTACCAGTGATGCGTTCCAAAATTGGGCTGCCATCAGCTGGTCTACCGAGAACACCACTTGAAACGGCATCTTGTGTTGCCGGCTCGCTCCATATGCCATAGGCGTAGAGAGTTGAACTTTTGGACTTCATGGAATGACTGCCTATTAACTTTGCTCGTTAGCTTCGATGATGGCGTGATATGAAGGCCTGAGCCTCATTACTTCTCTGACTTACCTAATCTCTTATATGTGTATCTTATGGGAGTATGACGGTCACGGAGATCTTTGCCTCCCAGTTCTCATTTGGTCGCCATGACAGCGGCCATCGGATGAGGGAATGAACTTCATAAGCTCCTGGTGAAAACACATTCTCTGTGTATATAAACGGCTTGAGACACCATTCGGCTCATGGACTTCCGCAGCATGTGGTTTTCTCAGAAGCTGTTTTAGGAGAACAGGAAGACCAGCGGGATGCATTGTGTATCTGCATCGACAGCCGTCGCCTCATAAGGGTCCATGTCGGAAGCGTAGTGCATTTGGACCCTGTCTTCTTATAATTCCCCATGGAGGTTCCAGTACGCACAAAGAAGACGTAACATGAGTTTCGTGTATTCTTCGCTTCTCTCAGCGCTTGACACTCGTCAACGTGATGCTGTTAGGACCACAGTTGGTGACACGCTCAGCACATTCTCAATACTCAATAGGTAGAGAATGTCGACAGTGACCTTGATCTTGTCAGGTGTTTGGTGTATGAGTTGGATTGTGTTTTGTGAGTGAAGGCAACGACATAGAATCTAGGTATAGACTGCGTTTACGTTTTGGGCCTGTGACCCAGATGAGGCCTCCCTTATTAGAGGGAAATTACTGAGGAGGCAGGATAGTGAATTTATATACGTCTTATGCCCTGGTCAGCTTAGTTGATGTATATTGATAGTATTATCACTCTCATACCTTGCGATTCAATCTCTTCGTATGAGCTAAGAGTCAAAATAGTCATAACACATCGATTCTCGTGACGCGTGGGAGATGTTTCTTTGTTGACGTGAGAAGTTCAGGCAGCAAGTCTTTGCATCCGTCAAAGGGGTTGTTATCTTCTGGTCGCACCTCGAGGCGAAGGTAGCTGTAAACGAGTCAGTAAATATCATGCGAGATATATTTTCTGAATTTCCTACCGGCATGCTCTGCCCATACCTTGGCTAGTTCAGGAGAGCTGCGATACCGCGGCTTGATTCTTGGGATAATGGGACAGAAGTATTTTCTGTATTTAATAATATATATGATAAGAAAGAATATTGGTGCTGATGTTGGATAATGATGAAGAACGAGAGTTGAAGCGTGGGAGAAGGAGCAGCTTTTATAGCCAGCCAAATACATGTTTGCTTTTCCATGGTCTTCTGAGGCATTCTCAGTTTTCAATAGTTTTGTGTGATTTATTTCTCTAGGCTTCGATTTGTGAAGGTCAAGCATGTTGTAATACATCAACGTGCTTGATTGTGGTACAACAGCTTACGTGTCCAGCTTTGGCGAATGCAGCTTGGCAATTAATACCATAGCAAAGAGGCAACAAGCTCGCTTGTATATAGCAGTGCCTTTTACTACTGCGTAATCACTTAGTGTATCAGGTATGAGATGGTTGCCCTTTGTTTCCAGAGCGAGCTGCACTCCAATCAAACTCATCCTCGTCTTGTTTTCTCCCTGATCTAGGTAGTTTTGCGAGAAGCTTAAGCATCAATCACAACTTGTGTTTAAGGTTGAATGAATGTTAAGGATTGCTGGTTAGCAAATATGTATCCTTAAAACGGGTTACGCTGAATGTCAACGCAAACAAACCGACTCCAGCTTGGGCAATTACCACCTCTCGGATATCGTAAGATGGTAACAAACTAAGGCCAAATAAGTTTGATTAATACAATTAGCCATCCTTTTTGATGGCCTATCTTTTGTTCTCTATGCTTGTTGGTTGCTACAGCTTGTTCAGTTCGTCATGTGACATCTTCTGTGATATACCATGAACCCGGTTAAACTTGTTCAGCACCTTGTCTTTACATTTCTTTTGCTCCGTTTCATGAAATTTTCCTCTCATTTTTAATCCCAACATGCGCTTAGCACTTCTTTTTGGCCTGGTTGGCAGTGTAAAAGCTTCTGGTGACTACTTTGAGCCCTTTCCCACTTGCGCAGATTGTCTACCTGCGATTGTTCACCATGCCCCTGGGATTGGCTTCAGTCTTTCGTTAAGTTCAGGGTACGATGCCCTTTGCTTCTGGTCTGGCCAGCAATAATATTAATACCAATTGGTAAATCTCCAGTGCCGCTGCTGTGCACTTCTACAATGGCACTGTTCAAAACATTGCGTCTATTCCTGCAACCCCGGAATATGCAGCACTTATGAAGCGTCTGGCCAATTCTCCCCCACCTCCACCACCATCCAGATGGGAGAAGTTGCGGCGATCTTTCAACAAAAAGATTGGGAGGCCAGCTACACCCGATGTCGACATCATCGCCTCCATGCTTGTGCCGCTACGCGACGTGACTTCTGCCGCAGTCGCGAGTCCCTTGGATAGAGTCGCTGTGTCGCACTCCCGAATCCAAGGCTTGGCAGAACCTGACCTCTGGGACGCGCTCGAATATGCACGTATTCGACCGTGGGTGGCCGCTGGTCTTCCTCGTCCAAAAGTTGTGCTTCCTTTGCCCGCTGCGGGCGGTTACCCAAGCCGGCTTCTCGAGTCATATGCTGTTTTCGCAGGACATGGGAAGGGCCTGTGTAAACACTACAAGAACTTCTGGCAATGTGAGGAGGAGCAGGATAATGTTCCTCTGGAGGCGACTCTAGTTGTGGGTATCAGTCCTACCGATTTACGTGGAGATATTATCAGGACTTCGTCTGCATTTACGGATCTCCAGCCCAGACGCGGTGACCGGGCGTTTGTAGACCTTGAACTAGGTCTAGCTGCCTCGGAGGACAAACCGGACTTCTGGGCTCTCGTGACAGAAAGATTGCAGGGTTTCTATGGCACAGTTCCTCAAGGATTCCGCCTCGACACGATCTTACTGACAGGAGAGAACGCAACACATCCGGCTTTTCTTCAAGCCTTGCGAAGCGCGCTCGTAGGTAACGGGTACCTGCAGAAAGAAAGCGACAGCCGGGGGAAACCTTTAATTCATGAGGGAGTGGCAGGAATTGAACCTGTCTTTGCTAGTGCTAGAGGCGCAGCTCAATATGCAAGATGGAGACAGGAGGCGCCAATCGGGTGTGAAGAACAGGACAGGTGCGAGGAAGAAAGGAGGAGGCAATGCAAGCATGCCGAGCTGAGGTAACCAACAGTAACGTATTAGTGACAGTCGGCCAGGATCGATGGATGTCAACGGCGATCGCCATGATGGTCTCCTGACCATATACGGGGAGGGCGCTGTGAACGCCTACAACAACACTGGAACATCCCCAATGCCAACCGGGACTTTATGGGTACTATTGCTGGCGGAGTCACACCCCAGGAATGTTTTGCCTGTGCTGGCATCAACGTAAATGGCAAGGATGACTACTTGATCGTTTTTGAAGATGGCAAGATCAACGCCCGTCAACGTGCAACTAGAAGCCCATTCCATGTATCGGGAGTGATGGGGGCGATAGCGACAAGTCAGAGATCCATGACGCCTCATTGGGTTTTTATATGGAATGATGCACTTCCGGTCAGCAAAGGCTTGTTGCTGAAGCACGGGAGGATGCTGGGGATGTTGCAGAGGGTCATCACCAGTGGACTCAAAGGAGAAGTGGCAAAACGGTATATCTACAAAAGAGGTACTCGGGGAGCAACAAAACACTGAATCTTAATATAACGTATCAAAATAAATTATGTAAAGGATATCCTAAATTGAGTAAAGATATACTAAATTTAGGCAAGTTTACCTAAGTCTTTTCGTCATTTAGGATCATGTCTTCGATGAGAGGAAGCAACCGCCTCAACTCTTCGTCCTCCGAGATCTTGAGAATGGTGACCCGCTGTGAGGTACACCCAAATGCAACAGTGAGATCTGAATTTGTCGCTGATATGGCAGTCGGAATACCTCGAAGATCACGTGGCAGTTGGATTAAATCGTTCCCCTTCCACTGGATACAATGATTTCTGAGTCTGAACGTTGGTGTGAGGTGTTGGCATGAGAGAGTTCCAAGATTCATTGGAATAACTCCATAGTTGGTGTGGATTCCAGAGTTGTCTGGTAAGAAGGCATCGATCTTCCAATCATTTTCGGAAAGTTTGATGTCAGCGAGCATCTCCCCAGTCGTCCAATTCCAGATTCTGACGTTCTTGTTAGACTGACCGGCCAAAAAAGCTCCCGTGGAAGACAGGATCAAGTTGGAATCCGGTTCAGCTTGCCACTGTTTAGTACACACCATTGACTCAAGGTTCCATATTTGAATTTCGGATGGAAGTCCAAGAGCAAGGGTGGAAGAATCCTCGGCAATTGCCATCGAAAGCGCAGTGATCTCCTGTTCATTAAATGGTATCTCTTGGAGCACTTCGCCTGTGTCACAATTGAGAATTCTTATCCCTTTCCCGTACTTAGTGAACAATAGGCTGCCATTCGGAGAAAACAAAAAGTCAAATGCCCGCAACCCCATCCAGGTGTGTTCGAGATCAAATGTACCATTATTCCGCTTCCAGACCTCAATGCAAGGCCCACCCCTACCCAAGTAGAAGTTGATACATACTGCGATGCGGCGAGAGTCTGGTGAGAAATTCGCGATGGTCCTTTCGTAGTGCTGGCTGAATTGCCACACACAATGACCATCACGTGCATCCCATATTGCCACTTCATCCCATCTGTCTGTTACTATAAACGCAGAATCCGGGGAAAACCTGTAAGACCGTATCTCGGAGCCTTTGCGCTTAGTGGGTATCTCATAGAGCATCTCGTCTGTCGCGGCATCCCATGCTCTCAGTTCGTTCTTTTCGTATGACGCTACTACTGTCGATGCATCATGCGACAGAATGAGGGATGTCGTTTCCTTTGAGTCCTCTGGAGGCTCTTTGAGGAGGCCTGGCCAGTCCCATAACTGTATTTTACCGCCACCTTTTCGCACAGAAGCAAATGTCTGCCCATCCGGGGAAAATAAAATATGGTCTATATCATCGTCCTCATGGCATTGCATCATTGTTACACAGGCTTCTGCGATCAAGTCCCACACTTCAATGTTGCTGCGTAACCAACCCTCTCCCTTACTTCTGAGAAGGAGAAAGTTCATGTCGGGTGAGAATGAAATACTAGGGAGGGAGAGGTGGCGCCCGATGTTGAGTCTCGCTGAGGACTTGCCACTCTGAATATCCCAGACCAATATTGAATTGTTGCCATGGGCTATCGCCAGGAGGCGCGAGTCTGGAGAAAAGACAAAGTCCATTATCTGACAGCCATTCTTCTCCTCCAGCTTCAGCTCCCATACACATTGGCTTGTCTGGAGATCCCAGATCTTCATTACTGCACCTCGTTCTGAAGGTACAGCTAATACTTTCCCATCTGGTGAGAAGCCACTGGGCATATGCCAGTCATTGCTTGATGGCGCTATGTTAAAGGACTTCTCTTCCTTACCACGTTCAAGAAACCAAACATGCGCATAAAAATAGCCTGAAACAAGTAGAGAGGCGAAGTGGTCCAATGAGAAGTTAAACTGGCACTCGTAGTCTTTATGAGATTCGGGGTCATCTTCCATGACCCACGGGCATTTGAGATCTCTTACGCAATCCCCCGTTGCCACATCCCAGGCTTTCACCTGTCCCTTGATTGAGCATGCCCATAGTAATGTGGAGTCTCGTGAGAAGGCTAAATCACCCAAAGCTGTGTCTAGTGTTGGCTCTAGAAAATGTGCTGTCGTATCCGAGGATAGGCTTATCTTGTGCTCGGGGGTAGTCACTGCTAGGTATTTTCCATCGGGAGAAAGAGCCATCAAAGAGCTGTTTCCTATCTCGAGCTCCTCGATGCATTCGCCTGTCTCGCATCTCCAGGCTCTGACATATTTTCCACTGGAGACAGAATACAATACTTCGGAGTCGGGTGAGAACACGGTAGAGCGCCTATCTCCGTAGTGCCACTTTCTAGGCTTAGAGTTCTGGAACGAACGTAGGCGTGGATCCCAGTCGGCTCTTCTGCCTGCCACGCCTCTCAAATAAGCTGGTATTTCGGCGACAAAGGTCTTTCGGACGATGCTGTTCGTAGGCGCAAACACTAAAGCCGAGTGATATATCTGCAAGGGTGCTATGTTGATCATTTCGGTATCTTTGTCAACGATTCTTATTGCATCGTCAAGGAAATCGATCAACTTTACGTCAACAGCAGACTAACAAATGAAGTCTTAGCAATCTGGAAATTCTTAACCAATTCATTTCCTACCTTTCTTTCCAGCACAGATTTGAGACTCCTGATTAGGCCGGTGATCAAATAGACCTTGCCTAGTAAGATCATGGCTTCAAACCAGTGAAGCAGATGCTTCTCCAAAAAGCTGAGGATGGCAGCTGCATCTCCGGGGGCAATTCCTGCAACCTTTTGGTGGTCTATCCAGTAGACGCATGCGTATTGAACCTCCGAGGGTAGACATTGGTTGATAACCTCGGGCCGTAGTGTCGAACGGAGCATAGCGGGCACCCCCAGGTGACAGACATCGGTTTTAAGGCTCTCCATCGCTTGGAAACAGTCTCCAACTAAATCTCTTGAGAGGTTCCTTTTATCAATCTGAAAGGGATTCCCATCTATATCTGGGTCCATCAGGTAGTCACGAAAGGATGAATGAAACACTCGAATTGGTTCATATGAAGAGGAAGGGATGCTGAGAACCGAATGGAGAAAGTCCAGCCTGACATCGATCGTATTCTGTTCAATTCTTATGAGTCTCGACAGTGCGGAAGATGATAGAGGGATGGCGAGGTTGATGATGGTACCGACGATTCGCTTGACTTCGTGAATGATCGTCTCCTTCTTGTGTTTGGAACAACGCGAACCAAACAGCTGACCAAGGACTGGTCCGTAAGTAAGCTCCATCCGAGACGAGGTGTCCTCAGTCGAAGATTCCAGGAACCTTTGGAGCTGCTCGTCGGGGCTTCCGTGCCTCCGGTCAGTTATGAAACGGCATACAGTTGCGGCGAAGATGAAGAGGGGCGCTGCCCTTTTTGCGAGGAGCTGGATGGTGGCGTTTCCAGGCCAGTCGTCAGGCAGTCTACGTCCCTCAGCAATCGAAGAATCCCATCTTCTTTTAATCAGATTTGTTTCGTGGGCCAAGAATGTCGATATGTCGTGTTCTATTACTTGAGCGGGTATCTCGTGGAGGACTAGGTCTTGATAAGTTCCCTGCACATCGTTGAAGCCTAGACGAACCGGAAGATCAGGGCGGCTCGTCACAAATATTCTAGTTCGCGGTTGCTTTATGTCCCTTGTGCGAGAAACCAGGTTAATGATGAGATGAATATCATCATCAGACTCGCATTCATCCAGCGCGTCGACGACAATAGTGATGGGTTTTGTATCCTGAGTCTCAGTTGAACTTTGAGAGAGGGGCTCCAGAATAAGTCTTTCGAATTGAACCCTGACGGCTTTGCTCGCAATAGTTGGATCATGCAGGACCGCGTTATAGATATAAGGCTCGAGCGCCGGCCGGTTCGTCGCAAGTTGGCGTGCAATGGTAGGGACGAATTGGGATATTTTCTCTCGGTTCAGTTCGCCACGTTTGAAGAAAAATGATGCGCCTAATCTCCCAGTCTCTGATAGGGAGCGGGCAATTGTGCGTGAGATAGTGGACTTTCCAGTGCCCGCCATGCCGTTCAGCCAGAATACCGTCTTCGACTGGTCAGTTTTGTCTTCGGCCCATTCTTTGATCTCCCGTAGAATATCCTTGCGGGTGTTTTCCAGACAGGTCGCATTATGTTCCTCGGCATGTGAGTCCCAAACTGCATCACCAACGTAGGGCAACTGATCGATTACTGCTCTTCGCTGGCCAGCTTCTGTCCTGTCATCAATATCAAGGATAATGCCTCTATACAGCAGTTAGTGATCAGAATTATTATTCTTAAAAGTGCAGCTATTCACAGATCAGCCGGCTGGCTGATCGAAAGAAGGTCCTTCTGAAGCTGTAGGCGACGGATTGGTTTGCCCTTCGCTTGAGATGCCCCCGGCAGGATTCCGAAGGGTGCTGCAGGACCATGGGAAGGTAGTCATGGAAAGTCCCCTCTATGAATATCGAAGAAAATCTTCTCTTGAGATAAAAGAACCCTATTGGGGCACTGATGGTAGCAAAAAAAAAATAAGTAAAAAAGCCAAAGAGGCATAAGGGGAAGGAAAACCTCGGGGTCAAGCTATGCGAAGGCAGTTGCCTCGCCTAGGATGACAGCATGTCGGCATCAGGGTTTTGTATCTTCCTGAGTGTGTTTCAAATGAATAAGCGAGAGACAGAAAACACTTACGCCGTATCAATCTGAAGGACCTCTAATAGGGTCTTTGTTGCATTCTCAATGTTTCGAATCGCGCTTTCGACCTTTTCCTTCCGCAGCGGCCATATAAGGCCTGAACAGTTGGTCTTGTCAGATAATAGACCTTCGAGCTCACGTAACTGAACCTCGCTGCTTCCCATGGCATGTGCAAGCTTCTGGGAACCTTTTAGCTTGCTGCCATTTTTGCCGTTGAGAAGATCACGAATCTTCTCAGACTCATAATGCAAGGTAATGGTTGCCTGCAGCAGTCGAGCGCGGCCGTCGCTGGAGTTTTTGACGTCCTGGGCGTACTTGGAACACCATGAGATAACTTTGAGGGACAGGTCGACTACGGCAATGACGTTTGCAACGATGCCTAGGCCTTCCAGTCCAGACATGATTCCTCCTCAGGGAGCAAGAAAACACCGGACCTTGATATAGGGTGTCAAAATAAACTTAGCAAAAGATATCCTAAACTTAGTAAAGGTATCCTAAGCTTAGGTACCTAGGCTAGACTTACCTAAACCCTTTTTGTAATTTAGGATTGAAGTCCTAAGATTTCTTTCCTCCGTTGACTCCTCTCGTGATGTTGAAGGAAGTGCGGGGAATAGAATCAGGCTGCGGATGAAGAATGAGAGTGAGTGTTGGTTCAACCTGCAGCTGCCCGCGTCTATCACATGGTGTGTTGGATTCTATTGGTAGATCAGTGCCGTGCACAGGCACCAAATTTGGTGTAGGACCCTACCCTGTTAATGCAGTTAGCGACTGGATGGTTTGTGCATATTCGTTTGAGGGAGTGTAAGAGAGAAGTTTGAACGACGAAGGTAATGGGTTTGGAAAGGGTCACTTCCACTTGACAATATATCCTCCCGCCGAGGAATGGAAGCGGCACCCACAGACGCATGTTTCGTGCCTGCTTTCTCAACAAGAAAATCTCGGGACTCTCGATCCTTCTTAGGTAGGTTCATTGCACTTCTTCTATTTCTCAACATCCATACTTTATCAAGTTTTCAAGTTTTCTTGTTCCCAAGGAACACACATTCGCAATCCCCATAGCCCACGTATTTTACGGTGGTTCCAGGGTTCAGGCTAGTTACCCTTCTCGATTCTTACCAAGTTTTACGGTGCCTGGGTAAGTATTCCAAGATAAATGTATCAATTTTATACTAATTTGTTATTCAGCTTGCGACATACTAGGTATATGGATTGCTGCCACCATTAATCGCTAAAGCCTGGAAGATAATATGCGACCTCATCTGAAGATCCATCGACACTACTCCACTCAATAGCGATTGTTTTACAACTGCCTACCCAGCTACAGATCAAACACAGCGGAACTGCGCCGCTTCAACATCAAACATCGGAGACAACAACGGCAACTAAAAACGCCCTCACCCCAAATCTGCCTCGAGCTTATCCCCAAAAAGAAAGATGCATCTCATAGCGCGCCACGAAGCCGACCAAGCTGTCTTGTGAATGGTTGCATATCTGCGGCTGAGAGACCCTTGCACATACCAGATAGAGGGGTAGAAAGAAAAGAAGAGGCACAACCAGATACAAAGTATTCTTTCAGGTCTCGATTGTTAAAGTCCTGTGATGGACAGGGGGAATAAAAGCAATAAATAGAATGCATTGCCAAGCGGGGTTCCCGTTTATCTCCCGTCTTGTCATTTCTTGTCCTTGACCTTGTGTTTTGCTGGTGTAAGTCAAGTCGAGATGGCGTCTCCACAGCCTCAGAGCAATGTTGTACAAACGACGCCTCAGCCTTTGATGCATCAGAGGTCTGTGGCTAGGAAACCTGTTGGGAAACCGGTTGGAACGCCAGGCCAGAGCATTTCACTACCGCATAGACCTGCTCCTCAGCAGCAGCATCCGCAAGCTGGGTATCCTCCTCACAATCAGCAGCAGCAACATGTTCAACAACAGAGGCCTCAGTCTTATCATCCTGGACAACAGGTTCAACCTGTTTACCAGCAACAAATTCCACAGCAGACTCACCAAGCTCAGTCGATACCACACCCGGGCCAACCACTTCACCACCAGCAAGCACAACCTGCTCAGTACCCTCCCCAGCAACAACAGCAAAGCAACCCTCATCCTCAACATCCTCCAACTCTCCAACAACCGATTCAGTATCAGCAAGCGCACCAGCAAGCGCCGCAGCCACAATATCAGCAACAGCAACAGCAACAGCTCCCACAGCAGCATGTCCAAGCGCAGTACCCTCAACAGCAACCCTTCAGCCCGACAAATCCATCACCAAATCCCGCTCCTCAAACGACTCTGCCAAACGCTCACCAAGCGCAACCACGGCAATCCCCTGCAAGCCCAACTCCGCAAATCCATCGTGTCGATACTGCCAACAGCAACATCGGTTCATTTGTGGCCGATCACGGCAGACCTGGAAGCATCAGCGGTAGCAGCGCCGGTATCGCAACGCCTGCTACCACTGTCGCTACACCAAGCGTCGCGGGCACACCACAATGGGGGCCGAATGGAGCTCCTAACGCGGCTCAGCAACCTCCTGTGAGCCAGCAAGCCCCGGCAGTTCAACATGTTCCTGTCCAGCAAAGTCCAGCGATACAGCATGCTCCAGGCGCACAACAACCTCACCAGCAACCTCACCCGGCTCAGTATGCCCCGGCAGCTCAACAAATCCCGGGGGTTCAGCAGAATATTCCAGCTCAGCATACGCAAGCGCCTCTGCATAATCCTCCTGCTCAACATAACCCAGCAGTTCAGCCGATTCAAGCTGTTCAAGCTACTCCTGCTGCAGACCTGAGACGCACATCTACTGGGCAACCTCAGTTGTGTAACCATTGTCGAAAGGGTAAGATGGTCGTTTGGATGAACCAATACTGTCGCTGACACTCCCAGGAATACCTCTCAACGTGTCGGTCTACACCTGTCTCATCTGCAGCACAGCGCATATCACAACGAACTTCTGTGTGTGGTGCTTCACCTCCAACGCAGTCAACACTTCCCACAGCCACGATAAATCCTACTACGCCACTGAATCCGACCCGCGAGTTCAGTCTTCCGTCCAAGACGCGACAACCCAAATGTGGACTATTCGAAAGAACGTCTCGGGTCGACTCTGGTACACTCATAACTCGACTGGCCTGAAGACACACCTGAAGCCCACAGCAGCGGCCTTGTTTGGATTCTCTGGATTGCCACCTGGCTGGGATGAGCGCAAGACACCTGATGGTCGAACATTTTACTTCAACAAGAGATTGGGGACCAGTTCTTGGGTTAAGCCTGCCAACTCTCTGCCTGATGGTTGGAGGGAATTGAGAACGCCAGACATGACGCCGTTTTACATCAATGAACAGCTTGGTTTATCGACGTGGGATCGGCCGGGACAGCAGCCACGAGCGACGAAGCAAGGAAAGCAGGTCATTGTGAGAAAAGCACGACCTGGTCAACCGAATCAGCCGCAAAACGTCGGCGATAGCATCCTTTCAGCGACGGTCAATGCAGCAAGACTCACTGGCCAAGGTGTTGAGATGGCAAGTCGACAGGTTGGAAAGCTTGGCAAGAAGAAGAATTGGAGAAAGATGGGTCGCATGTTGAACACAGTCAACAGCTTCGGTGGTGTTGGCTCAGGAAGCGATGGCGAGTACGACGACAATTACAACGATGATGGGGACTTTGGATTTGGAGGTGATGACTCGAGCGGGTTCCAAGACCAGCAGCAGCAGGGACAGTTCCAGCAAAGCTTCGACTATCAGCAATCGTCTTTCTCGCAACCTCAGCAGTCTTTCTCATTTGAAGACAACCAGCAGTCAATGTTTCAGCAACCAGCTTATGAGCAACAGTCGACATTCGAGTATTCAGTACAAACTGAGCAGCCAGCTTTCGAACAACCTGTATTTGATCAACAGACTTCCTTTGGCCAGCAGCCTGAGCAGTTCAGCGTTACAACTGAGGTTTCTTACACGATGAATGAGGGTCAGCCAGCCTTCGAGCAGGAAGTTCAGTACACTCAAACATACGAGCAGCAACCCGGCTTTGAAGTCCAGCAGCAGACTACGTTCGAAACTACTTCCACTCAAGAGCCAATCTTGACTCAGCAGACAACATCTTACGAGACAGTCATTACTTCCGAGCAGACCGCCGTTGAGCCTCCCCTTCAGTCAAACGAACAGCCTGTATATCAGGTTACTGCACAAGAGACATATCCTACCCAGCCGTATATTTACGATCCGACCCAAATGCCTCAGCAACAGGTCACCATCTCGTACACAGTACCCGACTATGCCGCCGAACCAGCACCGCTGTTCACATCCCAAACCCAAGTGCAGCAACCTGCGTATCCGGTGTTTATGCAGAACAATCAGCCTGAGATCATCACCAGCGACGTTCCTCTAGTCGAAGTCCCGGGTACACCAGACAACACCACACTCATTGTCAGCAGCGGATACGGTAGTAACGACATCTTGGCTGGTACTAGCCTAGCAACTGAGAACAATACGGCCCCTGTCCCTCAGGTCTCAACACCAGCGCCACAGGATAGTATTGTGGTTGAAGTGGCGGTTCAGTCGACCCCGACGCCTGGATTGGAGACAACTGCATCGCCAGCACCGGTCGTTGTGCAAGAGTATGACACTTCAGTAAAGCCTGCTTCTATCGTGACCGTGGATCCTGTTCAGCCTGTTGACTATGATGTTGGAGCCAGGTGCAATGCACTTATTTAATGGATAGTAAGCGTCTTTGGTTATTGAGATTTTGAGGTAACATGTGATGGTGGTTTGAGATTTTAGCACTTGAATTATAGCAATGTATAGTGGAATGAGAAACGACACACAAGCACAATTGATATTAGCACGCAATACAATTTGACCTCGAATTTGATAGCAACACACGCTAGAACATCGCTTATATGCATCTCAAAATGTGAAGCCATCCAAGTCGCAATCCCACTATCTAACCATATCATCCGACCCATCCCTTCAATAACTTCCCAGCTCAAGAGATCTGGTATTCCTCATCAGTCCCACCCCGTTTCACGAACCCAATCAAGTCCCCAAACTTCTTCACAGGCTTCTCCTCCTCCCCAATCTTAACCGGTCTATAAAACCACTGCCACGACAACCACAACCCCCATGTGAACAGTGTAGCTGGAACCGCAAACACCCAATACACCCAGAACTTCTCATTCACACTCCATACTCCCGTGTCATCATCAACCTTGAAGAACGACATGCTGAACAACGCTGATATAAAAGTCGCAGGTAAGAATGTGAGTGTCACGAAAGCTATGGTCTTCATAGCTGCGCTGTCGGATTGAGTGGCCTGACCGATCTTGACAGAGATTCGAGAATCGTACTGCGCTACTGAGTTGAACGCGAGTTGGATCTCGTTAAGAAGCCGCTCTTTGTTCGCGGATGCTCTGCAGCGTAGACTTTGTAGAATGTGGATATACCACAGTAATCGTTCACCTACATGTCGAAACTTTGCTTTTGCAGGTCTACTCCCCCCAGCGGCCTCTGCCTCAAACGTACTATGCTGCTGGATGATCGCCGTGATAGTCTTCTCCGCAACTTCGAGCGTCTCCGAGACGTGAATAGCATGTCTAGCCGTATCATGCATAGCTCGATATTTCGGTTCAGGCTTTTGTGTAAGATCTGTTTTCTCAATTCTTCGAACGTGATCGCGAACTGCCCAGACGGAGTTATCTTGGAGAAGAGAGAGATCTTCGAATAGACGGGGATAGAACCAGAAGGGATCGCTGAGAGTATCGTTGTGAGAGTTTTGGAGCAGTGGATTGGGGAATCTATCGCGTAGACGGAGTTGCTTGGGTGCTTCGAACACAAGAAGGATTGTTTGTTGGGGATCTTTTATCCAGCGTGTTAGGATGTTGAATTTATGCCATTGATGGCTTGTTTCGTTCAATTGCTTGACGAGGAACCGTGACCACGTATCTACCTCTGTCAGTACTAGGCATGAAGTTCGATGGTAGAGGAAGACTGACTTAATGCAGTGATCATTCCGTTGTTATCGCGAAATGTCTCACTTCCAAAATAGCCGTTTGATCGACGACTGTAGCTTGACCACCAGAGCTCAGGCATACAGAAGACATCGGTGAAGCGTTTCCTACACGATGAGCATTCGCGTACTTTATCTGCATCCGCGAATCTACCCATAATCAGCATTATTCTTGACCCAAATGAGAATAAACTTACACGACTATAACATGCGACTCACTCCACAGCGCAGGTATATCTCCCTCATAAAAGTCCCCCGGTCGGACATCCTCACGAAGCCACTTCTCATTCCCTAAACCCATCAGCAACGCTCTCACACTCAGATTCAGTTACTCACCTTCATCCCATGTTATCACCCTGAAATCAACGCATTTCTCATGAATTCTAGCCGGCATTTTCAAGGTAGTGAAGAAGTGGAAGAATTAACCGCCGAGAGAAGCTGAGGTTCCATTTTCATACTGCGGCTGAACCAGGGTTGGGCGGCAAAGAGGCGGAGTGTGTGCATAAACCTGCATGATTCTATTGAAGCTTGAAAATGAGTTGGTGGTACAGAGCTGAGCCTCATTTGTGAGAAATGACCAATTGTTGTTTTTGGGCGTTGGGTGAAAGCGCCCGGCTGGAGTGGTGGTCTCTGGGGTGCATGAGGTTTTAGGCAGCGTTTGTCGCTCGCTGTGCGATTTTGCGCAGACAGAAGATGTCGCATGTTGTTCGATCACGAGGGGAGGGTAAATCCATCAAGATCAATGTATCGTGGTGTTGGTGTTGGTGTTGGTGTTGGTGTTGGTTGGAGGCCTGTTGATGCTGATGCCTGTTCGGGATGATACCCTGGAGCGCTTCGGATCAGATCATGTCTGGCAACATTTGCATGCTCTACACCTGCAGGTCTCAAGGCATCAGTGAAGAAGAGAGGGGAGAATTGAAGAGACTTCCATTCAATGATTCAGAAGTGAGTTCTAATCGATACAGTATCTAGGGCTTGGAATACAGCAAGAAGGCGACAACAAATGCTGTAAACTTCATTCCTCAACCGTTTCCTTTCTTACACACCATCAACCTCGCAGGTCTAGCTTAGGAATCCAGCTGCCCAAAATATCTTAATAAACACTCCCACTGTATCAGACAGCTCAACTTCTCTCTCACTTCCTTGAAAATTGTCTTTGAAATGACTCCCATATCTTGGCGGCCTTTTCGGAGCCTTGGAGCGGATGCCAGTTAGCACTTGCAGCAAGCCCTGAGACAACTGCCAGGTCTTCATGCCTTCATATTCGCACTGAAATGGAATACAGAAGATCTCACAGCAACGTCTTCTTTTAAGGATCTTGTGACTGAAATTGACCGAGCGAGCTGGTTAGCAGCCGAGATGAAACGGAGGAGAAAGATCTGGCTACAAGCACAGAGGCCGGCCAGCCTGTCGCAGAGACGTAAACATCCTTATTGCATGATAGATTATGCTCATTGAGAGGCCTTTTGCTACGAAGCTCCTACCGAAGCTCCTACGCCACGATCATCTTATACGGTTACTTTGAAGTCCGTTTCTCATACGACTGTGGTCCCGCGACACTATGCAAACCATCGCCTGAAAGGAACTACAGCAAGGGAAAGTGAGGAATTGTACGCGCTTGCTTGTTGTTCCCATTGAATCGCCATATCGGTAAAATGTTCCCTATATCCCAGGCTGAATATTTAGCTATTGACACCAACATCTGTCGCGGCCATCTCAAGAGATAACCACCAGCCTAGGTCACTGTAGACTACGATATTTCACTTGATAAATAACCAATGACTGTCTATTTTGGGCATATGAGTTCCCCGGGCCTCATGTGGCTCTCATTACAATGAGCCCTTAGCTCGAATATGACCGACCGTGTGGCACTGACTCAAGATCGATAGCGATGCCCTTGGGAGGCTCTCCAAACACTCCAACTCCTATCGCCTGTACACAGTCATACATACTGGTTTTCAAGTGAATAGAAGACTGGGATGCAGCAGAATTCTAAAGTTAGCCATGTATATGCTCTTCAAACTTCCTCGCCTGCACAACTCAGCGAGACTGCTGTCTGCTACATTAACACTCATCGTCAACGTCGCAGACACTTGCCGTTACCATTTCTTCAAAGTACCGAAGCCTTTGCGCCAAATCATTCATCGCTCAACTCTCGGAAGGGCTACCAGTATCGTGAAACACGGCTAAAGGATCGGCACAATGCAGCATTCTCTAGCGACCGGGGATCATCGCGCAACCCGTTCCACCAAGCAGATTTAGGTCAGCTTTACCGAGTGCTCGGGTCAGACATGGCCAGTACATACCAAATTTAGTGATCTGGCAGGTCTAGATCCAGTGCTGTGAGGGATCAGCGTAGGTCGATGTGGTCTAGAACGAGAGGGAGTTGATGAGGAGAAGACGATGGGGCTTGCCGATCAACAACAAGAACATAACGGCCACGAGCGGACATTCAACTACGAATACCCTCACTTCTGATGACGGCAAGGTAAAAATGTTTGTTCTGTAGTAACATAGGCCGTTTCATACTTCAACAACTCTTCAGTGACGATGACACAAAAGTCCAGCAACACATCGCCTGCCTGACACAGCGTGGCGAGCTACATAATGTACAGACTGTAGACTGGGTATATTGAAGAGAAACACGACCAGATTATCGTCTATTGGGAATCTGCCATTATTAAGCACCTCAAAATGGCATCATCGAAACTGTGCCTCCAACAGTCGTGATCATACAAAACGTACAGCCACGCTCGCCACATAATCTCCAACTGCCAAGCCGATCTCATGTCTGCCTCTGAACGACTCAAAACCCACGGAGTCCATCCGTTGTAGACAAGAATAAAAGCGGGAGAGCAACCATGCCTCGTCATGCAACAGAGAGTGGCAAACCTATCAAAAATCGATCTTTTCCCACATCGACTTTTGGGCATTTCCCCTCACTCTCTGATCATCAACTGTTGGAGAACTGTAGACCTCGGCATGAAACATGCTTTGTCGCTGGGACAAGATCGACTTGACAAGATCAACAACGACGTCATTCAACGAGCATGGGATTCTTTTGACACAAAAAAACCTGAATCGTAATGAAACGTCGACTTTTTGTTTAGGCCTTGATGCACAAAAGTGAATCGGGGGTTTTGATAGGATTTGCACGTGGCATGACTGTGTGCGTGACCTCATGTGGAGATCATCTGCCATAGAGGGCATGATGCGAACGCCCTTTGAGCCGTTGCAGACGATGAAGCACTGCAACGTTGTAAAACATGACGCGAGTCAAATGCCACTTGTTATCTGTCATGTCAATTTAACACGATAAGTGCGCTGAGCGCGGTATCTGTTAGCTGATCATCACATTCACATCACATTCACTTGGACAATCAAGACACAATGTAGGATATTGTTAAGTTATGGTATTTCTGCCATTCAGTGTGGGTGCTACCTCTTATCGGTCTCACCACCAGTCCCGCGTTCAAATCGACTCTCCTTTATCCCACAAGGAGATGTGCCCGTAAAAGCCAAGTCCCGCTCTAAACCACGTTATACGTTATATTGGCTTACCAGCCAAGTGATCCAACATGGGGGGGTATTCCCAAATGCAGAAGGGAGGTACTAAGGATAATAAAACAAAAACGCCTAAATCAAAATGTCCATGGGAGTTGAGGGTTGGTTCCCCCCCTAAAAAATCTAAATACGCTTCCCGGTCGTGATGCTGAATGCTATGCCAAAGAATATGTCGGGTTGGGAGAGCGAAAAGAGGTGGTACAGGTTTGGTGATATGAGTGTCTATAGTTTCGTTTCATGCGGACATGTCGAGTGGTTCATTGAGTTCGTTGTGATGGCGAGATGTATCCTGAGGAAGTAATGGCGATGAGAGCAAGGTGTTTGTCGCGGCGGTGAGTAAAAAAGTTCAGGTGTCGGTTGTCTAAAGGGGTATCATAGTGTCGAGAACCGCATTCGCTTCCTTGCTTCTATAGGAGGGAGCAGAAGAAATGTGATTACTTCTTGTGCGACTTGCCGGAGCGCGAGTAGTTTCTTCGCACACGCTCACGACCGCGTCGCTCCTCCTCATCGCTGCCACTGCTGTGACGACGACGATCCTCCTCGTACCAGGCACTCAAAGCCTTTCCGCCAAAAGTAAGATCCTCATCCTCGATGATTGTGGGCTGCACCCAGGCGTAAGCTGAAGGGTCGACTTCGCGAGCTGTAGGGTCGAGGGCCTGAAGATTGGGGACGTAATAGTAGTAGGTTTCGGTTGTGTGAGCCATGATGACAAGATTTGATGTGATTTGTTTTGCCAGGAGAATTTGTTGTTAATTCACTTTGGGTGTGTGAAGAGTTATATGTTATTGTTTTGTTGTTGTTGTTGTGGTTTGCTGATGGTGGTTCCTTTGTTTTTGTGTCTGGAATGAGATGGCGCCTTGGTAAATAAAGCAGGTGTCACTCTTTCAAAGGGATGGGAGATTTGTGTGTGAGATGGTTTGATTGCGTCAAGCAAAATAGTTTGATGAGGTCCAGCTCGTGAACGAAAAAGCAAACAAACGCTAATAAGCTGTGACGGGATGAATATGAATCTCTTGATATAAAGTAACTATCAAGAGAGAGAGAAGAGAAAGCCGGGGAAGGGGATTTCGGGGGGAAGGCTGATGGATATAGACACAGGCAGAGGCTGTACCCGACCTGTAAGTGGAGAGTGAATAAGATGGAGCCTCAGGTGAAGCCAGGCAAGCGAAAGGAGGTGGGGAGTGTGGCGGGCTCTGTTTTTTCCAAGGGGAGGGGGGGTGGCAAAGACCCCCTGCAGCAAGATGAGCCGCACTGTGCCGTCAGTGGAAGATAGTGAGCCTCACTGGCACAGTATCAAAGGATCATAGGTAATCCACAGTGGCAATCAGGTCTTGTCTCGCGGTACCGAACAAGGCATCCCGCGCACAGTGAAAAGCGACTTTGGGGGTGGGTTTAGCCAAGCAAGGCCCGGAATCTCGTCGTGGGCTCTAGTTCCTTTTTCTACATTTTGAGGCCTGGGGCCGCCTGGCACCAGAAGGCTGGATCCATTCCTACAGCGTATTTTGCGGGGATGAGCGAGGGCCTGGATAAGAGATGCCCTAGCAGCCTGCATTCCACCAAAATGCTGCTTTCACCTTATCTCTCAAAGTGTAGACTAAGCTACTATTTAGTAGAAATGACTAGATTGAAGCTTCGCTCGGGAGCACCGAATTCATCTGTCACACACGCGCCGAAAGTCGGCTTCGCGGGATCGTGAGGGAATTTTCCAAGGTGTTGTTGAGCGCGATACAGTACAGTATACACACAAAGTTTGAGGGGATAAGTCGGGTTGGGGTGTTGAATCCGCCAAGTTAGAGTCAAGATGGATGGACGGTCTCGAAGACTACTGGACAGGATAGAATGAGTTTTTTACTGCCTATTTGTTCTTTTGTGTTTCTCTGCCTCTAGTAGGAGAGGATCAGTGCCTACTCGAACGTACAAGTCATTCTCGGCCGAACTAGTTCTCATAGTACCGTAATGATCCTACAGTGTCATGTTTATTTACGCTGATTTGTGACTTGATACGATGTCAAGTAAGACAGGTTCAGAAAAAGGGCCGTAATGTTGGACGATCGGGGCTTGGCTGATATTGCCAAATCAGGGAACTGCACTCAACTCAACTTAACTGTCGTGACTTGACTCGACTTGACTTTGGGTATCAAGATTGTAATTTGGTTTGAATCAAAAAGGTGATTTTTACATTTTTGCTGGTGACTTGTCTTTACACTTTTGGTGGATCCCGCGGGTCCGCGTCGGTGAACTGATCGATATCATGATGGGAACCGGCCGAAAGAAGAAGAAAAGTGAGGCTGGGCCCTCTCTCGCCTAAGGGAGCCAAAAACGACTTAGAACCTTGATTCAAAGTGATGAAAATATTTAGGTACCTAATTTAGCATAAGATTGAGGCAGCCTTTGCTGGGTTTATTTTGACACCCTTTATCAAGGTCTCATATTTTCTTGCTCCCTAGGCCCCTTATCGTCGTTCGTGTCTAAAAAAAAGAAGACGCTCGGGCCCGGCCATGAGTCGATGGTACGATGTTCATTACGCTTACCGAGAGATTGTTCTGGCCCCATGTAGAAAGTAGAAAAGAGAAAGAAAGGATGATGTTATCGTATATGCCATGCTTATGGGGGATTGCAATTGCGACACACTGTGCATGCGTAAAGATGATGGTGATGATCGATTTTTGTGGTTGAAAATGGAACACTGCGTTGCCTAACACGTATGTTTCAGCCAGCCAGGCCCAGCCCAGCCCCAGCCCTGCGGTGAGAGTCCTGGGCTGCCTTGCGTGAGACTATCGAACGGATAAGCCTGGTCTCGCGGGCCTCAGTGACAAAGCATAACTTATCGCATGAAATAGAGATATCCTTGGCGAGAAATGTGATGTTAATACAGGTGTCGTCCGCAATAATCAATTCGTCCTTATCCTCGGTATACCATGCGCCGTCCACTTGGCCAAGGCCAGCAAACAAAATAAACCACGTCGCGATTTGCGGGGGAGCAGGCATCTTTGGTGGAGATGTTGTTGTTGACAGGGGATCAAAAAAAAGGGGGGAGTGTGGATAATGGGCATGGATGCTTAATCGAGCTACCTGTTCGAGCAACACAGCTGCCAGATGCAAACCATCCCATCTGAATTTCCCCGCGCGCCCAAAGATGCCACATGGGAGACAAGATTACGATTGATTGTACTAGACTAATCAGTCAAACAGTATAAGAGCGCCTGCTGACTTTGAAACCAGACCGCAAGAACTACCTCGTACGGAACGGAACGAAGCAGAAATGTGCAGCTGACAGTGAGCGCAATACGCACCGGGCTCAGCCATACGCGCAACACAGAGTAAGAAGTATTGATTGCGCCGCAGCTCTGGACCCTGATTTTCCACATGGTGTGAGGGACAAAGGTCTTTGTGTGCAGGACAAAAGGAACAGTCTACCTCTTGTTTCTTTGATCAAAGCATCAAGATAGCATGTCGCTAGGACTGAGGCTCAAAGAATCACCTGCATCGAACAAAGATAACATCTGAGACAATACAAATGCTAGCTTGACCAAACCCCATGATTCGATACCGGCGCATGTGCCGCATCTTTTGATACCAACCTTGAATTCTTCCCCTATCGTCAAAAGGGCGGGGGGGAAAGGGTTAAAGCTGGGGTTTGCGCGCCGGCCGTCACATGTTTGAGTTTGGGGGGATACGATAGCTTCGCGCCACAGGGAGCCGAGGGCTGAAACGGCGTAGAAGGTAGATACAATCATGATTCAATGCCAAGTGCTTGGGAAGTTTGGAGCACGTTATCCTTTTTCGCGCCCGGAGCACAGATTGCAAGGCCGAGGATATCTTGTCTGGAAAGGGGAATCTGGGGTCAGAAGGATTACGGTAGGAACAGGGATCCTTGTCGCCGAACTCCCGGAGCCGCGAAATCCTTCTGCATCCGGACCATTCTTGTTACTTGTATTAGCACAAATGTACCTCCGTATAGAATTGGAGTAATGAGATACGTTGGAGTTTTTTTTTTTTTTTTTGTCTCCGAGTCTATTGAAAAGTTTATCAATAAAGTCCGAGACATGCGCGAGGCTATTGAATTAAGCTGAAAGCTGAAGGTTACCGAAACAGACAGAGTTTTTTCTTTTTACTTTTCTTCTCCGTCTTTTGCTTGTCAGACTTGACTCATTTGTCGTGAGTTGTCCGCCACTGAGCAAACCTTTGAGTCAGTCATGGGTCACCGTCGTGTTCGGGACACGCACGTACAGTACAGTGTGCGATGCGATGTCTTGAATCATTCCCAACACACCCACCCTCTCTCCTTTGGAGCTTCGTTCTTATTTTCTAGTCTGAGCCTTGTCCGGCTCTCGTAAGCCACGAGGCGAACATGATTGATTGCTGACTAGAAGAACACGAACGACACCGCCTTTAGATGTAACACAAATATTGATCGCTCTCACCGATATCTTATCTCGATCATGATATGATATGATAACAATTGGAGAATGAAATGTAACTAGTGAATGACTCTATCGTTATCAACCCCGCCAAAAGCAAAGCACCGGCCTTTCCCCCGCTGGCTCCGGCTTCGGCCCGGTCTTGTGAAAAACAGTGGGCTACCGTTCCCCGGCCGGCTCTTGGGGATGCACGGTTCTGTTTAAAAAATTCGTCTTTTTTTAAGTGTCCTCGGCCCGTGAAAATTTGTTTCGTGGTTGCATCCTCAATCAATCGCACGGTGCTTTACTCCGTAGAATTCTGGGGAAACGCAATTGAGGCCAACAGAAACGGGTCCGTTCGGAAGCCTGCAGAACCGTTAAACAGCTAAAAAGTGTAAAGCGTAAAGTCAACGCTGCCGGTCGGCATGTTCCTGTTTCTTCTCGGGCCTGTCTGTCGTGGATGGATGGATGGATGATCTACAATGTCAAATTCAGGCAAGGCGTCCAGTCACACAACAGATGCAGCATCTGCCTTGCTCGGCAGCCGTGGGGTCCGGATCGTAGAGCGACGGGCTTTGCCTCAGACGACGTCACTTTTGCTTGCAAGCCCATGCTTTCCGAGATATCCACCCCCTGTAAAGTAGCAGAAGAGAAGAGAAGAGACCGTCATCGCGGGGGAAATAAACAGAAATTGAAAGAGTAGCCTGTAAACGAGTCGTAACCTGTTTTTCTGCGTCGCGGACAGAAAGCGCCGGCTTTAAGAGTCTGTTGGACGAAAATGCTATGATGTCACTATTTGGTATTGCCCTGGCCTGAAATCTCTTGATCTGTTCCGAGATCTTGGATAGCACAGCTGCTACTGGCTGCATCGAAGCTGTTCGTTCCTTTTTCCCCAGGGGCGTGTAATTCTTGATAGTTCTGTTCGATTGACAATGCTACAGTATGAATCTTCGAGACCGCAAGTGAGGCGTTTCCCCTTGGCAGCTTACAACGACGTAATTCTGGTATCAACACCTGAAGCCTGTAGACCAGCATGTTTGGTGATCTTTATGCAAAGCTTACAACTTGCCACTACGGGCCGGTCGGTCATGGATTGTTCGGAGGTTATGACTCTCTCAGCTCCGAAGGGACTCTGATCAGCGTATATGGTCCGCTGCGGTAGATATGATGTTCAATATTGACAAGCAGTGCTGTCAGCCTGGTTATTCTATCTTTATTTCCATTCTTGGTTTAGCTACTGCTTGACTGCAGATTTCCATTGCCAATTGGGGAGTCTCTAATGCCTTAACTGACATGGTTGGTTGGTAGAAACAAGGGCTGTTTTGACCAGCGTATCAAGTTGTCGACTGAACCACTTCGCTTTAGTCTAATTGAATCAAAGACTATGTTTCTACTACAATAGCTTTATATCTTATCTCAACGACTTCATCTGTAGACATGCCCTGACACTCGATGACATTCTCATCCCGATGCTTCCAATCATTCACACGTAACGCGTAGTCACCTGACATGACACCCCGCAGGTGACAATCCTCCACTCCCGCCCGTCCCGTCGTGAGAAAGACTGGGTGCAGTATCAAACAAAGCCTAACGTGACGTGGATCAGCCGCGGCATCTCATCCCTCCCCGAAAACTCCTTAAAAAATCCGAAAACGAACAATGCGCTGCATGACATTGGCTGCAGAACCATCTCTAAACGACGTCATCATCCAACGTTAAGGCCAAGCCCAAGCAAAAATGGCAATGCAGAGGCTCCCCAATCTCGCTCCAGCTCCCCATAAGCCCGAACCCCCAGCACCACCACAGCCTCAGCAACCTCAGACCGCACGCCCGCGGGCAGCCCGGGCCTCATCGTCCCGCAAGTACGCGACGAACCACGCGTGCGTGCCGTGCTGCAAGACAAAGACCAAGTGCGATGGGAGACATCCCTGCGCGAGGTGTCAGTTCAGCAGCAATGTCTGCACGTACGATACCAAGGTGTTGTCGGGGGAGACGCTGAATAGACTTACCAATACCGTGAATGAGCAGAAGGGGAGGCTGCATCAGCTTGAGACCATACTCGCGGCTATGAGGAAAGGTACGGATTCTGAAGCTGCTGAGGTTATGTCTTGGATAAGAATAGGTGAATCCGTTGAGTCTATCGTTTCGTACATTGAGTCGAGGTCTAGGGCTGTAGTTGTGACTCAGAGGTATGTTTGTGCTCTTATAAGTCATTCGTGGGATGTTATATGTGATAGCATATGTGAGATGTCATTCCTACGTCTCATATGAGACAGCCTCAGCCACGTATCTCAAGTGAGATGCAGTCTTTCTTACATTATTCTCATGCAATCCTCATTTGCTTCACTTCATATGAGAGAAAATATTCTGTTGTATAGAGAAAATGTCTTTTTATCCGATTCGAATGAGTTCCTGGCCATTGAGATGAGTTTCATACTAACTAACCACCAGACTCGTCGGTGTAAACCACCAAGCCAAAAGCAAATTCATCGAAACACTCTTCGACAGGGCAGAATGGCTCGACGGCACAACCTTTGAAGCCGACGACATGAACATCGACCTAGGTTCCCGCACAAAGAGCTACTTCTCCTCCTACCACTTCGGCAACCTCCCCTTCTCCAGCGGTATAAAAGCAAACCACTACCCCGCCGTCGCCCAGCAGAGCCAATTGCAGAACTACTACGCCAAGCACAACTGGGCCATGATGACAGCCAACGACGGGCACGGTGTTGATTCTGTGACCAAGGCTTGGGCGGACACGCTCAAGAAGGCGAGGCAGCTGGTTACGGAGGGTGCGAATCCTGATGACCTGACGGGGACGTTTCCGTGTGTGGCAGCGCTGTTTGATAAGGATGAGTATGAGAATGCGCCGATGATAAGTAAATGGGCTGTTCAGTTCATTTATAGTGCTAGGAGGCAGGATTACGCTTTCACGTCCATGGCGGCGGTGTGGGTTGTTTGGGTTGTGATGAGATGGCAGATCAATCCGACTCCACAGACATATGCTGTAAGTTCACATGCCCATCTCAATTCTGGCAACATGGGATATGGTGTGCTGTACATATTGAGGACATGAAGTTGGGCAACGGGGGTTGACTAATGCTCTTCAGGACCTCCCTGACTGGATCCGGCCGACTGAACTCCAAGTCTTTGTCCCCCACATCGACATGCTGGATTGTATATCATGGCCATACTTCCGAGACTACGTAATCCAACATCCTGAAATGCAACACGGCGAATTACAATGGCTCGCGGCATGTACTTCAGGCGTACAAGTGAACTGGGACGGTACAATAGAGGACGCGCTCTGTATTGACGGTCCGACGGGACGGAAGCGGTTCACAGCGGAAGCTGAGGTGAGGCACCAAGGGATTGCTTGCTTTGTTTAAGAACTGATACCTTGTAGGCGACGATTAGGGATCTGCAGAAATGGTCACTTGCTGCATCGTATCGCGCCTTTATGCCTGGTATCGATGGGCAGATTCCTATCAGAACGGCAGAGGACGCTGGCGTTAAACAGGTGTAAGAGATTTTAAAGCGTCATCATGTGTAGCAATTTTACTTGAAGCAACACCAGCGATTCAGACT